ACTTTTTAAATTATTAAAAGTATAAAAATAATAAGCTTATAGCTTATAAAATACCTACCTATAGTAATAAGGTAGAATAATAATAATAAATATATAGTTTTAACTTAGAATAAGTAGTAGAGTAGGACTAAATAGGCTGTTAACCTTATAACTAGCTACTTATATTAAAACTCTGCTATATACTATAGTTAAGTATAGCTTTATTTTAGTAAAGCTATAAACTTTATAAATAGTTATTTATATATATACTACCTTAACTATAAACTAATACTTTAATTCTTATTAACTAAAAAAAGTATTAAAATAAAATACTTACTTAACTATTTAAACTTAAGAAGCTATAAATTTACTATTATTTTTATATACTTATAGCTATTAATCCTTCTTAATTAGTTTACTTTACTTAGTAATAAAAGAACTTATAATTCTTTTCTTTTATATTATACTTTAAACTTTCAAAAAGAGCTTATATAGCTAGTTATTAGAGGACAGAGATTAATGTGTTATATTACTATTATATTTTTGTGTACGCATTTTAATTATTTATTAGTTTTTATTAGTTATACTAACTATAGTAGCTAAAGTTTAATCTAGTTACAACTCTTTACTTCTTATTACTATTACTATTACTATTACTATTACTATTACTGTTACTATTACTGCTACTTCTAGCTTTATCCTTATTCTATATTAATTGTCTCTGTAGTAAGGTATTATACCTTCTAGATTACTACTATAATTCTTTTTTTCTAGGTAGTATACCTAGGATCTATAAAAGCTTACTTAAAGTAGCTTTTATTCTTAGTTAGAGCAGTATTATTATACTACTTAGTAGTAAGCTTATTAAGTTAAAAGAGCTAGGTATTAAAGAAAGCCTTATTAGTCTTATAGACTTATATAAGAAGAATCTAAACTCTAACCTTATAAAGCTATACTTTAAGTCTTTTATTAAGCTTAAAGTACTATAAGATATCTTTATTTCTTAGGTAGAAGGTATTACTATTATACTAAGTAATACTCTTTATTTTTTTTTACTACTTAACTAGGTTCTTAGAGATCTTACTAGAGATATTTAGAGTACTATACTAGTACTAGAAATTACTTACTTTAATTCTTTACTTATTAGCTTACTATAAGACGCAGTATAGGAATACCTAGGCTACACTAATAGAGTTATATTATTAGTTAGCTATAATTATAGTTATAAAGAAAAATAAAATAGATAGATAAAGACTTCTAAGGTATAAAGGATATTTATATACTAGCTTATTTATATAAACTATTATTACCTATACTCTTACTAAGGCTGCCCTAGTTATATATTTAGAATTACTATTTAATTAAAGAGTTTTTCTAACTTAGCTGTAGTTTATAATATAATTTAGGGTTTATAACTAAACTAAACTTTAACTAATAGCTACTTAGGCTCTTAAATATACGTCTATATTAGTATATTAAGTAGCTAGTAATTAAAAGATAGCTAATTAGCTCTCTATTACCTTTACTATATACTTCTACTAATATTTATTATATAAAAAGGGGCTAAGTATTAGCTTCTATACTAAGTTACTATATTAAATTCTTACTATATTGCGTCTATCTGCCTATACTACAAGTATAAATACGCTATAAACCTAAATAATATAGCTAGTTATTAATAGTAATTTCTTCTTCTAAATAATTAAATAGCTATTATTTAGTTACTTTTTTAAATTTCTATTACTAGAGACTATAATAATTAGCTATTAGATATTCTAGTATAACTTCTATAAATTATACTATAAAGTAAAGAAATTATTTCTCTATAATCTTAGTATAATAACTAGAATTTTAGTTTTATTAGATAGGTAGTTTATAAGTAATTACTTTTGTTTTCTTACTATTGAGATATACTATATTAATACTAAATAAAAACTTTAAAGAAAGCTACTAGATTTTATCTTAATATATAGTATAAATATTAGTGTTTTTATAGTAGAAGAGGTAAGTAAAGTACTTTCTAAAACTAGTACTAAGTATAGACTTCTTACTATTACTTATAATAATACTAGTTATAATACTATACTTACTTAAGTAATTAAAGTAAACTTATAAGATAATAAAATTACTTAAAGCTTGTAAAAACACTATTTTCTGCCTTACTTATATTATTAACCTTATTATTTAAGATATTATTTAGTATTTAAAATTAGTTACTTTTACTAAGGTTACTAAAACTCTATAAAGGCGCTATATTTAAAATATTAAAGTATAAATATTAGTTTTAAACTTACTTTATAAGAAATTTACTTTTTTATTATATATATTTAATTATATACTAATTTATTACTAGCTTAAAGCTATTTAGATTATAATTAATAATTTACTATAGTAATATAAGTACTTTATATTAATATATTTATACTTAATAGTAAAAGATTAGCTATCTATTATTTATAATATAAAGATTAAATAAAATTTTACTTATAATATATATAAGTATATAATTAAGCTGTAAAGATATCTTAGTAAATAGCTAAAGTAAGAAATTGTTTTTAAGGCTAGCGTAGGTACTTAAACTAGTAATACTTTAACTAAAAATAATATTAGTAAAATAAACTTTTATAATTTAAAATAACTTTAACTATTTTCTACTACGTAATATTACTTTAAGCTAATAATAAAAATACTTAAGTAATTTAAAAATATAACTAGCTTTTAAAATAAAAACTAAAAGCTATAAATTTAAGATATTTAGCTAATATATAATAAACTATTTAACTTTTTAAACTAGATAGAAAAAAACCTTTATAAAGATATTATAAATTAAAAAAGTACTAATTAGCCTACTATAATATAAGCTATAGCTAAAAGAAGTTAAGTAAAATTAAGTAAGTACTATATAAAAACTAATATAAAGTATAAGTTCTTAATGTGTTACGTTACTATTATGTTTTTGTGTACGCGTTTTAATTGTTTATTAGTCTTTATTTAGCTAAAGTTCAACCTAGTTATAACTCTCTGCTTTCTATTGCTATTGCTATTACTATTACTGTTAACGTTGCTATTACTGCTACTTTAAAATTAGCTAGCTTTATCCTTATTCTATATTAATTATACAGCCCTGCAGTAAGGTATTACACCTTCTAGATTAGTACTATAATTCTCTTTTTCTAGGTAGTGTACCTAGAATCTATAAAAGCTTACTTAAAGTAGCTCTTATCCTTAGTTAAAGTAGCGTTGTTATACTACTTAGTAGTAAGCTTATTAAGTTAGAAGAGCTAGGTATTAAAGAAAGCTCTATTAGTCTAATAGACTTATATAAGAAGGAGCTAAACTCTAACCTTATAAAGCTATACCCTAAGTCTCTTATTAAGCTTAAGGTACTATAAGATATTTTTATCTTCTAGGTAAAAGGTATTACTGTTATACTAAGTAATACTCTTTATTTCCTCCTACTACCTAACTAGGTTCTTAGAGATCTTACTAGAGATATCTAAAGTACTGTACTAGTACTAAGGATTACTTACCTTAATTCTTTACTTATTAGCTTACTACAAAACGCAGCGTAGAAATACCTAGGCTATACTAATAGAGTTATATTATTAGTTAACTATAATTATAGTTGTAAAGAAAGATAAAATAGATAGATAAAGGTTTACTTCTAAGGTGTAAAGGATATTTATATGCTAGCTTATCTATATAAACTGTTATTACCTACACTTCTACTAAAGCTACTCTAGTTATATATTTAGAATTACTAGTTAATTAAAGAGTTTTTATAACCTAGCTATAGTTTATAATATAATCTAGGGTTTATAACTAAACTAAACTTTAACTAATAGCTGCCTAGGCTCTTAAATACACGTCTATATTAGTATATTAAGCAGCTAGTTGTTAAGAGATAGCTAATTAGCTCTCTATTACCTTTACTATATACTCCTACTAATATTTACTATATAAAAAGAGGCTAGGTATTAGCTTCTATACTAAGTTACTATATTAAATTCTTACTGTATTGCGTCTATCTGCCTATACTACAAGCATAAATATACTATAAACCTAAAATAATAAAGTATAAGTTCTTATTTAATTATTTAATAATACTGAACCTAACTTAGAAACTTATAATATATAAAGTCTATTTATTATAGTTACTTATTATAGTTATATACTAACTATATACCTAAAATAATTTATAAAATACTTAAAATAAATATATATATTATATATAATTTCTTAATTACTTAAACTGCTATAACTAAAAGAAGTAAAGTAAATTTATACTAAACTTAACTATTTACTTATAATAATAATAAAGTAGTAAATAGTTTTAAAAGTTTTTTACTTTTTTTCTATTATAACTAAGTAGTTTTTTTTTACTTTAAGTTAAAGTTTTTAAACTTAAGAAGCTAATAATTTAATTAGCTAAACTATTTTAAAAAAAAGCTTACCTAAGTACTATATATATAATAAGTAATAGCTTCTTTAATATTCTAAAGTAGTAAAAGGCTAATAAAGGTATATATTCTTAACTAGCTTAAGTTATAAAAAATATATTAATAATAACAATTACTTAAGTTAGTATTAAGCGTATTTTTAATATTACTAAGAATATAATTAGTAATTAAATGTATTACTTATTTAATAAAATAATTTAGTAGATTATAATCTTTAAAGATTTAATTTTTTATAAAGTAAACTAAATAATAAACTTTTTAGATAAGGATATAGGCTTAAATAAAGCCCCTTATAATAAAGCTAATAATTTATTAAACTTTCTAGCTTTAGTACAGTAAATTAGTAATCTATATAAAGTTATTAATAGAAAAAAAAATATTAAAGAAAAAAAGAAAGAGAATCTATTACTATATTTATTATATAAGTATATTTATCTTACGTACTACTATAATTAATATCTATAATAAATTAATTTTAATACTTTTTTTTATACTTTTTATCTTTTACTTAGTTAAATTACTTTTATAATATATAGTTTATTTTAATTAACTAATATCTTTCTTAATAGGCTATATATTTAAGTAGACTTTACTTAACCTTAACTTAAGCTTTAACTACCTTTACTTAACTTTAACTTTAAGCTTTATCTACTTTAACCTTACTTTAACGTAAAGCTGTTACTACTTTTACTTAATTATAACTTTAAGCCTTAACTACTTTAACCTAACTTTAACCTAGAGTCTGTGCAGCCCTAACCTAACCCTGACCTGTTGTTAGGTACCCCGAACCCATTTACCAGCGTACCAAGATGTTACTAGCGGTTGATAGCTATATGAATTTCGCACTACTTTCCCTCTGCCGCTAGCTTAGGATTTCCGACCTCAGTATCACCTGGCTCGTGGCTCTTCAAAGCTTCAAGCACTTCCAATCCCATATCATTTCGAGGCCCTGTGAAATTCTTCCTACCATCAAGGAACCATTGAATAGTGCTGATGAAGAGAATGATGCCGAAAGCAACCACGCAGTAGTCTAGAAGTTTTAGCTGTAATCCAGTGGAATCTTTGAAAATTGTGGTACATACTCATGTTGCTTGCAGTAACAGGCAGTTCAGGCGGAAAGACAAACAAGACGGTGGTGACAATGGCATAAGCAAGCCCGAGAAGATTCGCGAACCAGCCTACGGCGCTGGGCAATGCGAATGATCTGGGAGGGAGCATTTTCCGTCCTCGGCAAACATTGATAGCAATGGGGATGGCATAGCTTACTCCGAGAGCGACGACGGAAGCTGCGATGAGCGCATTGAAAGCGCTGCTAGATCCAATCATGAGTAGCCCGAACAGCAGGGTTAGCACGTTCGCCAAGATGAGAGCGTTAAGCGGCTGGCCGAGCCGCGGATGAACCTTTGCGAAGAACTTGGAGAATGGCAGGCCTCGATCTCTTGCAAATGCGTACGTCATTCTTGACGAGGTCGTCATGATTGCAATCTCGGCAAAGAGTATGCATCCCAGAGGAAATAGGAGAAGACATGTAGCTCCGGCTCTACTACTTGTTGCGTTATACAAGATCTGGAGGAGGGCGCCAGCAGGGGAACTGATGATGGCGTCGCTATCTCCACCAGAGACGAATAGTAGGACCATCAAGAAGATAAAACCAGTGAATGTTCCGATGCAGACGCAATATCTGTGTGTTGGTTTCAAGTCAGTCTTGATCTAACATGTATTCCATGTGCCGAAGATTTGCTTACATCATGATTTTGGGTCCTTCGACGGATGCATTGGGTATCTCTTCAATCATGTGTGCCACCGCATCGTATCCAGTGATACCGAAGCCTCCCTGTAGTAGACCCAGAAGCCAAGCAATACCGTCAGGCCAACCAGTCTCGTTGATGAAATCTGTAAAAACAAATTCTGCAGTCGCGTAGTTGGGTGAAGCGCACGCCAAAACAGTGATGCAGATGATGCCAAAGCCAGCTACAGACCAGAAGAAGGCGGTACGATTGACATAGGGTAATAATCGGTTTAAGAAAGCGTTGACAACAAAAGCGATGAGTGTCCAGGCGACGTAAATCAAGTACTGCTGCCAAGGCTCCATGCTAAAATCCGGGTGGAATAGCGATATAAGACCAGCGATGAGCTGAGAAGCTAGAAGGCCTCCAGAGGTTGTCAAGGCAATCCATCCCGAGACGTTGATCCATCCAGTAATCCATGAGGCCAATGGTGCCCATTTCGCAGGCGTAATGACGGCAACCCAGTGGTACCTGTTATGTCAGTGTTTTTCGAGTCGCATACTAGAACAAATACATACTGTCCACCAGCCGTAGGATACGCAGACAAGAACTCTGCGAGCGATGCAGCCAAGGCTAGGTTACAGATGCCGGCTGTGAGCAATCCCCAGATGACGCTCGTCGATCCGCCACTCGGCAGCGCAACAGACAGAGATGCCGAGAGCGCGGTCCAGGAATTGAGAATGGCAAAAGCCAACCCTAACATAGACAGCAGCGAAAAGTTGCGCTGCAACTCGCCCTTGTGACCCAAGGCTTCGAGTTGTAGCTCATCATCGGTTCGTTCGCCAGGTTTCATTGTGCAAGCATTGGATTGGAAACAGAAGACAGGTCCGACCCGCAAGAAGTGCGATATAGAGGCGTAACACGAAGTAGAGGATAGTGACAATGGCAGAGATGGGAACAAGACGATACTTGGGGAGGCATACGAGGTGAGGGAATACCGCCATTGACGTCGACTTCCGCTTTCGGTAAGTCCAGCAGAGAGGGGTTTAGGGCGGAGCTTTATTGAAGATTGCCACTAGACGCCGCAGATGCGACAGATAGGCAGATCTAGTGCCAACGGCCAATTACGTGCATAGAGCGTTTAGTTATCGAAGCACAAGCGTAAGCGGCGCTGTCTTTATCTTCCCGTCATATCTCAACCCTGCACCACACATCCACGCGTCTTGCGCGTACTGACCACGTGAAATAGACACCCTGCTAGGACGTTCATGAATTATATTGTGATCAATTACGGCTGTAGTCGTGTCAAGCTTTTTACGTGCTTGGCGCGCCGGCAATGAGCGGGTCGAGCCTGAAACTTCCAACGATGTGTCAAACAATACCACCACCCCTAAACGTATCGCAGATTTGTTGGTTTCCGCATGTCTGCCGGCTAAATCGTACAGTGACATGTGGTTGCACGTAAATTAATCGACTCCTGTCACGGCTAAAGACGTCTCTCGTACGATAACCACGATGGCGCATATATGGAAGAGGGTCACAAGCCGTCGTTCAAAGGAGTACGACCGACTTCCAGCGAGCGAAAAAGAGCACTTGTTACCAATCAAGCATCCGAAGATAGTTTTGTCCAGACATAGCAACTTCGGCCTCATGTTGTGCCTTGCGGGGACCTTACTCGGGATCTATGGACTTGTCTCGTTCGAAAACCCTCCCCTTCACTCATACTTGCTCAAGCTGATTGTTTAGTGCTGTGACTACCGTGTCTAACACCTCATCGTCCTGCGACACTGTCGATCATGGCTATACGTGTAGCCCGGAGACGTCGCGCTTCTGGGGCCAGTACTCGCCCTGGTTCGCGGTGCCATCCGAAATCGACGTCGCTCCTCCCGAGGGTTGCGCCGTGACATTTGCCAACGTTCTGTCACGCCATGGCGGTCGCGATCCCACCGCGAGCAAGACAGCCACATACGCTTTGCTCATTGCTACCATCAAGAACACCAGCACCGCCTACCCCAACGAGTACGCCTTTCTCAAAGACTACAAGTACACGCTAGGTGCGGATGACCTGACGGAAGCTGGACGACAAGAGATGCAGAACTCGGGTGTCCATTTCTTCAGACGGTATTCCACGCTCGTTACACAACATACACCATTTGTGCGTGCGAGTGGACAGGCTCGAGTGGTCGAGTCGGCAGAGAATTGGCTCAAAGGCATAGCGCAGTCATTGGGCGAAGATTCCAAAGACGTCGATGTCACTATTGGTGAGGGTTCCACATACAACAACACGTTGTCGCACGATATATGCACAGCTTTTGAAAGCGGACCCGTTCATACCATAAACGACAAAGCGAAACAGACATGGGTCGCGCAGTTTGTCCCGTCTATTCAACGGCGAGTAAACTCTCAGCTGGGAACTAATCTCACCACATCCTCCATCATTTCGCTCATGGACATGTGCCCGTACGAGACCATCGCAGACGCTTCCGCCAAGGTGTCTGACTTTTGTCATCTCTTCACGAACATGGAGTGGCATCAATATGATTATTACCAGACTCTCGACAAATGGTATGGGTACGGAAATGGCAACCCACTTGGACCAACTCAGGGTGTTGGGTATGTCAACGAACTGCTGGCCCGCTTAACGAACAAGCCGGTTGAAGATAGCACAACCACGAACCGTACTCTAGACTCCAATCCTGCGACATTCCCGCTCAACCGTACCGTGTATGCCGACTTCAGTCACGACAACGACATCACTGGCGTGCTGGCGGCTCTTGGGTTATACAATACCACCGAGAACCTTTCCAACTCGACGATGCAAGGCACCAACGAGACGCATGGGTACTCTGCGGCATGGACGGTCCCCTTCGCCTCTAGAATGTATGTTGAGAAGTTGCAGTGCACAGATATGACGGAAGAGTCTGTTCGCATCATTGTCAACGATCGCGTTATGCCGCTAGAGTTTTGTGATGGGGATGAGTACGGCCGATGCGGTTTGAGTAAGTTTGTAGAAAGCCAGAGCTTTGCGAGAAGTGGCGGATTTTGGTCTGAATGCTGGGAGTAAAGTTTGATGTCGCTTTTCTGCTTTGGCAATTGGGGCGTTCTTGACATGGCATAACTTCAGCTTGACGCATCGCATCAGAATCTCAAAGACATTGTGCGCAGCCTGTCACTCATAGAGCCGTGTTTAGTCTGCCAGGTGTTGATTTCGCAGTATCTGAGAAGGCAACAAAGCCCGCACCTGTTGACCAGGTCAGGACAAAGAGCACACCATTTTCTTATCTTCGTCGTCGCGTGAGACATACAGTCGCAAGTCAGTTCCACACTTCGATTGATGTACGAGATAGGTCAGAGTGTCAGTGTCAGTTATCAAGTTGACAAACAACGAGCAAATAATCCGTCAAACAGCAAAACACCATCCAGTTGTCACGATAAGAGATGACGCGCAGACTTCCTGCGCGCGGAAGCAAGATTATAGCTGCTGCTAACATGGCAGCCCTAGTCCAACAGTCATCCATTCATCCAGACGACTCGCGCCGGCTGATAGTCAAGATTCCGAAACGTATATGGAATGCATGGGACCCACGGAAAACAATCAAAGCAAAGACGGCACCGAAGAGGAGAATTGATTTCGTGAGGGATAGGGATAGTCCCACCCTTCCAGCACACTGCAAGGCTAAACTTTGGAGGTTTCATTACGGCGGTCCTGCTATGAGAGTTGCTGGCAAATGGCAGAATAAGATCACATACGAGACGCCTTGTTTACAAACTTCATGCGTGAACTGCCAAAAGTGGCATCCGCATCTTCTCGATATGAGCAATTTTCCGGAGGGGAACGGTGTTGTGCGAGCGACTGCTGTGGAAATCGAATGTAACAGACCGACGATCAGTCCTCTAAGCCCGGAAGTTGAGCGCAGGATGTTGGATGACTACGCAACTGATTTTACGCCTGACGTGTCGATTCCAGCTTCCGATATCATTTCTTCTGGCAAACTCAACATAGTCCTGTCTTCATCTCCGGTCAATCAGGCTGTTTCGGCCGCTTCGCCGTATACCAGGTGGCGCTCTGAACAGCGCCAACGGAATACGGTAAGACTAAAGTTTACATCATTTGAGGGGCAGAAGAGGTTCAGGACGTTGGTGGGAGAGAGAGAGCGGAAAGAAAAGAAGCTAGAGAAGAGAAGGCACCATAGGTTCAGCAGGACCAAGTCACAGGGACGGGCTGATGGAGATGGTCGCAGTGGTACTGGTACGAGCGACGACGGTAGATGGAAGCAGGGACATAGGGTGAGGTTGATGTTCAGGAGTCAAGAGGGGAGGGATGCGTATCGGAGGTTGGTGGACATGTATTGATGATGACCAAGGATTGTTGAACACTGACTAAGAGTCCAGTTGGAACTATGCAGGTCTGGTCGAGATATTCAGTCGTCGCAAGAAGTGACGTAGAAGCATTCCAGCGTCGGTATTATCTGCCGTCAAATCATAGACATTGCCACGCAAGGTGACTGTTATCCAGCTCGCAGCGGAAACCCCCGCCGTTGTCGGTGACTAGAGTGCCAAGATCCCTGTTTGCAACCCACCACAACCAATGTGCAGTCACCCGCACGCACACGGCTGTTGTATATAGTGCTCCCATGTCCACCCCTCCAGATGCCGGACGAGGCTCTTGCACCTGTCCCTCTCCCCGATGACGTCCATGACGTCCATGGTTAAGATACGGCCGAGTGCGAAAGCGCTGCGGTCGACGGTGGCGCGTGGCGAATGTGCAGTGAGGCAGTCACGACGCGCGCTGCCGTCGCGACGAGGCATTGCGACAGACGCGGCGGTACGGGAACCCGGCGTCGAGCAGCTCCCTGGCGGCGTCCCTCCGGTGGTGTCGTCAGGCGACGGGCGGGGACGTAGAGAGGCCATCAAGACGGCCAAGCCCTTCTCGGACTTTTTGACAGACACATACCAGCGGCAGCACGACTATCTGCGCATCAGCATCACGGAGCGGTGCAACCTGCGATGCCTGTACTGCATGCCCGAAGGTAGGCGGCACCGCCCCTCTCCCACGCGACCCGGCTGACGCGCACGTCAGAGGGCATTCCGCTGTCGCCGGCGGCCCACATGCTCACGACGCCCGAGATCTTCTATCTGTCGTCGCTGTTTGTGTCGCAGGGCGTGACCAAGATCCGGCTGACGGGCGGCGAGCCTACGATCCGGCGCGACATTGTGCCGCTGATGCAGCAGATTGGCAGCCTGCGCGCCCAAGGTCTGCGTGAACTCGCCCTCACGACCAACGGCATCGCCCTGCACCGCAAGCTGGACGCCATGGTCGAGGCGGGGCTCACGGGCGTCAACCTCAGCCTCGACACGCTCGACCCCTTCCAGTTCCAGATCATGACGCGCCGCAACGGCTTCGACGCCGTCGTCAAGTCCATCGACCGCATCCTCGAGATGAACCGCCTCGGCGCCGGCGTCAAGCTCAAGGTCAACTGCGTCGTCATGCGCGGCCTCAACGAGCGCGAGATCATCCCCTTCGTCGAGCTGGGTCGCGAGAAGGACATCGAGGTGCGCTTCATCGAGTACATGCCCTTTGGCGGCAACAAGTGGAGCGAGGGCAAGATGATCAGCTTCCAGGAGATGCTCGACGTCATCCGCACAAAGTACCCCGCCCTCGCCCGCCTGCCCGGCCACAAGAACGACACGAGCAAGACGTACGCCGTGCCGGGCTTTGTCGGCAAGGTCGGCTTCATCTCGAGCATGACAAACGACTTCTGCGGCACGTGCAACCGCCTGCGCATCACCAGCGACGGCAACCTCAAGGTGTGTCTGCATGGCAACGACGAGGTCTCGCTGCGAGACCTGCTGCGCAAGGACAACGGCGGCGAGCCAATCGACGAGCAAGCTTTCCAACGCATCAAGCAGATGGAGATGGACCGACGCGACGGCCGACTAAGCGACAAGACAACCCTCGGCTGGGGTCCACGCGAGCGCGAGCTCCTGCAAGTCATTGGCGGCGCCGTGAAGAGGAAAGCCGAGAAGCACGCCGACATGGGCGATCTGGCGAACATGCAGAACAGACCCATGATACTAATTGGTGGGTGAACATGGTCCTCTTTCTCCTTGTTGTCCGCTGGCCATTGCCTACATGTCGTTTCGCACTATGGCACTCATTGCATGCATGGCGTTGTGAGTGTCGTGTTACTGTTGTCGCTCGGATGCGGAAGATTCTGGCTACATACACCAATCATATACCCATTTGCCCTCTACAAATCAATCCACACGTGCCTGTGATGTGCCATGCTGACTTGCTGCAGATCGAAGAGCCCAGCCAGACACCCTTGGCCCGTACCCGCATACTTCACGTTGCCGCAGGAGCATTGCTCGGCCCAAGTCCAGTGTCCTACTGTCTTCGCGCCCATTTCTCAATCACCATTCAGCATTCGAAGGTGCCTCTGCTCGTGCTTTCTCGACAAGCCCGGTTATCCGTACCCAATCGCTCCCCGACGAAACATCTCGGAGCGACAATACCGCAGCTCCATCTGCACATGCCAACACACAACCGACGTCAAGTCGTCCAGAAACAGGCAACGCGAAGGCTTCTCAACCCCAGACCAGCTCCCATCTATCCCTCTCCCCCAGCCTTGAGGCCGTACGCGAAAAATATCAACTGACAGGCCAAGAGTGGGACCCTTATTGGCTCATGGTGCGCGGGTCAACGAGAGGAGGCGGCCGCACCGTAGTCAAGAAACTCGATTTTAGAGCTCACGGGCTGCTACGCAATATACAAGAGATAGCTGGGCGCAAGCATCCGGTTCCTAGCCACAACGAGTTGATGCGAGAAGCACGCCATCTACGCGAGAAGGTGGTGGAGAGCGTGAGCCAGTACAGTACGAAGGCGAATGTGAGAAATGTCATGGCTTTGATGGGAGAGATGAGGGCCAACCATACAACATCCCGACTATACTCAAGTGAACAGGAGGAACAACTAATAAAACTTCATCAGGAAAAAGAGGACCTTGAGGGAAAAAAGCTGAAACTAATGGAGCTTCTTGGCAACGAGGAAGAGGTGGACCCTTGGGCTCAATCTCCTTCGAAGTTGGGAAATCCTCAACAGCGTCGTGACGCTCTTCTCAAAAAGAGTACCGTTGTAATACAACCCCTTGAAGCTTTCAAGGTCTCTAAGCCGGGTTATACTCTTTACGATCCTAATGCCCATATCAACAATCATAGTGAAGAGACTCAAATTTCACCGGAATTGGATGACACTCCGAAACATAACACTGCCGTAAGAGCAACGCCAGTGGGCATATCCTACCGCCCATTGAGCGAGAATCTACGTCTCAGCGTACCGTCCTCCAATACAATCAAAGTCGATGATGATCTCACCGTCAACTTCGAAGCAGACGTCCCCGATTTGCAGCGTCAAATTTTCCAGCTGCAAGAGCGTCTAAAATCTGTATACCCCCGAATCGATGCCCTTCCCTACGATGTATGGAGTTCGACCAAACACAATACACTGCGCACATGGCTCAAGATCTTGATAAGCAGGTGGCAGACGCGGTTTGATGATGCCATGAATGAAGGAGTGGTCGTCGATGAGCAGGTCAAAAAAGTTCTCGATGATATGGTGCGTAATCACGACTTGAGTAACGCGGCGGCTGAAAGAATGGCCATGCGGTGGAACGAAGTGTTCAACCGCAGACAAGGCTCGTCAAGTCACGCGACGGAGGCAATTGATTGGGAAGAATACGAAGCTGGAGGCCTGGGATTCTTGATGGATGGGAATGAAATGGAGGTAGATGATGAAGTTGTGACGCGGGTGGATGGGCGGATCAGCTGGCGTTACACTTTGTTTGCTAAGCAGCAAAAGTCACGCAAACCCAAACAATTCTACACTCTACCCCGGCACTACTCGACATCCACACGCACATCACCCGACCATGAAATGGTTACCATACCCGGAAAAACGGCCTCACCCTCACCCTCCCCACCAACGCCTACGTTCCCCCACCTAACTCCCACGGGCTCTGCACACATGGTTTCCGTCTCCTCCAAACCACACACAACCCGCACCGCTATCGCAGTTGGCACAGTATACTTCTCGAACCCGACCCCACTGTCTCTCATCCGGAGCAACTCGCTCAAAAAAGGTGACGTGCTGAGCGTGTCTCGCATTGCAGGTATCATGGCTGCAAAGAAATGTCCAGATCTGATTCCCTTGTGCCATCCAATCGCTCTCACACACGTTGGTGTTGAGCTCCGTGCGTTTGCATCAGAGGGGAAGGTTGGAAATGACATGGGTTGTGGTGGGGTGCAAGTAGAAGCAAAGGTTCAATGCACAGGCCCCACGGGTGTCGAAATGGAGGCTCTGACGAGTGTCATGGGTACTACACTTAGCATCGTGGATATGTGCAAGGCAGTAGACAAGTTCCAGACGATCCAGGACGTGAGAGTTGTGTTGAAGGAGGGTGGGAAGAGCGGGGTTTGGAGAGAGGAAGGGTGGAAGAGTTGGCAGAGCTAGAAGATCTGGAAGTCTGAAAAAGAGGAAGACAATGTAAGATATGTGTTAGTGTATCTATGTACCAGCGTCGTAGTCTTGGTAGACAAGCTCAATGGTAACTCCCGTCTTGTCAAATCTTTCCTGTTTGGGGATGTCGTTTGTTTGAAATGTCAGTCGGAAAGGTCAACGTCACTCCAAAGGCTTTGCCGTCGACTACGAACGAATCATATCGCATGCTGATTTTGAGATCTGGTCAAACTAGTGAACAGTTCCATAACCTCCACTTTCTAACCCCGGATTTAACGATCGACTAGTCGGGCCGGTCTTGCCGCGGAGAGGAGCGTACCACTGACAAAACAAATCATGGCGGACTGGCTCCGAACCAACCGCCAGTCACTAGAACACGAGGCGTGTAAATATACTTTTGTGATCATGACGACATGGCTGAAAAAGGACACTGGAATGCTTCCGGGATCCGGGCTCCTGGGATATATATACAAACACGAAGTCTTGAAAGAGAGTGTCAACAAAGTCTGAAATCAAGACTAGAAAAAACAATCAACATGCCACCTATTCCATGGCGCGTTAGCATCACCAACCACCCAGGTTCCAGCCGAGATGAAATCAGTCAGGAGCCAGACTGGGACACCGTACATGGACACGGGCATCGTATTGGTTATAGAAACCAGCACGATCGCATGCCTGGCATTACACACGCCTGCGATGAGCGAACCGACGACGAATTTACGGAAGAAGCAAAGAAGGCTTATGCACAACTGGTCCAGAGAGCGAAAGAGGGAGACCTTGTCAATTTCCGCGATATTATCGAGAACGAAAAAGACTTGCATTTGAGACATCCCCAGAACAGGAGCTTGGGGTGGAGGTACGTACTGCAGTTTACGGAAGACTGGGTCAGGAATAAGGAGGCTTGGCCGGCGAATGTGCAGAAGTGGCAGAAGGAAGAGGAAGAAAAGGCGAAGAAAAAGAAGGAAGACGAGGATAGGAAACAGGAAGATAAAAGTGGCTCGAAAGATTCACAGAAGGATGGAGGTGTACAAGATGAGGAAGAATGGAAGCGCAAGCATGGCGAGGGCAAAAAACACAACGATGCCTATGCCGAGGGTGATCAAGATTCAGGATACTCGAGCGACGACTCAAATGAGCACAAGTCTGAGTCCGAAAAACTCCATGAGAAATACACACCCCAAGAGATCTCTTTGTTGAGAATGCTGCGGCATGAAAAGGACTACATTCAGACCCTCGAGCAGAACGATGGCAAACGTGAAAGCCCACAAACTCACAATAGGACTACCATCTCCATTGATGAAGCTGATCAGTTCTCCCCCGACAACTGGCTGCCGCGTTCTTCGGACTTGATCCGTTTGACTGGCAAACACCCGCTCAACGCCGAAGCACATCTGTCGCATTTGTTCGACGCCGGGCTCATTACGCCAAACGAACTACACTACGTCCGCAACCACGGCGCTGTTCCGCGCCTGCTTTGGGAATTTCATGAACTGGATATCTGTGGCGGCAAACTTGTGCTCACAATGGACGACCTGAAGAACAAGTTCGAGCCTATCAACATCGCAGTGGCACTGGCCTGTGACGGCAATCGTCGCAAAGAATTGAATATGATAAAAAAGTCCAAAGGCTTCAGCTGGGGCTCTGGAGCTGTGAGTTGCGCGTACTGGAAAGGCCCACTTCTGCGCGACGTTCTTTTGGCCGCTGGGGTACCTAACAGCATGCCGCAAGGCAAGCGATACTGGGTCAATTTCGAGGGCGCCGACGAACCCAGCGAGGGCAAGTACGCGACCTGCTTGCCATTTGATTACGCCATGGATGCAACCAACGACGTGATTCTAGCATACGGGATGAATGATGTCATGCTTCCCCCAGATCATGGCTATCCAGTACGTCTGATGATTCCAGGGTACGTAGGTGGACGATGCGTCAAGTGGCTCAAGCGGATCTGGATCTCGGACAAGGAAAATGACTCGCACTATCATATCTGGGATAATCGTGTGCTTCCGTCTTTTGTCACGGAAAAGGATGGCGAGTTTGCAGAGGCGCTGTTCAACCATCCGGATACGGCGTGCAACGAGCAGAATCTCAACTCTGTCATTGTGAAGCCTGCGCAAGGGGAGAAGATTCCGCTGACTGCTGCACGCAAAGGGCAGACATACCGCATCGAAGGTTATGCGTACGATGGCGGTGGCCACGAGGTGCAGAGAGTTGAAGTTTCGCTTGATGATGGAGAGACATGGTTGTACTGCATACGGAAGTTTCCTGATGCTCCCATCCGCCATGGAAACAAGTTCTGGACATGGCTTCACTGGCATGTTGATATCGAGATCACACACCTGCTACAAGCCAAAAGTATCACCGCACGCTGCTTCAACGTATTCAAAAACACACAACCAAGAGAGCCTAATTGGAACGTCATGGGTATGATGAATAACTGCTACCACGTAGTAAAGCCGTCCATAGTCCAAGATTCCGACTCAGACACTCCATCGATCTTGTTCAGACATCCTGTCGAGCCAGGCACTGCAGATGGTGGGTGGATGAAGCCGAGCGTGGAAAATCAAATCGCCGCCGCTAAACAAGATGCCGGGGCTCCGCAGAAACAGTTCACGAGGCAAGAGATTGAGAAGCACGATTCGGAAGATGATTGCTGGATCGTCGTAGACGGAAAAGTGTATGATGCCACAAGTGTGCTGCAGTGGCACCCCGGCGGCAAAGCAGCAGTCTTGGGCCATGCTGGCAAGGTGCATGCGGAGACGAGCAATGAGTTTGAGAGTATCCATGACGGGTATGCGTATCAGAAGTTGAAAGGTAAGCACCCTGGTTTCGATATACGTTCCAATCCAGGTGTGTATCAGCACCAATACAGAGAGGCGTCTGTAAAATCACAAACCATACGCAATGAGTTGGACAGTTCAGGCACAAGCCCTAGATCATTTTCTCTCACGTCGAACAAGCTGACCACGTAAACCCAGAATGTATCCTTGGTACTGTCACCGACAAGGCAGCCGCCTACATCAAGAAGAGTGCTGAAGCAGCTGCAAAAGAAAAGTCTGAATCATCCAAGGGCTCCAGCAAGACCGTACTTGAAAAGTCACGGTGGAATCCAGTCACACTCATCGATCGTAAATCGTTGTCCGAGGATACCAGGGCATACACCTTCCAGCTTCCGAAAGACAAACCTGACCTTGGACTCGGGACCGGTCAGCATATTCAGCTCGGCTTCCACCTCAAGGACCGTATGTTGATCCGCTCATACACGCCAACCAAGCCCCTACTCCCCGAGTCCAACGGCAACATCGATGACATGCACGACGGGGCAGATATGTTCGAACTGACTGTGAAGACGTATTTCCCGACCGATGAACAACCTGGCGGGGCAATGTCAAACATCCTCGACTGTATGCCGATTGGCGAGGAAATCGAGATCCGTGGCCCTACAGGTGAGATTGTGTACAACGGCAACGGCTCCTTTACCATCTCCTCAAAAGAATACACATTCAACCGCATCAACCTTGTCCTGGGTGGTAGTGGCATTACGCCAGGCTACTCGCTGATTGCACGCGCTCTTCTGTCTTCTGGAGATGAAACTCAAATCAGAGTTGTAGATGCGAACAAGACCGAGTCGGACATATTGCTCAAAGAGGAGCTAGACAAGTTTGAAAAGGAAAGTGGCGGGAGATTGAAGGTTACGCACGTGCTGAGCCACGCGGGAGAAGGATGGAAGGGGAAGAAAGGACACGTGGATGCGGAGATGCTTAAAGAGTGCCTGTTCGAGCCGGGTGAGGGGACGGGCGTGTTTCTATGCGGACCGCCGGGTATGATACAGAAGGCTGCTTTACCGGCACTGAGTGATTGGGGATTCAAGGAGGATGAAGATGTTTTTGGGTTTTAGCGGGCATATTCATTGAGGATTATATGTTTGTTAGGCCATTCCTGGAAAGCCAGGTCAAGATCATATAATCCATTTGACAGAGACATGTACCAAGGCAATTCCTTCTCAAGTTGCTGCGTGAGATGGTCTGGGCATGTTGGAATAGTTCGAGAAGGTTCGAGTAATGTGAGAATGGTCGCGATGCAGCGGTAGAGAGCAAGGGAAGTCTTACGCGAACCCCCACGGTTTACCTCATGTCCGGCTGAAATCGCCTAGAAGCCACAGCGTCAACGCCACCGTCATGTCCAAGCGTCCGAACGACGGGCGCGTGAGGCTTGGCGGAGGCTCAGTTCAGCCTCGTCCGCCTCGTCCAGACCCTGGCTTGTCGCGGGTCTATCGAGATGCCCCACCAGGAAACGGCCCCTGCTCTGGCGACGTCGTGAAGCGGCTTTGACGTGCGCCGTATCGACAGAGGCATCGACGCGCGTATCGAGACGGCGATGGACATGGAGGCATGCGATCAGAGCCGTGATCGCAGAGAGCATCATAGCATGACGGAAGTTGGTCAAGGTTCGAAGATCGTCGTCCCCTCCATCGTAATGCGTCCTCGGAGAAAGTTGGGCGCCAAGGCTAGCGGGCTGTGATTGGTGCGAGATAAGGCATGATAGCCAGCCGTTGCCGTTGTGATGTAGGTAGCCCTCGACAGTGCTTTGTTCAGCCCAGACTGCAGACGTGTTGCTTTTGGCTGCTGGAAAAGGCAGCCAGCGAGGCGTCTTGGTTGACTGCATGTCGTGGCACCAGAGCCACGCACAGAGGCAGCCCACGAGACAGCAAAGCAAAGCGGACGAGGGCGACGCCGCCATCTGTTACCCTCACGAAATTATCAAAAAATGGCCGATCCGCTGCCGATGATAGCCCGTCTGGCAATACGAGCCCCAATCGGGCATGACCCATTCAACGTTCCGTCGCCATCAATCCACTCACAGGCCGGTGATAATAATTAGAGACGCTCCCCAGAGCCTCACCCCAGGAACCCAATTCCTCCGCATTCCTCACGCGACCTTGCCTGCCTTGCCCTCCAGTTCATTGCACACGCTGCGCCGCTGAATCGCAAACGACGTTGCAAGACTGTGGCCCCAGCGTTGTCGTGCCACGCCTTCCCGTCGTCTTATCGCAAGCCCGCACGTCAGCACCAATTGCCTGTCGACGTCGGCCACTCCAAGCACCTTCCTGCCAGTCAACATCGACGGTTGCACTGCAGAACAGAACAGGCACCCTTGGACATCGCCGTACCTGGGCCACACAGCACCACGCTCTACCAGGCACCTTGACCACGACCCTCACCGCCAGTGTTGTTGTCGTTGTCGTTGTTATCCTTATCAGTCAACCGCACTCGCAGTCACTTCCCAAGTCCTTTCTCTTCACCTCTCAACACTCACTCACACACGACCACCCCAACATGGCGACGCAATACTCAACCGCCGTCTCCCAGCCCGCACCTTACCAACGCCACGCCTACCGGAAATCGGCGCAATACTCCCCCACCGGCTCGGCCATGCACACGCCCATGAACATCTCGCCCTCGTCGCCGCGCAACACCCAGGCCCCCATGCACCAGCAGCAGCACATGGGCATCCGCCCGCTCAAGACGGCAATAGGCGTGCCAGCAGCACTGCGCAAGACGGAGCGACCCATCAAGCAGTCCCCGCCCAAGGTCGACTCGGCCAGGACCTCTCCCAACAACGGCTGGGTCGGAGGCAGTCCTTTCGGCCAGCTCTCCAATGACCGCGCCGTAACGCCCGTGTCCCAAGTCGGCAACGAGGACATGCACAGCATCTACAACGACGTGCCCATGTCGCCCACGGCAGGACCCATTACGCGCAACCACTGGCAGGTACGTTGCTGACTCTCTCCTATTCGTCTTTCTTGATATGCCGGTGCTAGCCCCACCATGCCTTGTCCGTTCTTGTGTCGCGTGTCCAGTCCCAACTGGGGGCCCGCTCTTACGTACATGCTTCGGGGTGGATCCCTTTAGCGTTGCATGGTCTGGCCACTCGCCAATGCCACTCGCCGATATGCCGATGCGCTCCACGATCCACCATGTCCATGTCGACCTGGATGCAGCCTTGGGTGTTGCCGCTTGTTGCGTCTCGACGGCGAACCGGACGCATGTTTGGCGTGGCACGTTGGCCACAGCGACCACACATGTCTTGGTCTTTCTTCTTCTCCCACGCTACACGCCCGAACCGACGCAGGGTCACGTTCGTCATTTCCGGCTTTGACTCGGTTTTTTTTTTGAACGGTTCTGGACCAATCATGCTGACGAACACATCTAGGCGGATGGCTCCACCTCGGTCTGCTCGGCATCTGCGTGTCAGACTCCTTTTGGTCTTTTCAACCGCCGTCACCACTGCCGGAAGTGCGGTGGTGTCTTTTGTTGGCAACACTCATCCAAGCAAGTCCGACTGGATGAGCTTGCACGCTTCCACGTAGAGGGCGAACTGTACCGGGCTTGCGACCGCTGCCATGGCTCGTTCCGCGAGTGGGAGCACCTACGTTCAAGCCGCACGAATAGCGAGAGCTCTGGTAGCAGCGCTGCCGCTATCCAAGTCGAGGCGCCCGTCATGCCGAAGCGACCAGACCTGCGCGTAGGCAGCCTTGCACAGAGCTTCCAGGGCGCTTGGAACTGGAGCACCTTCTGAGCTCGCTGTCGACGACGGAGCAGTTGACTACTTTCAGCAAATCCGGTGGACGGACTCGGTTCCCTACAATTCCGCCTCTTCATGATATCCGGACAGTCCGCATGCGGCCTTTCCACATTATAACTTGTATTTTCTTCCAAGCATTTGCATACTTGCATAATACCGGCGTCCTTGCACAAAACGGGTGTTTCTCAGTTCTCACTCTGCGATTGAGCGATTTTTGCCACTTCTCATGGCGACTCATAGATATGAGCTTCCTCTACTGTAAAACGAGGTATGCTACGGCCGAGCGGACGTGCAATTAGTGATTGCCGACTGCATTTTTGGGCATGCTAGGTTTTCGGTCAAACGGCCGCAACGCGAGGTTGTAGGGAAAACATTGCTGATGGGCGCTTGATATGATTTATTTTGCTGGGCGGTGAATGGTGATTGTGAGTCGAGCTAATTTGGCTCCTGGCGTTTCGCGACATTTGGAGTTAGGGTTCCTATGGCATGTGTATAGATTGAGTGCCGGTCATGGTTGAGTGACGAGCTTCAAGAATGAAGATGAGAACAATCGATTGATAAGATTTTCAAGCACCTTGATGTCGTGGTGGTGAGCCAATCAGACTTGGGATAATCTTGTCGTTTTCGGTGACAGATACGTGACTTGACTCCTGCAACCACCTAGCAGACACTGCAAGACCAGACGAAGATGCAAGTAGGATGGAGAGTTGGCTGGAGCGAGCGAGTGTTGCAAAGGCAAGAACAACAGGTGCACGACGAAGAAAACGATGGTGTAACCTGATACAAAGGCAGCCTCGTGCTCCGATTGGCCAAAAGTTTTGGGTCTCGGATGGCGCACTTTTTGTCTGCGATGACCTCTTCGGTGCAACATCTTCGCCTGTGAACAGGCGCCACCCTGCGATTGATCACGGGACAATCCAGGCTCGCATTTCGCTTGTAATCATACGCTTCCTTGTCCCCAAGGTTTTTGGGGGCACGATAGCCCCCAGGAGAGTTGTCGGGGCCCCGCGACGGCTTTTTGCAGTCATGGCCACCGAGGCCAATACGCAGCAGGCGCACGAGGACACAGCGGAGAAGGATGGGGCAGCAAACGGACATGGGAACAAGGCCAAACTACATGGGCGGGCCTTCTACGAGAGCATTGGGAGTCCAAAGCTCGTGCTTGCGCCTATGGTTGAGCAGTCCGAGTTCGTATGTCTCTTCAGCCCTCTTCTCCTCGCCGCCGCCGCATCCTCTACTGACGTCACGTCCTACACAGGCCTGGCGCTTGCTCTCGCGCTCCTTCCTCCCCAAGGCCCAACAGAAGGACCTCCTAGCCTACTCTCCCATGTTCCACTCCAAGATGTTCGCAGAGAAGAGCCAGTACCGCGATGCCCACTTCCAGCCTCTCAAGTCTACCATCCCCTCGCCCGCCGACACATACCACGTCTCCCAGCTGCCCGACTCTGAGCGACATCTCGACGGCAATCCGGCCTTTGACAGACCGCTCACGGTGCAGTTCTGCTCGAACGACCCACATGACCTGCTCAACGCGGCAAAGCACGTGGCGCCCTTTTGCGATGCCGTCGACCTGAATCTAGGCTGTCCGCAGGGCATTGCCAAGCGTGGGAAATACGGCGCTTTCTTACAGGAAGATTGGGGGCTGATCGCCAGCATGATACGGAAAGTGCATGAGGAACTCGATATTCCCATCACGGCGAAGATGCGCGTACTCGAGACGCGGGAGAAGACGCTGGCATATGCGAAAACGCTGCTCGACGCGGGCGCTAGCATCATCACTGTACATGGCCGGCGGAGAGAGCAGAAGGGGCACAACACTGGGCTGGCGGACTGGGCCATGATCCGCTACTTGAGAGAGAGTTTGCCCAAAGGAACTGTCATATTCGCAAATGGCAATATCCTCCAGCATGAGGATATTCAGACGTGTCTCGAAGTAACCGGCGCAGACGCTGTCATGAGCGCAGAGGGGAATCTCTATGACCCCACTATCTTCGGGCCAGCACCCCCACCTGGCGAGGAAGGACGAGAGTATTGGCGCGACAGGAATGGGAAAGGTGGTTACCGGGTCGATGCTGTAATGCGCCGATATATGGACATCATCCACAAGTACGCGCTGGGTCAGCAACCGCCCAAACGCAGACCGCTATGGATCCCGGGGGAGACTCAGGAACCAGAACCACCAAATGAGGAAGTTGAAGACGAGGAAGAAGGACCACCAAGAAAGAAACAGAAGCAGATGGAGAAGAAGGGGAATGGGAAGAAACAGCCAGAGAAAAAGAACCCAAACTTGACAGCCATGCAAGCGCATCTCTTCCACCTCCTCCGCCCTCTCGTCGCAGAGCACCACAACGTACGGGACGCCCTCGCGCGGTCGCGAACCGGCGACATCGAAGCCTTTGAAAACGTCCTTGCGCTCGCCGAGAAAGCCGTCAAAGAAGGCATCATCAAATATGAGCAAGAGCCTGTCACAGAATCCGATTCAAGTACCACCGAGGAAGTTGTCGCAAACCTTGACCCTTACGAATCCTCCCTGGCCACGGTGGCGCGATGCAAAAGACCATACTGGGTCTGCCAACCTTACGTTCGTCCGTTACCCAAGGAAGCTATCGAGAAGGGGAGTATGCAGCTCAGTAAGAAAGATAAAAGAAAACAAGAGCTAGAGGCTGAGGAGGTCAGGAAAGCGGGGTTGGAGCCTGGCGGACGAGTGGAGAAAGAGGCGCTGAACACGGATGAGGTAGTCGAAGTGCCCAAGGACGGTGTGGTTTGTGGATAGGGTGCGAGCGTTGAAGCAGAAGGTAGGAGGAAGAAATATACCCAATTCAAGAATCACAACTTTTGGCAAGGCTATGAGAAGTGCAATGGAGCTAAATCGTTGTGTGTGTATCCCAGGGTGCACGATCTGGTCAGATGTGGGTTGCTTCATCTTGTTGCTTTCTCACTCACGCTGGCCCCAGTCTCCCGTTTATCATCGCATTGCCACAAACAAAGGCAACGTCTTTCTTCCGTTCCTCTTCCACGTTTATCAACACCTACAATGCATCTTATGCAAACCAAATGTCGACCGCCAAGTGTCGGGTGCAAGTGATCATTGGACCCTGCAACACGTCCTTTCCCCACTTTCAGCTTACACTCAGCGCTCTCACCTGAACACTCAACCCGCAAGTCAACAGCCTTCACTGTTCACAGCATGGCCGCAAAGCAGCGATCAACTGCAAAAAGTCGCGACGGACCTACTCAATGGAGTACTGGTCAACCAAAGTATCGCAACCGGCAGCTCCTTCCCAGACGACCAAAGCCTTTTTCCATAACGCGCCCCGAGAGACGGCAGATGCTTACCGAGCGGAACGATAGACTCCATCGACTACATGATGCTATCGTTGGAACGGGACGCGCTTTTAAAGGCAAACTTACCCACAACCCTCAGGATGCGAGCAGCCAAGATCCTGCAAACCTGTCTGACATAAGCAATCTTTCCGAGGCGGGTCGTGCTGCGATTTACTGGACTTCAGGCAGCGCACAGTTGGGCTACATGGGCGTAGGTGTTGTCTGGCAAGAAAAGGCTTTGGGCTCTGGACGATGGCAAGAAGCAGAATACCCAATAGGCTATAACACAGGTACTATTTCTGATGCTCAAGCATTCGGTGTCGCTGTTGCCTTGGGCCTTGCCGTAGATAAGGTCAAAGAAGGAAAGAGCCTGAAAGTTGTGAGGATTTTCACGCATTCTCCAGGCATGATAAGCAGTCTGCACAAACAGAAGTATACTTCGCTCGGTCCAATGCTCGGGGACAGATTCGCGCTCCTCGATCTTTACGAGCGCTCGGACTGGCTGGTTAAGCATGGTGTTGAGGTCGAATTGGTGTGGCTCAAGAACAAGGGTCACGTCAAGAGCAAGGCTGTCAGATTGGCGGATGAGGCTGCCGATCGAGCCGCGCATGCAAACACCGAGCTATCCGGTGTGATAAAAACAGCAATCCACGGCGCCAATGTTACAGAGTTACTCAAGACCATCGACGACGTACCCCAAATCTATAGAGCGAGTGGTCAAGATTGGATCGATGAATGGCTATGGCGGCAGAACAAGAGCCTGTACGACTTCCCAACCAAGAATCAGGCAAAAAGGGAAAAATTGGCGCACGGTGTTCAGGATCTGGCTGATGAAGAACTCGACCACTCCGACATGGACGCACAAGCCGATGACGAACCTCTAAACCACAACATGGCTGCACATCCGATCCTCAAACATGAGCAGGATGAGTCCGATGAAGACGACTGGGTCGGAGGTGTTTTGCTCGACGCTCTCGAGAATGCAACACATAATTTTCCAGAGACTTTGAAGTCGAACACGTCCATGCTGAGCTACGTTAACCAAGAGGATGGATGCACGCCATATAAGAACGACTACCATAACAAGCAGGCTGGGATAGCGTATGCAAGTGACGACGAGGATGAAGATGGGGGCGTCTTGATCAAGAGAGAGGAGGAATGATGTTAGGAGATGCCGTGTGGGAACGCTGCCAGCTGTTTTTGAACTTCGTCAGCGACATCCGCCAATCAACAAAAAGCACAAACCCGTGCTCTGTGACATATGGTTGCTGGAACTATGAACAGTTCTGTGTGCAAGTACAACTAAAGGAATATTGTAAATACTCTCTCATAGGCATACAACGTCGAACACAGCTTAAATACTACTCCATCTAAGCAGTGCCAGGTGCAAACGCCGCAGCAATGCCAACAAGCTTCATCACAAGCACCTTTTGATGTTGCCCGTGTTGCAGATTGCCTTTCACTGGCCATCTTGCTTCAAAGCGAATACTTCGACCTTCAACGATCATGGCCACCTCGTAGTAAACCTCCCAATACCATTTCTGTGAGCCGAAATGGGTGCTGAATTCAGATGGCTGCTGGGGCTGGATCAGGCCGTCTTCCTTCAAAAAGGTCAAGTTCGCCTCAATTGATCCAATCAACTCGGCCCCTATCTCATAATTAGATAGGTGAAACACAGAGCAACTAGAGCTTACCTTTGTTCAAGGGATGCGTCTTTCTGTAGTGGTCTGAATGTTTGAGATCAGACATCCACAGTTGCTCAGCGCACACAAGCTTCTTCCTTGTCAACGGAAAGGTATGTCTCACGTCAAACGTAAACGTTTGCATATTCTCCACTCTCTCACCCTAACACACAGTAAGTCAATCATATCATTATACGACTTTGAGGTCACTTACAGCGCGGATTACCCATCGGATCGTTTCATCGACATATTTTTCGCCATCGGCTTTATTGATGCGACATCTTGTTTGACGATGTGCTTCTATACTATCAGGCTCATACGGTTCGCTGACGAGAATTCCATAGCTGCATTGGGTAATCCGGCTCGGTCCAAACCTCTTGTTGAGTGCTCGAAGAACTGCGCCTCTTGCTACTGCTGTTGACCTATGAGCTTGTCAGTTCGCTCTTCATCGACGTGATAGTCAGGATCAGAGAATGACTGACGGGTTTTGCGGAACAATCAAATCAATCTTCCAGCCTCTGATATTCATTCGTCCCGCAAGATAGGTTCGCAGGTAGCTTTGCAAAGATGGGGATTGGCTAAAACCGCCAGTCAGGATAATCTTCTCGACGCGATGATTCTTGCTTTCTGCCAGCTCCAACTGGTTCTCGAGAACCTCCTTCACGCCTGCCAGCGAATCCTCGAAGAACCCACTCATTGTTTTTCTGCTAGAATTTCAGTATATGGACACATCAAATGGATCCTCCAAACTTACCGCTTCAGCTCTAGAACGTTTTGGAAGAAGTGTTTTCTCCGATTCTCCCTAAGATCATCGATCCAGATTGGAGCTAAGGGGGCTTCACGTTTCGTGATGTCAATGATTCTCTTCTGATAGTTTTCAAAGATAGTGGTTCTGGCCTGTACAATACTTTTCAAAGTTTTTCCGTTCTTAACCAGATAGACTTCGCTGGCAAGTTTATGCAGTAGCTTCTTCTCAAACCTTTCGTTTATGTAACTCGCACCACATAATCGACCTACAACGCTTAGCCTACATTGATAGATGACGTACCAAAGAGGAAAACCTATCGGAAGTACTCACTATCTGGGCTAACAACCTCCGCAGACAAGCGCAAGGGATCACTGTTCTCGCACTTGTACGTTACGGCATCGACTGTGCCTCCTCCAGCGTCAACAATGACGACCGTTTCGTTACGCTATGCGTTATAGTTAGTAGAATCGTTAACAAATGATAGAACACTACCTACAAAAACCTCACTTCTTGCCTCAGCAAGAATACATTCAGCAGCAGCCTCTGGCTCCGAAATCATGAAGAGATTGCGCACGGTATGACCGTCCCGCTCACTCAGGCCGACGTCCATCACAGCCCCTTCCAGTGCGGCCTGCATGGTTCGACATGCGCTCACAGGCCATTTGGCAGGCACACACAAGACAAATTGGATGAGCATATCTTGTTGGAGCTCATTGGAAGAAAGAAGCTGTTCCTTTGTGTGTCTTAGTAGGTGTGTGAGATAGTGCGTGTAGATATCCGTGTCGTTCTGGATGATCCCTTTTCTCTTCAAAGCTTTCAGAGCTGTCCTGATATCAGTCCGAACGTCGTCAGTTTCTATACCGTGACCAAGGTTGAGCTTGAATCTAGTGAGTGGTCGTGCTTCATCTCTAGGGATGTTCATCGTGCTAAGCTTGTGCTGGACTCCGTAACCCCAGTACTGTGTGGCAGGAGTTCTGCGAAAATCTCGGTGTCGTATATTCGCGCGCGCTTCCAACCCACCATCATCATCGAATGGTGATTGTGACTGCCCGTCCTCGGCATCATCGTCATCACTGCTAGAGGATTCCTCAATTTCACTCTCCGGGTTTCCAGCACGATCGACCCCGTTGGAAAAGCGTTGCCTCCGACTTTCTACTTGTCCATCATCGTACCACAATTCAGTTGGGACATCTTGTCTGAAATCCAGTACACCAGGAGGAGGTTCGTAGCCTGGATAGTTGCCGATGCATCTCACCTGGCGTATATCGACTCTTTCTGGCGGCGTACCCTTCGGTACGACAGTGTACGCAACAGAAGAGAACGTCGTGCCGAAATCGATAGCAATGATCATTCGATCCTCTTGAATGTTGCTGACAGGATCGTGTTCCATCTCGTAATCCTCATTGATGTTCTCTCCCTCTTCTTCTATGGTCATCTCAACATCTGTGTCCTGAGTGACGTCTTCGTACGACGGTTCTGGACCGGGATCAATTTGACTGAATATGATCTTGGAACTTCTCGTTGCAGGAGGCATGTTGTTCCTGTGAAGGTAAGTGACAATTGCTAAAGCGTAGAAAGAGAAAGCGATACGATATATAGATCTGAACCCAGGACCTACGCTCGAATGAAGAATTGTACAAGTAGAGCTGAGAAAAAGGTCAACACAGTGTAATGTATTCTGTTGAGTGCGGTTCAAGCTCAACTTCAAGGTCTCACTACATTCGAAATGCTGCAAAAGCACTACGAGCTGGCGTGGCGCAACAGGGCGCGAGGCGGATTCTGTTTCACAAAAGGTAGTCAGCCTTGCCGCCTGCTTGGCATTAGATTAACCCTACCGAGATGCAACTACGACAACCAATCGCTCCCCTCCATTCCCATGCACTCTCCAAAATAGGACAACCCCTTTTCCCGTGCCGCCATCACTCCTTGCTAAGCGCAAGTCCCATATTTGACCAAGCACCCAGTCTCGGAGGATACTTAACCTTCTCTTGTAAAGCCTGTTCCATTTTGTCGATCTAGTATTCGATTTCCCGTCTTCTCTAAAGCGCTTGATTTTTTCCGTACCCGTTATTCACAGTTGTTCGAAGTCTTTGATGTCTTGCCCAGACGTAGTTGAACTTCTGGCAAACCTCGATTTCTTGGTTGAAGGGCCCAAGACAAGGTCATTACAGGATGAAGATTATGACGAGTACACATATGAACTGCTTGGCCAGCTTTCTAAGAGTTTGGGGAGCCGGTACACTGTAGAGCAAATCAGGAAGCAACTTTGGACGGAGTTTCAACCTGGGTACGAATTTCCCCAGCATAACATCGATCTGCTCTTCCTTCACGGCAGCTCCGAGATACGGACTCTTAGTCCGGAGTTGAAGAGCCTCATAAAAGAACAGCTGCGTACAATCCGCCTACAAAAGGCGTTGCACGCACCGCGTTGTCGACGATCTTTAGCTCGAGTGGAGAAACACCGTGGACACCATAGAAACTCCGGGCCTGCGAGACCATCCGCAAAATTCAACACAGGAAAGAGTCGTACAAATGCGGTAAAAAAAGACGTATCGCTTGAGAAGAGTACGTATCCTAAAGTAAGGTTTCAGTTTACGACGACTAGGGTATAACTGCTAATACGGAAAGTCAGGCTAGACAAAGTACTACATCGACACCTAAACCTCAGACAGTTCAGTCCATAGTTATTCCCGCAAGGACCAAGACTGATCACAATTCATACCACTCTCCATTTTCATCGCCTCCAACAAGGGAACCCACTACTACCGTCCCGTTTTCAGGCGAGAAGCTAGCTATGCAGTCAACATCAGTCGCTCACACTGCAAGATCAATGAACGAAAAGATTGATCGAAGGAGCCATTATATGACCAGAAGTCCTCGTTCACTTGCTATGTCCACTGAGATCGACGACATGGATATGATCTCTGCAATGGTACACTATAAACGGCGCTGCGAAGAAGCTGAACATAAATGCGAAGACCTAAAAAAAGAGAGGCGACAGATGGAGAGCTTGAGATATGTACCAGAGGATGTTTCGAATGTCTTGCAACAAAACATACGACAGATCAGCAACCTGAAGAAACAGCTCGATGATCGGGCGAATCTGGAGCGGTACCTCTACATTGGCAATTTTCCAGATGAGACGTTGAACGCGCAACAATTCATTTCGAGGTTTCAGATGATGAAAGACCAAATCCCTACAATCCTGGTTCTGAATGATGCAGACAAGCTATCAATCAAGCATCTTTATGGCGAATCTACAGATCTAGATGGTCTGTTATCAATCATTTTTGGCACTGACGGCCTAGGCGGATTCCAGAAAATGGCAGACAGTCTCCCTGCATTGACGTTGTATGATCTCGTTCAAGCTCTTACGGGAGCGGCAATCCATTCTTGGATCTTTGGAAGCGAGTATCGTATCCATAGTTTGAAAGATTCACCGCTGTTACAGAAGTATCGTGATCACATTGCTACCTTATGTAAGTGCCGATATGGCCACTACCTATTGTTCATATACACTAATATCTAGTAGGTGGTTACGAAAGCCTTTGTAATTTGGATATCGCTGTGCATCGATCCATAGTCGACGAACAAAGCTTCAGGGATGTGATCGTTCGGAACATGAGCGAGACGTATACTACCCGTTTGCTACATGCCCTCCAACCTCTCTTCCAACAGCCACTGGAGCGCAACGCAACCAGAAAATTGAAATCCTCGCTGGATCGCGTATTGAGTCTGGCAGTACAAATTCGATCAGATTCCCTGGTTGGCACTGAGGACTATGAGTCGGTATGGCCTGCAATCGGCTCGACATACAGCCAAAATGAGATGGAGACCAAGCACGCAGGGTCTGTTGCCATAGCAAATGTGGTCAGGTTGTCTCTCTGCCCAGGTCTCCGGGCGTACTCAAAGAAAAAGGCAATGGTTGAATACCATAGTCTTGGGAATGGCGGATGTTCCAATGTGACTCCAAAATATGTGATCAAAGCCCTGGTTCTCTGTTAAGAGACACAATTCAGATGAATGTCTCCGGAGTAGTTTGTCAACCTATACCCATTGCTATTTGTATTTCAACAGCATTTGTAAAACTGGATTGATTGATGTCTCTAAAAACAACCTGCAACATAAATGCATTCTTGTGGGTTTAGCTACACCACGTATAGTGCCACTGTACCTTCGCTCCACTGTGTAAAGCGGCTGATTGAGGCTTACATCGAATCAAAACAAGGGGAATGCAGAGCCCGGTGAGCAGCTAGATAGGGACATTCGTAGCAGACTCCGTACATCATGCGACAATACTGACACGCCAGTGAGGGCTATGCGCTGGGTTCCAGCTGCTGCCTGTCATTGTACAACGTCTAGTGGGCGGAGTGTGTCAAGGGCAAGTTGCGGCGCTTATCAGTCTTCCCAGCAAGACGCGTGCCTATCTAAGCGCCTCAGCGTACTGCAGTCGATGCTGCGATCCATGTAATTATGCCTTATGCAGGGGCTACCAGGATTACAGGGATGTTCATATGTGCTGCGCCACTGGTGTCATTGAACAAATCGCAGGCTCCCACAGAATGTACTCATAAAGTACTCACAGACGTCTAAAATGTCCGTTTTCACGATCCCAAAGTGACTGATCAAGCAAATATCGACGATGCCACCGAAAAAGGATCAGCTTTCCAAAGTGGACTTGCGTCGAAAAGCCTACGAGCATGGCATTCGGTTCGAGGGACCAACGCCACCAAAATTGTGGCCTAATGAACACAAGCACCATTTTCAGGCCATCCGGTCCATTCAGTTTACACAGTATGACGACTATAAAGACAACAAACATGTTTCCATCAATCGAAGGGAGACTTTCCAAAAACGTGTCAATTACTTGCGGCGTAAGGCAAAGGAACTGCTCGATGATGTCAACACCAACGAAGCCACTTGGCGCGAGCTTGAACATCCAATATTGGAGAGATTTGACAAACTTGTCATCTGGTATGCATTAAAGTTGTCAAATTTCTGTAACAATAACACTGACCTACGAACCAAGTGGAAATTGCAACAATGAATTATGGAAATCGGACCACGAGGCAGAGTGCCTACACGAAGAGAACCAAATCAAGCTCAATTCAAAACGACATCTAAGAAGGATGTGTTTTTGCAAGAACAGACGAGTCGAAGTAAGGACAGAAAACAGGTAATGCCTCCTCAATGTCCTTTCTGATGAATGCGCTGAATAAGAAGTGATGATGAGAATGGAACCATATTCCGGTTTGCCAAGGACGAAGTCATTACCCACGCATTGGGAGATGATCTCCAAAATTTCAATATCTCCATGAAGCCAGATCGAGTAATTGGATTAAGGGCCCCATCAAATATGCCCCAGAATTACTCCTACTTTCCAGTCACAGGAAGGGGAATATTGTTACCGTTTCTCATAGTAGAAGCGAAGAAAGGGGGGGTTGTCCCAGGTTTTCGATCAATTCAGTATCAGACCGCCTTTCCGGTTCGTCGGCTTTTGAAAGCTCAATATGACCTTGGTAATCGTAGCTCATCTTGTGAGCCTTGCTTGGTGTGGTTTTTTGCATATCAGGGTGAGCAATGGCGCCTACACGCGGGTTCTCAAGAGCATGGAAAAGTAGTAAGTTACAACCTAAAGTGTAAGGTCGAGATTGTGCTCATACAAAGATCCCAGAGAATATACGATCTATGGCAAGGGACGATACAATCTCAAGACGGCGCACTACAATTATTGCTTATCGTTGACTACATATGGTCATGGGCCCGAGATGTCTACCGGCCAACTATCAGAGAACTCATTCTGGACTCTATCACAGGTATTCGTGATCTCTCCCCAGCATCTACCGATCGGTTTCGCCATTCTATCTCATTATCGTCCGTAACAAGCCCTGCTCCAACCATACAGGACCTCGATCAGATGCAAATTGATGAAGGTTTGGTTGCTACAGAGCGTTCCATAGGACTTGCCCAGGAAGATGGTTATCAATCTCACCAGTACGAAGACCAGGAAGTCATAGTCCTCAGGGATGCACGTTCTCACACTTTTCTCCAGTGGGCAGTTGGCCAAAACTGCTCACCCTCGTGGACCAAGCTTGGAAGCATACGCCACTCAGACATCATACATTTCGAATTCCGATGTTATGATGCCCAGAGGTGTGACACTGATATTGGACAATCAACTGAAGTGGAAGATGATGATGATGATCTGTTGTTATCTCGTACCCTATCTTCTTGGGCGCTTCCTATACTTCCGGAACAGCTCAATGAACTGGCAACTCTCTGGACAGTGAATTTCGCTCCAAACCCGACACTTGATCTTAGGGGCCCTCTTCAAGCAACATTGTTCTGCCAGACATACTGTGATCAGTCAACATGGCAAATCAAGAGAGTACTAAACTGCATATTATGGAGACAATTGACCCTGGAACCGGCTACGACAGCTAATATCGCCTGTCTACCAACATATGGGGGCGAGAATGATACACTGGAGCGCCTGGGAACGATAGACTTCAAAAGTGCTATCCTACATAGTCGTAACATTCAAGGTAGAGAATCAGTTCGGTGTGCTCTGCAAGGCGTGAGCATGGTTTTGCAACCTAGAATCGATAACGTGGGCCTCGACTGGACATTGTTTGCACAGACTAATCTTCCCGAAAATGCATCTGAGACTCTCATGGGCCTTGCAGCTCGTATGCGTCTTGGCGATATCGATATACACCATGTCACTTGCTGTGGTGGACTCTCGCAGATCGACTCAAATTCCGAAAGTCATCTTCCGTCAATACTTCCAGCTTCAGGGCAGGGTACACAAAATGGAGATTCCATGCTCGCGATCCGGTTATCTTCATGGCCATCAACATGTCCCATGTTTTGCTTGTTTGTCCTTTCTCAGAAAGGTTACGACTCTGTCAACATCCTCCACCGACTTCTCGAAGAAGCCATTTCGGCAAAAGATTGGCACGGAGATAGCGATTACAAATGGCGTCCCTCAGACTGGCAGATACTTCGCGAATGGCGCGAAGCTCTTCGAACTGAAGAGTGGAAAAGGGCTACTATTACTACAACATCCCATGACTTTTCAGCATAACCATGGAAAGGTTACCCTGTTAAAAAACATCAAACTAACCAGGAGATATGGAACAACATAACACTCTGGCTAGCAATGGGCCTCAAGCGATCACCTGCAAGTTGGAGAAACGCAAAATGGCCTACATATGAGCCTTGCTGGCGGTTCGCAAGATATTGGGAGGCACAGTAATCAAATCCTCATGTGTTGCTAATAGAAATTCTTGTGATGTTGATAGGGCGGGCCAAGAGCGTATCATCTGCCCAGGATGCGATAAGTTGCAAAGAGATCACTTCAATTACAATGGATTGGGACTGATGTTCTTGTATACATCATAGCAGTATATGTCACGCATTGCGTTCCAGTAGTGATGCGGCGGTCACGTTCAGTTCGGGTAGAGTGTTAGAGATCGTTTGCTCTAAAACCTAATATGATCTTAGAATATTTCACATCTGCACCCTGCCGTTAAGCGTGTCGGTCTTGAACTAATGAGAGACAGGACACTTTTTGTAAATCAGAATTACGAGCTCAGGCAGGAATCTCAACCAATCTACACCAGCTTGATTTGTAGAGAGCTTTCGAGTACAAGTGTGACGAAGTAATGGCATAAGTGGATTCATGATAGCCTTCAAGCTGAGACGGCTCGATTCTGGTTGTTGAAAATTAAACTGGAAGTCAAAACGGTGGGTGAATGACATTGTTAAGATGGAGTTCAGGACAGAAACTTCAATCTCTAGGCGGACAGAGGAGATCGAGAGACCTATTGTGATGAAAGATCGGGCTGCACAAGCTCGATGAATCATCTACTCCAGCCGAATCGCACCCACTCTAGTCTCATCTCCGACAGACTGATACAAGGGTCCCCTTCCTGGCATCATCAGTACCATAGGCTCTATACCCGTCCCTCCTAGCAATCTACTGGAAACCCATGTGTGTCGCCTTATCCAGGCCATGCCATACAGCAATGCCGCGCTGCCAAACATGCCAGTCGCGATATATTTTATCAAGTATTGACACCATATAAACCAATGAGATCCTTCAGCATCCCAGGCATAGCGTTGAAGATATATGGAGAAGACCAGGTGTCCACAATAGAGAGCATTAACTCCAACTCTTGTTTGAAGCCCAGGGGTGACTGTCCAGATTCTGACTGCAAGGAGAAAGGTAGCCGGTAGAGAAAGAATCATGATGACGTAGTTTTTAGAATCGAACCTATACGCGAGCAACGAAATAAAGTTGAGAAGCGGTAATACGAACCATGACAGGGTTGATAAATAGAGGAACGGTTTTGGTCGGATGTATTGGGGGAGTTCCAGTGCGAGAGGTGCCAGGGGGAAGAGACTATTACATGTACGAGATGCATCAGTGATGTACACGGTATGTTCTTGCAGTCATGCTTACAATGTCTTGACCCCGACGTTGAAGGTATTGAGTAGAACCCATTTGAGGCTCAAACTGGATGGCAAGGCGAAGAGATGATTGAGGTAATTAAATAAGCCGTAAAACGCTGAGACATAGAACAACATTGTCGCAAGGACAGACGTCCTAAAATGTGTCAGACACTCATTTAATATGGCGAAACGGGTAGTACCATTGTGCGTATATGGCTGGTATCATTTAGCATCCTGACATCAGCGAGAAATTCGCTCAAGTCGCGATAACGTACTCAGATTCCGTAGTCTCAGGTCGGATCTCACGTTGTACCAAACACCCATCCTACACCTAACGAGAGTCGTGCTCGACTCTAAGAACTTGATATGTGTTGCGAGAACGATATATACATGCTGTTAAAGGATAAACGCTTGATGATGGTGCAAGCATGAGTTGTGCGATGGAACCTGCACCACGATGACATCGAGAGGCACAGCCACCTCGATGCCAAGAGCGTGTTTCAGCCCCCACAGCTATCGACCGCTCTAGGCTTTCGATTAGTCAACAAATCAAAGTGGGTAGGCATATACCAATCATGTTTATGGGGCTCAAGTTCTACTTGAACTTTGCTTGTAGTTGTCCAGCTGTTCCAAGATCTCGCTGCAGCTTTGTTCCAGGTGTTTCGTCTAGGCAACCGAGAGCCAGGAAATTAGACGTTGGACGTCACGCCAAATCACCACTTGGCTCCATGGCGTCGCGCGACGCAATTTATCAACCGCTCAGGGACTCTTCTATCCGCCTCCTATCCATTAACCCCGGGTTTCCAACGGAAACCATAGAATGTGCGTTCGTCACTGTCACCGATATTAACGAATCACCGCCATACAGTGCGCTATCGTACGTTTGGGGCAAGGAACTAAATGCAGACCCTATAATCTGCAATGGTGTCAATGTAGCCGTTACGAAACAACTGGCCGATGCACTAAAGCATCTACGACGCTTCCCAGGATGGGGTTCGGTCATTCCCTGGTCTAGAGATCACCCGCTACATTCGAGGAAGAATGCGTGGAACGGGTTTGCGAGAAACCGACATGAACATCACAAGGATAGTATAGGGAGTCAAGAGGTCTTGCTATGGGTCGATGCGCTATGCATAAATCAGGATGACGCCAATGAGAGAGCAAATCAGGTCAAGATGATGGGCAAAATTTACGCGCGAGCCTTGAACGTCAAGATATGGCTTGGCAAAGAAGACAAGGAACCACCAGACTTTACCGCTTCTCTCGGACTAGGAACATTGAATAGTGTTCATATCGGCGCGTCTCTCGGACTAGGAACGATGAATAGTGTTCATATCGGCGCGTATGGCCGGATACCTATCTCCCTGTCTTTTATCGCGCAAGCACTGCGAAACGCCAGCGGACCGAAGAACAGACTGGCTGCAATTAGACCGATGGAGGATTCAGCTCATCGTAACGTGGCATACGGGTTCCCGCCGCCCAACGCCCCCGAATGGGACGTTGTTCGCGATTTCTTTACAAATTCTTGGTTTGAAAGAGTTTGGGTGGTGCAGGAGGCAGTGCTTGCGAGCGAAGCAACGGCGCTGATCGGTGACTGGGAGATCGAATGGGCAGCCATTGGCCAAGCAGCGGTGTGGTTTCAGGCCAAAGGCTATGCTATGCCAGCAGTGTTGAAGTACCAACTGCGAGACCAACATGATCTCTTGCCCGTCTCCAAATCCGCCTCAGCATGGAATTTCTGCTCTTGGCCTGAGCATAGGATCCCACTTCTAGACTTACTTCATGAGTTTCGCAACAGACTAGCTACTAATCCCGTAGACAAAGTGTATGCAACGTTTGGTATGGCGGAAGAATTGGCATACATGGAGGAGAATGGATTTCATGAACTGGTGGAGCCAAACTACACTTCGAAGTCCGTTCTCGATGTCTATCGCGATATCGCAAGATTCCTCGTCATCGAACATGGAAATCTCGCAGTACTTTCTCACGTAGGAATGTCGGTGCTGTCAGACTGGCCGTCGTGGGCTCCGGACTGGCGCCACGACAAAGCCTCAAATGCCTTGTCGACAAAGTGGTCTGCCGGCGCATACAACACAGGTGGAGATCAGTCGCTCGCTATCGGCATCAGCAACGATGTTAACACACTATCGCTTCAAGGGATTGAGACGGATACTATCGCGGCTTACGGCGACAGACTTGCAAGCTACGGCTTTGGCTATGTGACTTACCAGGAAGAAATCGATTTCGTGAAAATGGCGTGGGCATTGTTCATGCAGCGACCTTTGGACACATCGGCCTCGGACACAGACGACGGTGTCGCAAACACATTCATCCACACACTGACTGCAGGTCTCAGCAACACAAATAAACTCGCATCCGAAGACCCCACCTACCAGGCAGACGCCCTGTATTGGTTCGCACAGCATGCTCCTCACATGCTACCTGGCATATCTTTTTCCCAGCGCCTGAAATGGTCAATAAAGCAGCGTCCAGATCCAGGCCGATTTCATGAGGCGTTTGTGCGTGCTTGCGTTGATAGACGGTTCTTTGTGACTAGAGATGGGTCAATGGGTATCGGACCAGACGCGATGAAGCAGGGTGACGTGATTGTGGTATTATTTGGCGGGAGGGTACCTTATCTTCTCCGAGCCTTGGATACTGGATATAGGTTTCTAGGGGAGTGCTATGTACCAGGGCTAATGGATGGCGAAGCGGTTCGAACATGGAAAGACGAAGGGAGCAAGAGAGTTTTCTTCGAGTTAGTTTGATGTCAGAGCGCGTTGAAAATGGATGCATAGTAACGGCAACATTTCTGCCCCTTGATCTCTACCGATGCTAGCATATGGGAAGAAAGCCGCTGGTACGTTGCCCAAACACGGCAAATCGAGCGGGAAGCCTCACTGTTTTGGACGCTGATACCATCACCATCGATAATGTTGCTGTAACCGTGAGCGTTTTTTGCAGAAAGAAAGGTGGCAAGTCAATTCTTAAATACCTACACGGGTTTATATGAATTGGCTCCGCAATAGTTGAACCCCTTGCCCAAGAGTTGTATAACGTCGTGACGATTTGACTTTCGATGCGGGTGAACAATTGTAAGGGACAATCTTAGCAACCAGGTAGGTCTGTGGTTACTTGTAGTTGTCGTTACTGTATCAACAGTCGAAGTAGCCCAACACCATGCCCGAGCGCATATTACTCGGCACTACTTTCGAGCTAGAGGGAGCAGGATACGAAACCTTAAGGGGGTGTAAAGTTCATATACAATGGGGCCGAGGGCAAAACATCAATGATCCATAGGTTCTCCGAAGATGGGCCGAATAGTGTATCTTGAGATACTGCGTAAGATTATACGAGCCACAAAATGCCGAAGCTTCCACAACTGTCTCCGCCATCAGTATCAAAATTGATGAAAGCAATTGAACTTGACCAAGATTTCCACTCGAGAATATCTTAAACAGTACTCTTGTTTGACGGTGTTTGGGTTCGAATAGTGCAGCGATGGGTCGGCGTTACTTGACTGTCCGCTTTTGCAACCTGATCCAAGAAAGACCGCCGGTCAATTCGGGCGTGGCGTGGCGCAATTTGCCAACTCATATGTTAGGATCTGCGGAGTAATAAAGCCTGAGAGAATCTATAGCCAAGTGAGTAAGACCTTGCCTAAACAAGTCTCGAGTACTACTCAGACAGGTATAGCCCTCTGTTCATCATTGGAATCATTGGCATATGAGAATAAGCATATTCTGTTCTCCCCTGCGAGAACCGGCAACATCTGAAAGCTATGCTGGGATAGGTTTTTTCTTGGTACGATGCTCAAACTGGGGTGTAAACTCTCGTTGAAACCTATAAAACGACGTGTGCATCGCACAAAAGGCGTCAACGATTACCGACTCTTCACATGCCATCATGTCGACTGAAACACCATCAGTGTCCAACGTGTTCCTCAACCTCTTCATTCCACGCGGGACAAACACAAGTTTTCGATGGGACATAGTTTGGATCACCTTGGCCTTCTCGGTTGTCGTTCAGGCTTTCAAAATGGTATACTACGCAAACATACATCCGTTGCGAGCGGTTCCCGGCCCATGGATTAGTTCAGCAACCTCTGTATGGATTCGGTGGCAGAGATGGAACGGCAAGCTTTCATTCGAGGCGGATAAGCTTATGACAGAATATGGGCCAATCGTCAGAATCAGCCCAAATCTTGTGATTCTAAACGATTCCGAAGCAGTGGAAAGAATATTCATGAGGAAGGACCTCGATACTTCCCCGAAGTCGATCCGTGCTTTGCGTGTTGGCGGTCATGACTGGACAGTCACATATCCACAACACCCTGTTGCGCGGCTACGACGCCACCCTGTCATGATTGCTACGACGACCAAAAACCTTAAGCTCCGCCATGAGATATTCGTCACCAACACTGAAGCGATGGTTCGAGATCTTGCAAAGTCAGAAGGGGCGAGATCAGAAGATATCGTCTATCACCTTCGCATTTGCACTTTGAAGAATTCGCAGGTTATTATGGGAGGTTCCGCAGTAGATCTTGACCATCGCGAATTTCCACGTGTTGTCGGAGAGTACAACTTTCTCGTAGTTTGGAGATTGTGCCTTCCTGAATGGCTGTTTGGTTGGTTACAATACGGTCCGTTCCCGCATTCTCGTTTCCGTGTACAATCAAGCGATAAGCTTTTCGAACTGGGCGAAGAGATGTGTCGACAAGCCGCTGCGGGACAAGAAGCAGTGTTCGAGGAGGACCCTAGCGTTTACAAGTTGTTTACCGACCATGATGCAAAGTACCCCACACAATCATGGACCGGCCCCGAGCTCGGTGCGGAAATGGCAGGTCAAGTGCTCGCTGCCACGGAGACAACCTCATCTGCACTCGCGTTTATCTACTACGAATTGGCGAGGAACCAGCGCCTTCAACAGGAGGTGTACGAGGAAGCCTACGCTCATGAGGGGTATGAGGACCTCGATTCCTTAAAGCTTCTGGATGCGTGTATCAAGGAAGGTCTTCGATTCCGTCCACCAGTCGCCCTCACAGGAAGTCGCATGGTGCCCGAAGGAGGAATGTATGTTCTCGACTATTTCCTCCCTGCTGGCACCGTTATTACGACCCAATCACTGTCAATGAGTCGACAAAGACCTGATCTCTTTCCAGATTTCGACAGCTATAACCCTCGACGCTGGCTAGACAATGAAAATCATGCTGAAAAACGCCGCCTCCTTGTGCCGTTTGGTATCGGAGCCCGCCGTTGCCCAGGAGGAAACATGGCCACGTACCAGATGCGCCTTATCCTGGCTGCCACATTCCGCGCATTCAAGATTACACTAGCACCAGAAACCACTCCTGAAGCGATGGCACCGTTCGAAGCAAACGGTTATCGGTCCCGCCACGACAGGTGCGACTTGATTTTCACACCTCGAGCGGCATAATACTATTTGCTACCCTTCTTTTGGTTGCTGGGCGTTCATCATGTCCCTTTACTTTTGCTGTATTACTAGATGTAGACATTAGGCGTTTGAGATTACAAACAAATTTGAGGAATTGAGAAGTTTTTAATTCTCAAAACAGTGGCTTTTTCAGGTGGCTAATATAGGTCTCAATTCCTGAAGTGCTAAAGTTACTGTCAAGTCACGGATCGAAACACCCGTGAAGATATATATCATGTGTGGCTACAACTCTACTTTGATGTGAAGAGATATGCGAACGTAGAGCGACCTCGCTCATACTGGGAGGAGCCACCGGGAGAGGGCAGCATGGATATGAGTGAAAACTGTTTGAGCTTATTCATCTACGACAATCCAACAATCCAAACAACCGTGTGTGACTTTGTGATCAACGGTTGGTTTGGTGGTGCGACTTCTTGCAACATTCTGGGGGTCGGTATTCCCGTGAACGGTGTGAAGTCATTCGATACCGTGGACTACCAAATCACCTACGTGACATTCTGCTTTCACCTCGCAAACTATACTCGAAATTATCCAACCAGGAGAGTACAACACGACGAGCAGGACTTTACGCTGATGATCTCGATTCTTTCGAGCTCGCTCTACAACCCTTCACTGAGTTCGGCCGGAAGTCTGTTTCCTATAAAATTGCTCCCCTCTCGTTTTGGGATTTGAGGAACGAGATTATGCAATGCACGAGAAGAACCTCAAGCGTCGAAGTGGAAATCGTATGTCGCACATTTGTTACGTGTGCTGCTTCTAGACTCCGTTCTATAACCAACCTCAACAATCGCACGATTGGATCTTGGCTCTGCTATGCACGGTCGGATCTTCCGAACCCCGAGCTCCTGCCATTGGGGCCGAGTGGATTCGCTCTGCAACGGCATCAAATTTTGTCCCACAGAGGCGCCATATCAATAAGACAACTATACAGTAAGAGGTTTCGAACTTAGCGATGTTCACAGACCCCTCCTCTTTCTGCTCGCCCCGTCCTTTTGTTTGCATTCGACTCGCCTCTCTACACAAAAGCTGTCGCAATCAGATGAGGAGGTGGATTCTATCTCACAACCTGTCTCGAACAGTATCTGGCCATGCTGCTTCGAAGGTTTCCTGTGTACGATACGAGCCGATTGAAGACATCGAACCATTCGAGCGGTACGCTGCTGGAGGTTATTATCCGGTTCAGATCGGCGACCAATTCTGCTTGTCTCGTTATCACATTGTACACAAGCTGGGCCACGGGGCTTCTTCCACCACATGGTTAGCACGTGACGAGCGTTTGACCAAGTACGTCGCGATCAAATTCGTCGTGTCGGAACGTAACCGTCCATTCGAGAGCGCTATACTGAAAATCTTGCGGGATGGGAAAAGATGCGATGCGGAAGCACATGCCGGCATTGCTATGATACCAGAGATGTTGGATGAGTTCGACGTGGAAGGTCCAGAGATCCAGGGCACAAAGGGATAACATCGTTGCCTCGTCACCACACCAGCAAGGATGAGCATTTCAGAAGCGCGAGAAGCTTCTTATGTGCGGTTGTTTCAGCCTTCGGTAGCTCGTGCGATTGCCGCTCAACTTATCCAAGCCGTGGCTTACATGCATACTCGTGGCATCGTTCATGCGGGTAAGTAATCAGGTTGGTAGGCGCTAGAATAGCATCGCGTTTTGCTGACCACGACTACAGATCTTCATGAGGCCAACATCCTTGTTCGTTTACCCCATTCCATTGACAACCTTGCTCCAGACCAGCTCTACGAGAAGTATGGGCAGCCTAAGCTCGAGCAAATAACGCGGTTGGACGGACAACCTCTGGATCAGTGGGTGCCTACTCATGGTGTCGTACCAATATGGTTTGGAGATGCCTGCGAAACTGTTTCGCTCGCCGACTCGCATATCTTCTTAAGCGACTTCGGCGAATCCTCCCAGCCAGCAGTTGATGTACCACAATCTTCTCACACACCCTTGATACTGAGATCTCCAGAGATACTCTTAGAGCCAATGTCACAGGTTTCGTTTCCTGCTGAGATCTGGAGTCTTGCGTGCGCGGTCTTCGCCATCATGGGTCAGCGGCCCCTGTTCGATACCTGGTTCCCTAGTAGAGATCGAATTCTTGAAGAACACGTTGACACATTGGGTTGTTTGCCTAAAGAGTGGTGGGCAAGTTGGTCGAATCGCAACGAAAGTTTTGATGATCAACTCCAAAGAGTTGATGGATCACCGCGTCGGCTGCTGGAAGATCGGTTGGAGAACTCAACACAGGAGCCACGAAAAGAATCTGGAATGATAGAGATGGACGAGGAAGAGAAGAAAGCCTTCCTTTCACTCTTGAGATCGATGTTATCATTCAGGCCAAACGACCGACCTTCAGCGCAACAGGTGCTCGAGTCCAACTGGATGCAGAAATGGGCTAAACCAGCGTTTGAGTTGATGGAGGACATTCCCAATCCTTAGCAATCTGCCCATTAGCTGAAATTACAACACAAGGCTTGCTTTGGCAAACATCCTACCTCGGACTACGCAGAAAACAAATTTTGTCTCTTACACATATCACTGTAAGCCATAGCTACATCATAGTTTGTAGTATTTACCTGGCAATCGTGATCGAGATACCTGCGTTCCGTCTCGAAGTTCAATATCATAAGGCACGAAGACCGAAAGTCGACGCATGTACAGCACTGATGATGGCATGATTGAGGTAAGGTATGACTGGAGAAGGTGGAGGAGCAAAAACAAACGGGAAGGTGTCGAGTGCAGGTGGGATCACGGAGTGTCATGACGGATGCAAGAGCAGGAGCGAGCCTGGACTAAGCTCGAAGGCAGTAGCGATGCTGATGCAAGACGATGTAGAAAAAAAAAGAAGACAAAAACATACAACAGCGGGTATTAGTTGCAGCAGGGGAGTGCCTGGGTGACGCAGGTGAGGCTCTGCACGTGCAAAGTGCACGGTCCATATGCCCACATTTGTACATAAGACACCTCGATCCCGGTAGGACGTAAAAAATCGACAACAAAAACATACAACAGCGGGGATTCGCTAGTAGTCTCCTACCCAGCTACTAATCCGCCGGTACGTTGCTTAAATAGGGCTGAGCGAACGGGAAGCCTTGTTTTCAACGTCCTATGGTCGTATGTGAAAGATATGGGTGTTACCGGAATACATATTGCTGCAGTGTTCTCCCAAATCGCTGACGAACCCACGATAATCTGTGGCGGTGGCAATGCTACTTCCTGCAATGCATGAACGTGTCGTCCAAAACTTCGACGGCTAATATCGATTCATGTCGTGCGATGCTATGCGCGAGCACGTTTTCGTTGTTAGTCAGTCCTTGTTCCTGCCATTGCGTTCCCGGCAGGTGCTCAAGTACGGATATTGCCTCGGCTGCACCGAGCCACCGAGAACCCGGATTAAAGTCTTTCGCCACACGAATCAATCACTCCATCGCGCGAACTCATCTTCATTCCTCATGCGTACTAGACCTTGGAAGGCAGCGAGCGGCAGGCACATCCGCGGCGTTATCGTAGGCTAAGTCTCGATTAGGCAGGAGCTTGAGGCTATTCAAGCTTCGTTGAGACCCACGACGGGAAGCTTGTCCTTGCTTGGAACCGCAACGATATTGGCAACGTGCATCACGAAGATACAAGTCTAACTGCAGAAGGCAGTTGATAGGTGACATGCATGTACGTGCCGCCATGGGCTTGAGTATTTAAGCGTAGAGGGTGCCATGTCTTGCAAGCCAGTGCTTCGCTCAAGTCAAGCTCGTACCAGTCGGAAAGATGGCACCAGTTCTCAGCTTCCTTATCGGCTCTCTGCTGGCGGCAAGGGGCCTTGCAGAGCCCTTCGAGAAACTGTTCGCTGTTCCTGAGGGTATGCAGGTTCCAAATCGTGATTCGATTGCATATACTGACATAACCCGCAGGATGGAAATCCGCAGGACCAGCAGCTGACTCGCAATTGCTCAAGTTGCAGATTGCTCTCCAGCAGGGAGACTCTGAAGCGTTCGAGCAGCACGTTCTAGATGTTTCCACTCCTAGCAACAGGAAGTACGGACAACACTTCCAGTCGCACGAGGACATGAAAAGGATGCTGCTGCCGACTGAGGAGACTTCATCCACCGTTGCCGCCTGGATCCAGGCTGCTGGTATCGATGAATTCGAGCAAGACGCCGACTGGGTGAGCTTCAAGACTACCGTTGGTGTTGCCAACAAGATGTTGGATACGCAGTTTTCCTGGTTTACCAGCGAGGAGGCGAAGCCGCGCAAGGTCCTTCGCGCCCTTGAGTACTCTGTACCTGAGGATGTTGCTTTACACATCAACCTCGTTCAACCGACTACTCGCTTCGCCGCCATTCGTGCGAACCACGAGACCGAGAAGGAGATCTTCGGCCTCCAACGCATTGATCTCGCCGCCAACGCGAATGTTACTGTCAACTGCGATGCCGGCATAACTCCTCAGTGTCTGAAGCAGCTCTACAAGATTGACTACAAGGCCGATCCTAAGAGCGGCAGCAAAGCTGCTTTCGCCTCGTACCTTGAGGAATACGCTCGGTACAGTGACATGGCTCTGTTCGAGCAGAACATTCTGCCCGAAGCCATTGGGCAAAACTTCACTGTTATCACATATAATGGTGGTCTGGACGGCCAGAACTCCACCTCCGACAGTGGCGAGGCCAACCTGGATGCGCAGTACATGCTCGGTTTGGCCCAGCCCCTTCCCGTCACCGAGTTCAGCACCGGTGGTCGCGGTCCTTGGATCGCTGATCTCGATCAGCCTGATGAGGCTGACAGTGCCAACGAGCCCTACCTGGACTTTCTTCAAAACGTTCTGAAGATGTCACAAAAGAACCTTCCTCAGGTCATTTCCACCTCTTACGGCGAGAACGAGCAAAGTGTCCCCAAGTCGTACGCTCTGTCTGTCTGCAACCTCTTCGCCCAGCTCAGCTCCCGTGGCGTCAGTGTCATCTTCTCTTCAGGTGACTCAGGTACTGGTTCAGCGTGCCAGAGCAACGACGGCAAGAACACCACCAAGTTTCAGCCTCAGTACCCTGCTGCATGCCCCTGGGTGACATCCGTCGGTTCTACGCGCTACCTCAATGAGACCGCTACCTTCTTCTCGTCTGGCGGTTTCTCTGACTACTGGAAGCGCCCTTCGTACCAGGATGATGCTATCAAGGCCTATTTCCATACTCTCGGTGAGAAGAACAAGCCTTACTTCAACCGCCACGGCCGTGGTTTCCCCGATGTCTCTGCTCAGGGCTTTGGGTACCGTGTTTACGATAAGGGCGTGCTGAAGGGCTACCAGGGCACCTCTTGCTCTGCTCCTGCGTTCGGTGGCATTGTTGCTCTCCTCAATGACGCACGTCTGAGGGCCAAGAAGCCTTCTCTTGGGTTCTTGAACCCCCTCCTATATTCTAACCCCGATGCTCTGAACGACATCGTCCTTGGTGGAAGTACAGGTTGTGATGGCCACGCCAGGTTTCACGGTGCGCCAAATGGAAGCCCGGTCATCCCATATGCCAGTTGGAATGCTACGGCAGGGTGGGATCCCGTCTCTGGACTGGGTACACCGAACTTCCCCAAGCTGCTCAAGGCTGCTGTCCCTAGTCGTTACAGGGCTTAGACTTAGGCCTGGTTGTTCGAAGGAGGGACATGTATATAATGGCGATGATAACGAATAAATATAACTATGAAACTTCTCAAAAGCAAAAATTCCAGGTCGAGTTTTCAAGCTGGCATTAGGCGAGGAGTGCGTTGAAGAAATGTGGTTGCCCTGGGATGTGAGGGGAACCGATTTTGGGCAGTCGCGCCCAAAGACCGCGGCACGCCTTCAACACCGCCAATCAAACCCTTCGCCGTGGTCTTCACAGCCCTTGACGATCAGCCTCTAACGCAGCCACCGGTGTAGGCATCGGTGCCAGAACCCATAGTGCCTACCCCACATCCGCAAGAGGTTGATATTGCAGTTGCTGTTAACCACGATGTGCGAAAGTATGTACGAGATAAGTGAGTCTCCCTAAAGCCTTCATCACATACATACCAACCAGTTGTGATAATCTGTTCAGTGAAAAACAGTGTAGGCTCTCTCGAAAGGGATGCAGTAGGCAGGCATAGCTGCACCGCAGATGCACTGCCTCCTGCACCATGACCGCAACGCATATCAGTGCGCCCTTCCTTGGCCTTTGCATCCTGTATAAAGTAGTGCTGTCTTTGTTCTATCTTCTGTGCCAAAATACTTAACCTTTGAGCTTCGCTTCAGCCTATCTGGTCAGAAATCCTACGAACCATTTCAGCGTACTTGTCTCTGAACTTGTCTCTCTCCTTACGAACGATCAAAATTACATCGACAATAAGAGCCTCGTCCGTCACTTCTCAACTAGCGAATCTCATAGCAGTTTTGCTATATTTGACTCTTGCCAAAACATCGTCGCACCATCTACACGTACCTCATAACCTAGTGCGCCTCTCCGATGCATATCTTATACAATGTCTTCGATGGACGATTTCAAACATAAACCGATAAATCTTGAAGAGGATTCATTTCGCATCATTCGTCTTTTCAAGGGCAAGAATGAACCCATTTCGTGCGAGTTGATCCATGCAAGACTTCATGATGTAAAAGATTTAATAGAGTATGAAGCTCTATCTTATACATGGGGAGATACATGTAATCAACACATCATAAAAGTCGACGAGAAGGAGATGTTAGTCACAGAAAACTTGTTCCTGGCGTTATTACATCTGCGGTATGAATACGAAGATCGGATCTTATGGATTGACGCAATTTCTATTGACCAAAACAACGTCAAAGAGCGAGGACATCAGGTACGACAGATGGGATCTATCTATGGACATGCTGAACGAGTTGTTATCTGGTTGGGTCCAGCAACTCTTGCAACCGACGTGGTCATGAGCTCAATGCAACTACTGGCGAGGGAGGCAAACAAACACGCATGCCGCCGATGGGAAGTTTCAGATAAGCGGTGGTACAAGCTTTGGTCAATAGGACAACCATTATCGCCAGACAGCTTTCATGAAGGCTTCATAATTCAACAACGTGAGGGTATGGATACCCTCTTAAGCCGACCATGGTTCAAAAGAGTTTGGATCATACAGGAAGTCGCCAACGCACGATCAGCCAAAGTGGTGTGTGGCACCAAATCCATCTCAACACACATCTTCGCAATCTATCCGTCGTTGTTAGATGTAGAACCAGAATCACACTGCCAAGCTATCCTGGATATAATGCCAGGGCCTGCACGAAACTCCTCTTGGTGGATCGAAAACCGAAGTCTTCATACACTATTGCTCAAGTTTCGTGGAAGCGAGGCGACTGATCCAAGAGACATCGTCTATGCATTGATTGGCATGTCGTCAGATGGATCCAGTACTGACAAACTGGTACCGGACTACGACAAGTCTATGGAGGAAGTTGTTCGCGACACTGTTGCGTTCCTACTTGATTTCCGAGTCGACGGAAAGTTCGCAGACTATTTCCTAGAGTGGACATTACCGGAGCTTTTGCAGAACTTGGATTCTTTAAGCAATGGAATTTTCCTTTGGGCTGTCCATGAAAGCCGTTTAGCTACAGCTCGGAAACTATTACACCTTAAACAATTGGATCTGAATGACCACACTCGCATGGATGCTTACTCAAAGAACTGCGCAGTCCTCCCAACTTTAGCAAGGGGTGATGCACAAATTCTCCATATACTATTGGACAATGATGCCAAAGTTGATACAAGTCAGCACAACTATGCCGAAGAGCTCCAGGTGGCTTTAGAGAAGGGCCACAGGCAGGTAGCGGAGCTGTTTCTAGAAAAGGGTATCTGTATCCACAAAGACAAATCCAATTACGAGGCTGCACTCTCTGTGGCTTCTGCTGAAGGTTATAAACGTGTGGCAGAGCTTCTGCTAGAGAAGGGAGCAGACCCCAATGTTGCAGACGCAGACGGACGGACGCCACTTCAAATGGCAGTTGAGAAGGAATGTCCCGAGATTGTAGCGCTGTTGCTAGAAAAAGGAGCAGGCCCTGACGTTGCAGGCCCTGACAGACGGACGCCACTTCGAATGGCAGTTGAGAAGAAATTTCCTGAGATCGTAGCGCTGTTACTAAATGCAGGAGCAAGCCCTGACTCTATGGGCGCAGACGGGCGGACACCACTTGACTTGGCCATTGAGAAGGATTATCTTGAGATGGTAAAGCTGTTGCTAAGAAGAGGAGAAGACCATAACGTTAGAGTGTGTCTCGGATTCACACCAATCGAATTCGCAGCCTTGCATGGCAAAGTCGAAATTTTCAGGTTTCTGCTAGGAAATGGAGCAGAGATGCCTGAAAAGATATATTGGCACCAATCCATTCGTGACTCACTCAAAGCTCCGTCTAAAGACAAACAACTCCGAAGATATGCAGCATGCTTGGTTCCACAAGCAGCGCTCAGACGCCTGTTTAGAAAGTGGAATTCTATTACTGGGAGGAGTACTTCGACAGAGGGACAACCAGAGGGATAGATCCGGATAGGGGCCTGTCACATAACTAGTGTGCTCTATAGTATATAGAGAGTCTTGTTCCCAGCTCTAATCAAGCACCCGTTCTTGCCATTTCCACATCGTTCAACAACCACGGCAGGTGACAACTGGGACAACGGAATTTGATATCAAAGTCTTGTGTTCTATATGAGAGACTCGAGTGTTGCTAGAGTATAGAAATAATAACAATTGTTCATGCAAGGCGACCCGAAGCATTGGCTGAACTCATCGTATCACGTACCCGATCTTATGTTCCAAAGTCAACGCCGCACCTTCAAGCCATCGCGAACGTTATACGTGTCATAACGTAGGGTATCTTCACCTCATCTCACGAATCCAGCTTCCACCCATCTGGCTATCGCATAACCGGCGGTCTAGACTCCTTATTGAACGCCATCCTACTGCACAACCACTCAACCGCTTCCTGCACTCCCGTCCCCGTCAGTGCACTGCACGGCAACACCCTACTATCCCTCACATTCCCACCCTTATCGCCCTCAAACACCCTCCTCACAAACCCCTCCTTGATCCGCACCACCTCCACACAATCTTCTCTATCCTGCTTATTGGCCAGCACAAGTATCGGCACGCCACTCGTATCCTGGTTCTCCAGCACGCTCTCCAGTACGAGCCGGCACTCGTCCAGGCGTCCGATGTCGTCGTGCGCTATGTCTGTCGACATCTCCGTGAGCGTGGCGTTCCCGACGTCGCTGCTATCTATGACGAAGACGATGGCGTGGCAGCTGCTGTAGTAGCTCTGCCAGAGGCCGCGCAGGCTATGTTGACCGCCGACGTCCCATATCTTGAGGTAGATGGGTGGGTTTGGCGGTGGGAGCGCGAGTGTCGCGACGTTTTGACCGACGGTGGGGACGGTCTTTAGGTTTGGGTGGGAGGGTGTGTAAGAAGCTTTTATTTGCTCGAGTAGGGTTGTCTTGCCGGCGTTGTCGAGGCCGAGGAGGAGGACGGAGTACTCTGTAGGGATTAGCTGTGCACCGGGTTGATTTGGATAAAGTAACAGTCCGAGGTGGGGAGCAAGGTTACCTTCTTTACTTGTTGCATGCAGGTATATCGATTTGAAGAGGTGGTACATCTTATGTGTGGAGCTGATGGTCGGTGGTGTTAAACTCGATGCGCGAGTTGTCTTCGGAGGTAAGATGGTGTTAAGACGAGGGTCCATGCGCAGGTATCATGATGGACAGCAGATAAGTATCTCAAACTTGAAATCACAAAAATGCACTCTCGAGCTATGACCGTGAGGATATGGAAACTCTCATAGTGCAAACTTCATCGTATAATACTAGCAAAAAAGAGCGAAAGCATGTACAGAGAAGAAACCTCGTATACTGAGGTAATCGCAAATTCTAGGAAGACCGGAGGACCTTCAGGCGGAAAGGGCCTTTCCCAGTCAAGCCTATGACGCCGAAACAATGCCATCTATATTACACTGTCGCACTTCAATCCAACACGTTCCGCATCCAACTCTCGTAACTCACTCAACTCCTCACGAAAAAGAATCGGACTGTACAGCATCTGTCTACACGGCAGCGTAACCTCCTCTGCCTCCACTTCCTTGCACAGTACCCATGACCTTCCTTGCAAAGTCCTTGGCGATGTATGGGATATCGCGAATGGTGTCGCCATGAGGAAGCAAGTCCCAGCCGCGAGCGCCGTAGCGGTTGTAGTTGAGCCAGGAGCCGAAGATGAGATAGGACGCTATGGCAAGGAAAACACTATGTTGCATTAGTAGTGAAATGAGACATAGAGAGTGAGAGAACTTGCATGATGAAGAACCAGCCAAAGAAGCCCCAGTGGCTTCCCGCATCCTCTGCAGGCGCGTCTTCACACGCATACTGTGTCCGCCACTCGAGTCGTAGTGTCTTGACATTCTTGTCCTTGGCGATGGATTCTTCTTCGTATCCGCAGAAGCGCAGGCTGTGGTCGTTATCCTCGCACTTGCCCTTCCCACCATCCTCCCTCCTCCTCAACTTCTCTTCTTTCTTGCCATCTCCTTTCTTATCGTCTCCACCCTTGTCATCGTCCTTGGGGTCGCTCTCATGTTCACCGTCATCCTTCTCATCACCCTCCAAGCCCGTCCTCTCTTTATCGCACACAAACTCGACGATGGCGCGTTGATCGAGACCGTTCTTCTTGTCGTCAAAAGGCAGTCGCCCACCATGCAGCTCTACCCTGACTCCCTCACGCCCAGCGTCCGAGTTGCTCTTGGAGCTCCGCAACCGCTCAAACTTGGCCTCGAGCTCCCTCCCTGTCTGCGTTTTGTATGTCCCCGCAATATCGATCGGCGTGAATGTTGAGTTTCCTTCCATAGATAGATCAACGTTCTCTCGGATAGCGCAGACCATGGCGCCATGGTGACACTCGGTCGCCAAACTCCCGCCCTTGTGCCACTTCAGCACGTTGCAGATGTCGAGTGTGAAGTTGTATTTGTACATGACGTCGTGCCCTAGATCTTCTTCTTTCCAGTGCACCATGTGTGGGCCGCCTAGTTTTCCTAGGTTGAAATGGACGCCTTGGGCTGCGATGTCGTTGCAGTCAAAGGCCCATGATGACAGCGGGAGGAGTGCGGATGCGGCGAGGAGGGAGAGAAGCGACGTTTGCGATCGTGATGGCGCCATAGCGAGAAGGGTTCTATCGGTTGCAGTCCAAGGTCGATGCGATGGACGGGAGATGGAGTGGGTTCAAACTTCAGGAGGCAGCCGTCGGCGTCCCAACGCGTAGGAAAATGTGCAGATGATGTCAGTGGTGAGAGAAACAAAGCGTCAAAGGGTCAAAGGAGATAACGAGGGATGGAGAAGGAAGATGAAAGAGTCGGCGACGCTAGCGCAAGTTGTCAGTCGTGGTCCAAACTGTCGCGTGGACTTTGAATGGTATCAAACATGGGCAATGACGGCTGCCAAGACATGCTCACGTAATGTTGGCTTACTAGATAACTTCATCTTCCTTCGACGACAATATTTTCCACGGAAACGTGAATTGGACGTACTGTTTCGGTAAATTTTTTCAGAGTTTTTCACTCAATGCTCTATCTTGCATCGCCGTACAAGATCCGTATAAAGGGTAGCCTTTGGCCGTGGTGATCTCCGCTTCATTATCTTAGTATTCGCTTCGTCCGTATTCGTCCTTTTCCTTTATCAGATTGACTGACCCTCTGCTTCCAAACCAAGCATTTGCATCCTAAGTCTGACATTCTCCATTCGTGTTGACTGCTCGCGCACTCCTATGGTTTACATTGTCCTTTATTACGACGCACAAATCACAATGCAACGACATCAAAGGCAAGATTTGCAGAGTCGAGCAAAACCGCAGAGGCTATGTGTGTAACATACAATCTATCTAGTTCCAATACTGGGTCCTGTGCTAAGCCCATCTATGATCATGCCAGAAAATCTAAATTCTAAAGTATAACGCCATGAATCGATACAAGTCCAAACGATAAAGAGAGTGATCGAGATTGGAAAGACGCGCGGATAAACAACCTCTTATACAGAAACCATACAAAAGGATAGAAGAAACCCGACCGTGTAAATGCAAATGAGGAGCGAACGATTGAGTAACAGAAGAAACAAATTGACTAAGAGAATGATGACACTGATTAAGATAGATGGAGAGGAGAGGATACGCGTCACCCATAAATAAAAAACGAGTGCTAGAAACAAGATATTCCCAACCTCAGAAATGCGATAAATTAAATACATCCAAAAGTCAAGAACCAGTGTTGGCATGAAAAGAAAGTCGTATCATCGTAGAGTAGTCATGCGCCTCTGCCGTATACACCAAGCCCAGTCTTACAATATCGAATAGTTCCAGGGATAAGAGCGACTCTAATTGCCTTTGTCATCTTTCTGTCCCGACCCTCGAGTGTTGGCAGGCATCGGGTACGGGAAGGGAGCGTAAGGGAGTTGATAGGAGGGGTTGCTGGAGCCCGACGCTGATCCAGCGGTAGACGTGTTGCCAGGGGAAGAAGAGGAGGAAGACATGGCTGTCGTGATGGGTTCTTGAGGCTGATTGTCTGATGTGTTGGTGCTGGTGGGAATCGGAGAATGTGCCGCGGAAGTGTGTCGAGATGGCGAGCCGGGGACAAAGATGACTGAGGTTGAGGATTCGACCGGGGATCGCGGTCCTGATGTGGCTTGAGAGGTTTCTGCGGAGGCTTGAGGTGAGGCCGATGAAGTGGTAGGTTGCGTTGAGGCTTCTGGCGTAACGTATCTGCTAATGGGCTTTGGAGAGTTCGATGAACCAGAGGTTTGGTCGCTCATAGACCGGTGATCAGAGGTGTTGATACTGTCGATGCTGGCTGATCGTAGCCTGGAGAAACTACGGTAAGAGTTTGGAGATGATACGTTAGAAGGCTGTTCGAACTGCTGTAGTGAGTGAACAATCTCTACACTGATCTCTATTAGAGTTTTATATCTGTGGAGAAGTTTCAGCGACCCCCGATAATCACGATTTGGCTTCTACCCCCAAATCCCTGATAGGCGACAACAGAATGACTAGACTACGGATACGAACTCATGGATCTTCTAAGCTGATCCAGTAAAGCGCAATGGAGATATTCTGTCCAGGTTCACGGGCACAAAGAGATCAGAGCGTCGCCGTTTTCACGAAGAACAGACCCAAGTGTCGTTAGAGATGTGGCAAAAACGAGTATTATCGAGTCGCCAAACGGTATCAAGCTATTTGGATGCGGTGTGGCTGCGCGGTAACCTGGTGTACGGGCTCGTGCGGGAACGGACAATCTTTTTTAGTACTTTGTCGTCTGATCTACGTTCTGCTCCAGGATAGGTCAACGGATAGGTAGCGGTACTGCAATGGGAGCCTGTAGGGCTGCTGTCGTCAGAAGCTTATTTTGAGCCGCACGCGCTATGGCCGGGGTATGGGAAGAGGACAGGTCAGGTGGAGTTTGGTGTGTGGCAAGATTGGCGATGTCCGTGGAGATCAAGGTGCTCGGTGTAGAAGTGGACTTGGTCTTGTGGTGTGGGATATCATTGTGACTGACAAAGTGAATGATATACACCATCATCATCATTCTTCTCGTTCATTCTCCCCTCTTGCAAACATGAGGAGTTGTTGATTTGTCTTCATTCCTGTAAGCATGCCATACACACATACAAAACATACAATTGTCATCGGATGGTCCACTGAGGACGTTCCGCAGCTGGCAGTGCCCAACAAACCTTACCCATCGTGAGGAGAGGTACACATCTCACTGTGCCATGTATCAGACCGGCATAACCGAGTGCAACCTTGGAGACGCCACGCGTATTTGACCCTTGGAAAGAACAGAGAGCGCTTACAACGACAGTAAAAAGAGCTTAGGTGAGTCAGTGTTTCAATTCCCGCCAAGACTAGCTCTGTCTTCACAAGATGTATTCCCAATAGACGTTACTCGGCTCTCGCCTGGATTTCCGCTCTGCCCTAATACAAATCATGATCCCAGACAAGTATGAGGTCATTGCCAGTATACCTATAGAATATGTGTCCAATTTTGGTGTACTCGCTGATTAGTAGTCAAGTCGGACAGTTTGTAAGCGGCTCGCGTATCGTGCATATGACAGGGATGATGCTTCGTTCTCGAAGGTTTCCTGATTAGGAAAATGGAATACTGGTTTGTAATTTCTGACTTGACGATGCAACACAGGCTCAAGCGGTGTGGATGTAATCGCTCTATGATGTGACGGGGGAGTTTCTACGAACATGGCGACGGATAAGGCACGTTAGGCTAAGTGATGCATTACCAAGAATGCAAGGCCGAAAGCTAAATTCATATCAGCGGACAAGTTGACCTCGACTAAATCTAGCAGATCCGGCCACAAGAGAAACGCTCTATATTGGGCAAAGCCAGTTGTACACAGACACGAATTGAAGTCCGGAAGGATTCCAAGTAACAACCAAATTAGTACTATTGAAATTCATTTTGGTGCTAATTGACGGCCTTCAATCTCTAGGCTGACTGTAACGTGCTGACACAAACACGGGAAAATGACGTGGTTGGCGCGAGATACGCTTACCAGCCATGTGCAACTGCTTTTCATATTTGAGAAAGCAGAATGCGACGTCGCATTACAGAGTTCACACCGTACCCAGCAACAATGACAAACTCTCAAAGGCCAGACTGTCAAGAAATTAAATCTGAGAAGAACTTCCAAAGGTCAAACGACGACTGGACTTGGAGTTCACGAGTCAGTCCCTGCACCAAGATATAAATGATGATTAGACCCGTTTAGCATGACGTGCTCTTAACTACATCATGCTGACTTGGCCTGCAATGGTAAGTGAGGTAGGAAAAATCTCCAAGGTCGCCATCGTCGAAGAAAAAGAGACGAACGCTGCAACTGAGCATGGTGCCGTCTTCTACTGAACATCCTATCGCATCGCGACATGCCTGGCAACTCTCCTGTTCTCTTGAGATATCCGCTTGTGCTCTCAACACTTTTTTCCACCTGCGAACCGTCAACCCAATCCATCGAGTGACTAGTAAACACGTGAAGCGACCGTTCACGTCCTAACCCTCCCTCGCACCACCTCTACCTTCCTGCTCTTATCCTGAAGAGAAGCCCAAGTTGTCTCCTACTCCATCACCAACGCGTCGTCCGCTGCCACCTCGATGGCCCCGTCCTCTGATTCCTATCATGCCCCTAGCACAGATATTCTTCACCCTCCCAACTTCTTCCCACCATCCAACAACCCCATAACAACCTCAACAACCCTCCGAAACCCCTCCATCTCCTCCTCAACAGTCCCGCCCATCCCCGCACTCGCGAAGCTCAACGAACTCCCAACATAAACCGGTTTTCCCGTCTTGCGCGCAAGCACCTTGGACAGCCGGGTCGTGAAATCTATGGTTCCGGAGTGCGTGAAGAGGGGTGTGCTGAGCGTATCGGCTGGTGACATGCGCTATTGGAAGGTGTTAGCAACGCTCAAAATGCAGATGGGAATGATAGACTTACATTCGGCATAGCGTAGACGAAGGAACCTAGCGGCGCGGAAGATGCGGACTCGGGGGACGCGGTGGTCAGGAACAGCACCAGGTTCGGCCCGTTGTTGGTGAGCTGGAGGTGGATGTTTGTGCGCAGTCCTCGGGGCAGAGGGAAGGAGACCTCGACAGGCGCGTGCGACGCGTCGCTTTTCGTTGTTGCGGCAGCCATGGCGCGAGGTGCTGCTGCTTGTGTGTTGGTCGCGGTGGTGAGATGGGAGGGTAGAGCCCCGCGCTAGATCTACAGCTCCCCCCACGTTCCACTACCACGCTTCACACACGTCGCGACACAGGGACATCCGGAGGTGAACGTGACGGGAAAACCAATCGGAATCTTGTTCACAACAACACGATCTCCGTCGAGCTGCCGAAATATCCAAAAAAGGCAGCATGCCAGAAAAAGAATGGGAAGGCGACTTCGACCCAATGGCCGACCCAGAAGAGCAGCAACACCTTCTATCCGTACTAGACTCGTTTCGGTACAGACATGCATTCCATCCCTACACCAAACCAAGCAAGCTACTAACTCCCATGCAGTTCCTACCGCCGCCTCGCCCACTTCAACGGCACCCACGTGCGCCGACAAGCCTTCTACTCCCTCCCCCAAGAGCACTGGACACTCCTCTCACAACCCCCTTTCTCCCTCCTCGCCTCCTTCAACAAGCTCGACGACCTAATCGACAGCAATGCCGAGCTCGCCGAGGCCATCTTCACAGCAGGCTTCAAAGCCTTCCTCGCCCCGACCATTGACAGCGAGTGGGTCGCTTCCATCATCCCGGCCAAGCACGCAGGCGATGAGTACCAGATCTGCTCGACAGTAATGGACCACATGAGCGTGCAAACCAACCAAACCGACATGGAGAAAGCACGGAGCTGCATCAACCAATTCTACCGGGAGTGGAGTGCGGAAGGCGCCCTCGAGCGGGCGAAATGCTTCGATCCTGTTGTCGCGGCCCTGCACGACGAACACACACGCCGCCTAACCACCACACCGGGCCTAGACAGATCGGACACGCGCGTCCTCGTCCCCGGCGCCGGACTGGGCCGTCTGGTATTCGACGTGTGCCGCGCGGGCTACAGCGTCGAGGGGAATGAGATCTCGTACCACGAGCTGATGGCCAGTGCGCTCGTGCTGAACCACACGCAGCGGGTCGGGCAATTCAGCATCGCGCCGTTCGCGCTCAACGGGTCGAACCACCATTCGCGGGCTGAGCAGATGCAGGCGTTTGCGGTGCCGGATGTGCATCCTGGGACTGAGCTGGCGGATAGGGGGAAGGATAAGGTGCCGGCGCATGAGCGGATGAGTATGGCGACGGGGGACTTTTGCGTGCTGTACAGCCAGCTTGAGTATGCGGGCGTGTTTGATGCGGTGGCGACGGTGTTTTTTATTGATACGGCGCCGAATGTTATTCGGTATGTTGAGGCTGTGCGGAATTGTTTGAAGGCGGGGGGTGTGTGGATTAATCTTGGGCCTTTGCTGTGGCATCATGCTTCTCGTGGCGGTGGGGAAGAAGACGACGAACAGAAGCGGAAGAAGAGGAGCCAAGTCGCTGATGCAGGGATCGGCGACCCGGGGTCTGTCGAACTAACAAACGACGAGGTCGTGGCACTTGTCGAGCATCTGGGGTTTGTGATGGAGAAACAAGAGAGCGGCACGTTTGAAACGGGATATATCTCTAATCCGAAGAGTATGCAGCAGAGTACATATCGGCCCGTGTTTTGGATAGCGAGGAAGAAGTAGTAGTGATAGAAGGATGAAAGCAACATAAACCGAACAAAGGATGGATTGAGGTGTGCATGCCGACTCGGCTGATCTTCTATCATACCACTAGAAGAATAAACACACCCACCATCATACTCCCCACATTCAATTATTCCGCTTACTCTTCTTGTCCTTCTTCTTCTTCCCCGCCTGTTCATCCTCACTCCCCCTCTTCCCATTGCCATTCACCGCCCCCTCCCCCAGCACAACCTCATCGTCCTTCTCCTTGACCAAAAGCTCATTGAGCGCCTCGTTGAACTTGTCTAACTCCACGATCTCGCCGATCTTGACGCGCATGTAGTCGAATGCAATGGCGACTTTCATGTCCTTGTTACGGATGCGTACTATACGTCCGTTTTGCTGGAGTGAGGAGGTTTGAAGGGGGAGGGAGGGCGGAGGTGCAGGTGTAGATGCGGGCGTGGGACGAATGTCTGGGTTGCCCATTGTGGTGTCGCCGTCGCCTTCTTCGTCGTGGACGGCGTCTTCGGCGCTCTCTTTTGCCTGGGTGCTAGTGTCTTCCTGTTCGCCGTCCTGCACTGTCTGCAGCACGGGGATCTTCTGATATCGTTGGCTGAAGTGCGTGAGTACCACTGTCTTGGCTTCCATCTTTGCACCAATCCGCAGCGCCTCACTCGTGGTGGAGTGCTTCTTCGCCTTTGCGTCGCCCGCCAGTTCATCGTCGAACGTCGCCTCATGAATCAACACCGTCGTATCGCGGCCAACGGTAGCAAAATGCCACGACGGACGGCAGTCACCCGAGTAGCTGACCTTCAACGGCTTGACATGCGCAGGATCCGACGACGAAGGTGGGAAAGTAACGCATACGGCCATAGAGCCGTGACAATGTGAGACCTTAACGGACTGTATGTCTGAGAAACCAATGAGAGTCTCGTAGTCTTTCTGTTCGATCTTCTTTCCCGATTCTTCACGGTGCAGCGCGTTGACAACGGAGAGATAGGACCCTGAGCTCTGAGAAGTTTCGACGGGCGTGATCTCTAGGGGCAGGATGCGACTGTATCCGAAGTCCTCGACGGATGAGTACTCGTGGAGCCATTGGATCATGCCGCGATGCGAGATAATGGAGAGGCCGTATTCGCTGGCATTGCTAACCAGCGAAGATGTGTCGAACGGTTTAGAGTTTGGAACGCTGCCGTGCTTGATGGCGTACCAAGCCCGGATTACAGATGCTGTGCCAAGATGATGGTCCGCGTGCAGGTGGCTAATCCATATCATGCGCAGATCCTTGATGATTTGAACGAGCTCCTCAGGCTGGAACATTCGCTGAAGCTGGCCCAGAGTGTTCTCGCCACAGTCGAAAAGGTAGTTTCCGACGCCTGGGACACGCACCAAAGTGGCCGATACGTTTCGGTATTTGGACGGCAGCGCTGAACCAGTCCCGAGGGTCGTGACTTCTGTGTCGGGACGTGCGACTAGCTGTCTCCAAGTCTGCATCGATTTATGGTCATCTTTGACGGCTTGTTGGGCCAATTTTGCCAGCTCGATGACTTCTGGGGACAGATGCTCCATCGCAGTTGTAGGATTGAAGAGGGGTGTTACGCTATCTGCTTTCTTGACGAACTTGGGCATCAGTGTGAAGGTCATACCGCGGTCAGCAACAACAGCTTCTTTGGGCAATGGACTGGAATTGACCAAACCAAAACCGTATAGACTGTTCTGTGGGAGCGTTTTGCAGTCATGCATGGGGATGGTGTATCTCGTTGGGTCGACATGAGCTAAGCGCGTGGTCTGACCAGCGACTGAGTCGAACGTCAAACGGTTTGGACAACTATCCACAGACGAGATTACGTGCTCGACATTGGCCAACTTGTTCATGAAGTTGTGAAGGATAGGATGGCTAGCGAGCCCAGGACCCAGAATCCAAACAACAGCTCCAATACCGCTCATGACCTGAGCAGAGGTCAATTCTTCCCGCTGAACAATGGACTTGAGATAGCCAATAGAAGGAACATCCAAGATGGCGATACCTTGCCCAGGTTTATCAGGTCCGAGGACCTGATCAGGCGTTATCCACTCCCCCTTCTCGTTCTGAACCGACTCGCCTGAACTCAGCTTCCCAAAAGTCGGACCAGGTTTGACGCCCAGCTCCTTCGCGCGCTTGACATCGAACGCGCCGCGAGCAGGGAACGTGCGAACAATGTACGACACACACTGAGGGGCCGGTTTCGTAGGTGGGAGAGCCATGATCTTAGCCCCAGGCCATGGCGTTCTTGTCCACACGGTGATGTCTGGAAGAGCGTCCTGGCCTCCTGGCTTGGGACCCGTGTAGGGCACATAGCCATGGGTGTCGTGGTTGCGAACATACATGGGAGTTGTTGTCTCTACTTCTGAGATGTGTCGCTCAACAAGCTTGTCGAAGCTCCAGTTGGAGTCAAACATGTACTTGACAGTGAGTGCACGAATGCGATCGTACCGCGCCTCGCGGTCTGCTGTGCTTTCGTTTTCCGACGCCTGGTGTTCTTCAAACGCGTTCAGATTTGCGTCGTAGAATCGCCGTCGAGATTCAAGGTCAGCTTCGGCTTGCGCATCTACCTCTTGGTTCGCAGGTGAAACGGCGAGTGCCCAGACCTGAATGTTCGAATCCTCCCAGCTCGGTAGAATATCCCCATTATCGCTATGCTTTTCCGGAGCTTCGCCACTATACTCAGTCGCCACTAAAGGCGCGCCTGTCCTGAAGATGAACCTCCGACAGGTACTAATCGCATGCTTCAAATTCGGCGGGCCATAAACGTTGAAATGTGGTTTCGACGGCTCCTCCCCCTTCTTATTCTTATTCCAGACCTCCCAAGCCGTCGAATACGAATTGGTCGCCGAATCCGACAGTGTGAGTATCGACCCAACCAGACCACCTATGTTCTTCCACTCGGTCCGACCTGTGAGGAAGAAGTCCTGAGCTTTGAGTAAGCGCGTGCCCTGCTGCACCATAGCACGCTGGACGCCCTCGCCCTGACTGCCAAACACATAGTGCTGCCTCGCCGTGCGCAGCAGAAGCGTTGTGCCTGGTGTGTCTGCCGTAGGCGTCGTGATAATCTCCACGCTGGATGTCATGCTGCCGTGATGGCTGGACGATGTCCCGTGAACTTGGCTCTTTGGTTCAGGTACACTATTTCGAATATGGAGAGGCTCGAGCAGCGTGTCGCGTTTCCAGTTGCATCCTCCAGGCCTGTTATTTCCCGAATGGGCGTGGAAATGTGCGCGTACAGCTATGGGCACTGGACGAGGTGGAGCGTATGTTGCTGTTTTCTCAGAGCAACTTTTCTGATGCTTGGAGGCAAGATCTTGGAGGGATTCGAGGGCCGAGTTCTTGGCTAGACGGAGCGTGGTGGTCGTAAAGGCCCGGCAGGTGAAGACACGAGCTGTGAGCGGCGGGCGCAAGGCAAGGAAAGAGCACCGGGTCGTGGAAATCGTAATGCGCCTAATGGCGGTCAGTTTAGAAGCCAATTTGGCGGACAGTCAAAGGAATGACGCGTGAGATCAGAACATGCACAGTCATTCATTGCAGCGTCACTTGAGGGCAAAGCACTATGAACTTTTTTTTGGAATGCGTCAACGACATCGGCATTTTGTTGGTCCGACGAACTCTTGGCGTTGTACTTGCTGATCATCGAGTCATTCACTTCTTCATCTTCAGTGCCCCGCCATCAACCGTGATCTCCTGTCCCGTCACGAAACCTGCATCGATAAGGTACAGCGCTGCATCCACCACGTCCCTCGGCCTCCCCGCGCGATTCGTGGGATGGTCGGCAATATCCTTGTCACTAATCTGACCCTCCCAGTTCGTGCCCGCCTCATCTCCCTCCTTGCTCTCATGCGCGACCTTTATCCTGCCTGGCGCAATCAGATTCACTCTGATGCCAAAAGCACCCAGTGAAATGGCCATCGAGTGCATCAAGCCCAAGAGTCCAGCTTTGCTCGAGGCGTAGCCCTCTTGGTTGGCGTCAGACTGATGGGCCCGGAAGGATCCAATATGTATAATGCAAGGTCCTGTGACTTGGATCTTGTGGGCGCCATCCTGTGCGTCGCTGAGGCGGGCCTTCATGTAGGGTATGCAGGCTTGGCTCATGGCGAAGGGGGCTGTCAGATTCGTCTCCATATAAGCCTGCCATTCTGATATAGTGTCTGGATTCTCCATATCTTTTCCGTCTCTCCAGAAGGGCGAGGCGATGCCGCCGTTGTTGATCAGGACATCAATGTGGGAGTTGAAGAACTCGGCCGCCTCCTTGACTTTGGCGCGGATGTCCTCCACATTGCGGAGGTCACAGAGTGCGGACCGAAGCCTTCCATCCTCATGGTACGCCTTGAGATGGACTTTGGTGGTATGCTCGAGCTCATCTTCGTCGATGTCGAATATGTAGACGCGGTGGCCGGCTTCGAGGAACATACGTGCAAATGCTCGACCGATTCCGCGGGCACCTCCAGAAATGATGACATTTCTGAAGGTTGTCTGTCTCTCGACTGCAACTGCGACTGAAGCCATGTTTGGGATGTTGGTACTCGTGTTGGTCTCTGAATTTGTCTTTGAATTTATTCGAATTCGTGGGCCGCGGGAGGTATATTATGAAGGTACACACGTTCATCTGACGTCACGCTTTCACGTCCAACAATCTGGCAGGCGCATAAGGCAGTAGCCGAATTGTGTCAATGGTGTCGCGATAAGCTTTCGTGTGTATCTGCGCATGTCCGATCAATACCTTCTCCTAGTATGACAAAGCTCCCAAACGGATCTGGGGTAGATGAAATTATAGTGGGTATAAACTTTATGACTTCAGTGCTTTGCCTCAGGTTGATATTTTCATTATCTGCGATTTTCATTAACATGCTGAGCGAGACGCATTGAATCAGAGGAAGGATTGGGGCACGACGAACAGAAAAAGTGGCAGAAAAGTAGAGATGTGAAGCTTGAACATGAAGAGTAATTGCAGCGTGACTATTTTCCTAACAGTACCAATCAAACAAGCCCCAGCACCCTTAACGCCAATCCTTAGTACAGGTATATGACCACGCCCATGTATCGTAAAATCACAAGTCAAATCAACCGTGTTCATGTTGATCGTTCGTAGACACCAACAACCATGGCGTGATCACGCTCAAAGGGCTCGAGCGTCAGCTGCTCCTTGGGCTTGATGCCCATCTCCCTCAGCTTGGCGACTTCCTGGGCAAAGACGGCTTCAGGTGCGGCGGTCGAATCGATACAGTTGGCCTTGATGGAGATGACGATACCTCCGCCAACCTTGAGGAAGAGACCGGCTGGGGAACGTTAGTAGAGTTCGGAAATGATGTGGTGAGGAGACTTACCGTTCAAACCAACAATACGGGCCTGATCGGGCTGAGCAACATCGGCGAAGATGCAGTCAACCATGCCGACCAACATGCGGTACTTGAGCGGGTGACGCGCATCCTCGACAATGGGGATGACGTTTGTGCGGTGGGTGGCCATGTTGATCAGATCACGGCCAGAGCGGTGGGAGAACTCGACGGCGAAAACGGTGCCCTCGGGTCCAACAATGTCGGCAACGTGAGACACACTAGTACCGGAGGCAGCACCGAGGTAGAGGACCTTGCTGCCAGGGCCCATGTAGATGTTGTCGACACCACCGAGGATACCGGCGGCCAACTTACTCCTGAAGGGGTTCCACACGCGGTACTCGGTGCTGGTGGGCGGCGCATCGTCGCCGTTGGCAGGCTTGTCGGCGCCAACGCTGATGCGCTTCTCGCCGTAGACGCTCTCACCGGGCGTCAGGTTCTTGGTGACGAGGAGATCCTCCTTGCCGCGGGCGACAAAGACACCGGCGTGGCGATGGGGCTCGACAATGACCTTGCTGTGCGGGTTTAGTGATGTGACGCTGTGAAGTAAACGGGTCGACATACGCTCCACCTCGGGCTCCACCACGTCCTCCACCACGCGGCGCACCACGACCACGGGGAGCGCCACGGCCTCCGCCTCGTCCACCGCGGTCACCAAAGCCACCTCGGGCACCGCCACGACCGCCTCCACGTCCGCCGCGATCGCCAAAGCCGCCGCGACCGCCTCCGCGACCACCGCGGTCACCGCCGCCTCGGGGAGTGAATCCACCGCGTCCGCCTCTGCGCAAAGTCAGTTTCTGCTGTCTCAATGGCATGCGCAGTGCATTGGACACGCGGGGAATCGTACCTGGGAGTGAAGGCCATTGCTTATTGCTTGTTGGGTTTGGTAGAGCCGGGAAAGTTCTGCTGCAGGTTAGCTCAAGCTCCAAAACAGGCAGGCAAACAACATACCTCGAAAGGAAGCTCGCAGAGTATGCGCGATGTGAATGCGCTGAGTGGTTCGTGGGGTGACGGGATGCGCGCAGAAGAGTCGACGGGCAGGAACGATGGGCTTGCAGGAGCTCCGAGATGAAGTTCGAGCTCGCAAAAAAATCCAGACGGCATCTTGGCGTTCGGGCGCGGCGGCCAATCAGCGCCGACTGCCCTGCTCAGTCAGCATCGCGGCCCGCTAGTTTTGCCGAGCCCACAATCCTCAGTTTTCGATTTGGCGCAGGACCGCGGACTCTCGAACTACTAACCACAGGCCCCTCGACAATCGACAAAATGGTACGTCGCACGCCGCAGCAGTGCCCAAGGGAAATACTGGCCGCGCTCGCCAGTGCAGGGCTAACTCATGGCAGGTGCGATACGCTGCAACCTCCCTCGACAACGCGAAGAGCGCCCGCGCCCGTGGCAGCTACCTCCGTGTCTCGTACAAGAACACGCGCGAGACGGCCCAGGCCATCAACGGCTGGAAGCTCGAGCGCGCCCTGACGTACCTCGGCAATGTTCTGGAGCACAAGGAGGCCGTCCCCATGAGGCGGTACGCCGGCGGCACTGGACGCACTGCACAGGGTGAGTGCTGAGACGGGCATGGAGATGCGAAGAAAGGGCAGAAACATGACAAGGGCAAGGCTGACGTCCCCAGGCAAGGCTCTCGGTGTCTCGCGCGCCCGCTGGCCCGTCAAGTCGGCTGAGATCCTGCTCGGCCTCCTCAAGAACGCAGAGGCCAACGCCGACACCAAGGGCCTCGACACGGCCAACTTGGTCGTCAAGCACATCCAGGTCAACCAGGCCCCCAAGCAGCGCAGGCGCACTTACCGTGCCCACGGTCGTGTACGTGTCACCCCCATACAATGCTGTTTTGGGATGAGAACCTAACCCACCACCAGATCAACCCGTACATGTCCAACCCCTCCCACATCGAGCTCATCCTCGCCGAGGGTGCCGAGGTCGTCCAGAAGGCCCCCGCTGTCGAGCGCCGATTGAACTCGAGGCAGCGTGGCCGCGAGGTCCGCAAGGCCATCACCGCTGCGTAGACGGGAGGAGAAGATGACGTAAGAGTGCGGAAAAGGGTCAGGGCATGGGCACGGTACGGAGTCAATGAGCGATGAATCATAGGGTTTTTCACACCACTCGTCATGTATGCATGAATGGGACTTTGAGTTCTCCGGGGTCTGGTCGATCCAAATAAACAGGGCCACGGCCTGAATCCCCGTGTTTTTCTGTCTGCATCTGTTTGTGCTTCGAGACGATTGATGGCTGTGTTTGTTTTCACGCAACTTGATATAGACAAAACGCCGCCATCTCCAATCTGGCCTAGTTGTTCAGCCAGACTGCGAACCCCAGTTCTGTTTCAACACCCATCACCACCTCATTTCTTACCCTCGTTACTTTGCGCAATTTCCGATTTCCTAACTCTCTTTTCACGAAATCACTTTCTATTCCTCCGAGTCATGTCTCTTCCCGCCTTGCTTCGGCCTCACTTGCCAAGTACCTACATCGATCATGACGCAAGCCCAGCACGCAGAAGGATTCCGCCACGACTTGATGGCAAAAGATAAAGACTCTTATGGAGACTATTTCCGCATTTCAAATTCAACTGTGTCCATTCATTTTCAGCATTCAATCTTCCCCTCACATTCCATATCAGCACAGTCATGACTTGCATCACAACCCGCCACCAGCGGCAACCCTCGCATTTCACTACTTTCCTTGTCTTGATGTTAAACACATCACTAGCCCTCGCACAAGATGGTAAACGAGGCCTAGCATATATCGGCAGCTCCCACACTCCCGACACCAACCTCCTAAGTTCATCCGCCAGCCCGCTATCCTGGTACTACAACTGGGGCCCCTACCCGGGCCTCCAAACCGACGCATCAAACCTCGAATTCATGCCCATGATCCACGGCCTCGACGCCGTCCAAGACTCCCAGACCGAAAGTGCCATCGCCTCCTCGCCATCCTCTTCCACCCACCTGCTCTCCTTCAACGAGCCAGACGGCACGCAAGACTCCGGCGGAAGCAAAATCAGCGCAGAAGACGCCGCAAAAGCCTACCACGACTACGTCCTCCCCTTCCGCAACGGCTCGCGAGGCGGCGGCCGAAAGTGGAAAATCAGCCACCCCGTGACCACAGGGAGCGGCTCAGGCGTCGATTGGCTCCGCGCCTTCAACGCGTCGTGCTACGAGATCGACGCGCAGAACGGGTGTCCCACGGACTTTATCGCCGTGCACTGGTACGGGAATTTCGACGGCCTGGCTGCGTGGCTCGGCACGATAAATGAGTTCTACAACGTTAATGCGTCGATGTCGCTCAAGCTTTGGGTTACGGAGTTGGGCCTTCCGCAGCAGGATGCTGATGTTACGGCGGATATGATGAATCGGACGCTGCCGTATCTTGATGGGCTGGAGTATGTGGAGAGGTATAGTTGGTTTGGCGCGTTTCGGACGAGTGATGCGAATGAGTGGACGGGGAATGGGGTTGCGCTGTTTGATAGTGATGGTGGGTTGACGGAGGTGGGGGCGCTGTATATGGGGGATGGGTTTGAGAAGGGGCAGAAGGGGCAGGGGAATACGTCGGGGGTGGAGGGGAGGAGAGTGGGATGGGGGGTGTTGGTTGGGTTGGTTGGGGTGGGTGTGTGGTTTGGAGGGGTGTTGTAGAGTAGGAGCTGTTGATACCCATTTGATTTGACGTTCGCTAAATTGCTCAATCATGTCATGATGTACTCGTCTTTTTCTATACGTGAACAAGACGTACAACCTCAACCCATCCACATCTTCATCATTTCCCCCACATCCTCCTCACAGATTCCGCACCGGCACATTCCTCTCCAAATACCCATACCAACTCGGATCCGACCTCCCCCCCGCCCCCTCCCCCTCCACACCACCCTGCAAATCCTCAATCGCACTAGCCCACCTCAACAACTCGCCCTCACTCCACGCCGTCCCCATAAGCGCAAGTCCAAACGGCATCCCAGTACTAGCATGCACGCCCACGGGCAGCGTAACCATCGGATACCCCGCCTGCGCAGCAATCTGCCCACTCTGTCCCACGTCGGGCGGCACAAGCAGACCATCCAGTCTCGACCCATTATTCGCGAGCGCGGCGTCGATGCCGTCTTCGCGCGTGCTGCGGTGGATGAAAGACAGCGCTTGGTAGTACGTCTCGTCCATCCTGCCCTTCGACGCCAGACTGGCGAGGAAACCGTCCTGGCCGGAGTAGAACGCTGGTGTGCCCAGGGGCCAGGGGTTCCCGCCCTCGCTGCCGTCGTTCGCGTAGTTGTATGCTACGATGTCTTCTAGGCTGCGGATGTTGGTGTTTTCTAGCTCCGAGAGGTAGGTTTTGATGTTGTTGTAGAAGTCGACTTTCACGACTGTGTACTCTGATTCGTTGGCGTATCCGCGTGTGGTGCCGTAGTCCCAGTTCCAGCCATCGGGTGAGACGATGGTGGCGTAGTTGGGCAGCTCAGTGTTGTTGATGACCTTTGCGCCTGCGGATTCTATCACAGCGATGAGGGAGAGGAGTTGCGCTTGCTGCTCCGCGTCGGCGTAGACCCAGAAGCTGTTCCATGGGATGCCGAAGGTGGCGTTTTTCAGCGCGGATTTGTCGGTCAGGAACTGCATGTAGCCGCCCGCGGGTGTGTTGTTTTGCTGCGCGAGCGTGTAGTTGTCGCGCGCGTCGACGCCGAAGATGGCGTCGAAGGCGTAGGCGGCGTCGCGTACGCTGCGCCCGAATGTGCCGACTGTGTCTTGGTGGATGCTCTCTGGGATGACGCCGGCCCGCGATGTCAGGCCCACTGTGGGCTTGATGCCTACCAGGGCGTTGCGCTGCGCGGGGTTGATGACACTGCCGTCTGTTTCTGTTCCGAGGGAGAAAGCCACGACATTTGCGGCGACGGCGGTCGCACTGCCCGAACTGCTTCCTCCTGGGTTGACGGTGAGATTGTAGGGACTACGCGCCTGACCGCCTCGTCCCGAGTATCCCTCAGAGTAGTTATTCGAGCGCATATCCGCCCACTCCGACAGTGTCGCTTTCCTATTTCCATCTCAGTTCCGCTCATATATTTTTAATTCCTCCCCCACAAACTCACCCCATAAGCAGAGCCCCCGCTTCCCTCAGCTTCGCAACAACATGCGCATCCCGCGGCACCACGCTGCCCATCAACGCCCAGCTGCCCGCCGTCGTCTCCATCTGGTCCTTCGTCGCGATGTTGTCCTTCACAATGAATGGAATCCCATGCAACGGCCCCCTCACCCGCCCCGCCGCGCGCTCCGCATCCAGCGCAGCAGCAATATCCTCCGCATCGGGATTTGTCTCGATGATGGAGTTGATGTACCCGTCCACCTGCCTGGCTCTTCTGAGGTAGCATCCCAGCAATTGGACGGACGTCAATGCGCCGCTGCTCAGGTAACTTTGCAGCTGGTCAATTGAAGCTTCAGCCAGCGTGACATTGTGGCATGTTGGCATAGGGAAAAGCGCCGGTGTATTCGCCGCATCTTGGGGCGGGAAGTAGTACGGATATGGCTGCTGCAGGGGATCTACATCCAGAACATTTGACGAGTTTAGCTGCGCCCGCGCCGTTGTGCCGAGCGCGAGGAAGAGACTGAGAGATGCGTGCATAGCCAAGTCCTCTCGTCCTGGGGAGCAGGACTAGATGAGGCTGAGGGTTCAGGTACAGAAAAGATATAGGTGACGAATGCGGCGCTTGTTCGTTAGTATGTTTTGAGGCTGCGCTAGTTTTGGACATGGGAGATTGTAGCGTGGGATAAGGTATCATCCTGCAGCGGTTAGGCGATAAGCGATGGGCGTTTGACAGGGGATATCCTCTGAATTTTGTCGAAGCCGAGATAGGTGTATTAGGTAGTTGAATCCACTTTTGTAGCGGTGAAGACCTAATGTTTTACCCCGATAGGCACCTAGTTCACAGAAAGCTCAGTCAGAAAAATTTGATGTTGTACTTGTGTAGTTAGTCCACGCTCAAACATACGAATTACTACCACTCACCATCTCATAAACGGACGTCTGTGTCGCCGTAAAGATAGACAACTCTAAGCGTACTTTTACCTTTTCGCGCCCACTGTCTCTTTCTCTGTCGCCTTTATATGCCGTTTAAACCATACGGGCTGGTATCATACAACATTGTCCGCGTTTTTCTAGGTGACTTTGGCAGGCCTTGTTCGATGAAGTCGATATTCTTATTCGATGAAGCGATGAACAGATAAACTAAAGCCCAAATGCCTGACTTTCATGCATTGCTCTACTGAGTAGAAGTTTGATTTCGTACAGGCGAGCTTTTCACATCTTAGCGCTATACTTAGCGAAAATACTCAACTGATCAAACTACCATTTGTGCTCCGCCGATGAACAGTTTGCTTGAACTGTTGGCTACGCAGTAATACTGCATCTCATAGTCTCTAAGAAGGACTGTCTATCCGGCTTGTTGTTTGTCGTTCGTGTGTCAATTGTCTTACACGAATGTCTCTGTTTGTGAATAATGTTGATACAATGTTTCAACTCACCAAATCCTATCACACAACTCGTTCTCCCCAAATCTTCCCTCTCTGAATCTACTATTTTCACGACGTCAGTCAACCCACATGAATCGGCTATGATCGCGCAAGGCGATTTGCAAGAGCAACTGTCCAAGATCCTGGCTGCTGCGAACTCTGCCGGCCTCAAGTTTGAAGATGTGATCCCCGACGAGATGGCAGACTACTTCCAGGGGATGACGCAACTCAAAGCTGCGCAGGATTACATCAAAGACTTGGAGTTTCAGCAGACGCAGCTGTCGGCCGAGAACAGCAAATTGACGGCCAAGTTGAAGGCGGCAGAAGAGGAAATCGAAAACCAGCCGGAAGAGTTCAAGGAAATGAAAGTCGAATTACAGCAAGCGAATCGTCAGGCCGACTGCTGGCAGAAGTGCTACGAAGACGCTCTTACCCGTGTGGAAACCTATCAGCGTCAACTGCAAGAGAGACTCCAGCCGCGCTTCGCCGTGGATGACGACTCCGTGAAGAAGATCGAGCGCCTGAAGCACGAGCTCGACCAACAAAAAGCCATCAATGCCAAACTCGTGCAGGAAAACCAGGTTGCATCAGCTCTATTCGAAGCACTGCAACCGCAGTATGCGCGCGAAGTCGAGGAGAAGGATGTCGAACTCCGCAGGGTCGTTAAGGAACTCGACGAGTCCCAAGCAACAATAGCAGCCATTGAATCCGAGAACGAGCAAGTCTCAGACACTTGTAACGTCATCATCGAGTTCTTGGAGAGTGAGAACGAAAACGCTGCGAAGGCCATCCAGCATCACTCCACCAATGCTCGTGATGCGAACCGACTCTGTTCCGTGATACGATCTGAGATCACGCCTCTCAATACGTTCTTCTCCTACGCCCTCGCTATCTTGGATACATATCGATCTGTTTTCCAGGCTCTGGCAGCACCTTACGCCCACACATTCCCCGCCACCTCAACCTTGGACAAGGACCTCGATGCCGCGGCAGACCATCTGGAATTCTATCGCGTCATGCACCAGGCGACACAGATCGAGGGCGAGGTCGACGATTCAGTGCGAACACAGGTGAACGAGGTTGCAGGGAAGGCGGGGGAGATGTATCTGAGTCTTGATCGGATGAAAGTGGATGTTGAGAAGATTATGGAGATGAGGAGGCGACATCCTGTGGGCAAGAATGGGAAGCGGAGGTCCTTCTTCCAACGGTTCTTATAGCCGAGACCGATATTCTTGTTAGCTTTAATGATACTACGATTGGTTGATTGGACCAAAGTCTATCTTGCCATTACTTCTTTCACAGTGTATCTTTTACTTAAATTGCTGCTACAACATCGATGGTGTGTGGCTGACCTTGCTGGAGCATTGGCTGGGAGTCTAGCCATACCATTCACAACACTCACACAGTGCTGGAAGTCGCGCTCATGTTCTGAAGAGTGTTGCTTGCAGCATTAGGTTGTTCTTTGCCTCTGATGTCGTTTTTGCCTTAGGAATTAGTTACTCGAGTATGTTAGTCGCATCGCCTAACATGAACAATGCGTTTGGAACCCCGTATGTAACAAAATATCCTACAGGAAAAGGTCGAGGTGCTTTGGCGAGTTGAAGTTGACATTCTGATGACGAAGGACGTGGCTCGTGCCCGGTGCACGGACATAGGCTGACTGAAGCTTCGATCTGACCATCAATCAATTGGGAAACCTCGTATCCTACTCGGCAACGCGCGAAACCAACTTCAGATGGCTCTCGTATGATGCAGTCAGCATTTGCCAGGCAGGGATACGATAATGCCGAACACCGATGGCATCACGCGTGAAAGTCGGGTTGGAGCCGGCTGTCATTACCAACACACAATGCGTACGCACAATATGATATCACTCGACAATGAGCTGTCATACCCCGAAGACCTCCTTATCGATCACACACGGGATATGCCAGGCGTGCCTCAGTTTCTCAGTTTCGCAACGACAAGGTCAAATGGACTTACCCAGTCTTCCTCGGGCACATCTGTGCATATCCTAGCTTCATCACCCAACATATAGTCCTTCGACTAATGATGGGGATGCCCGTTTGACATTCAACCGAGGAGTTTCACATTCACGGGTGGAGTGGTTGATTGAAATCAGCATAAGGTGGAGAAACTTCGAGTCTGCCTCGTATAGAAACCATATGTAGCACCTAGCGCACCGGGTCTCCTGTTTCGATTAGGCTCAGCCCCTTCCTTCGAAGTCTCGTTGGTCTAGTGGCAACCACCCTCCCGCAAGTTTTGCTTTTCAATTCGTTGGCATCTGTGGGGTGCGGGACAGATGTAAGACGTCGCCGTTTCCTTCGAATTGATTGGTCTGGGTTGTATCAAGGCGTCCAGGAGCGTTACTGCAAGAACACCTTGGCATCTTTTCGTCGTTGCCTGGTGGACGTCTCTAGGCTGCCATTTTACACCTGAAAGATTATCTGGCTCACTTGTCCGCACGAGTCCACCAACATACACATTCTTTACCAATTACACTAAGCTTGTGTGATCAGCTCTTCAATATCTTCGCTCTGACTTTTGTTCGAACATGAGTCCTATCATGGCTGATGAGCGTCTCCTCCGCTTGGGTTCGCTCCTCTGCAACGCCATCGCGACACCTCTCCTTGTCACCTCCACGATCGTCAGGATCAAACACTCTAATAACTACTCATGGGACAGACCCTTTGATAACTACTCACGGAGTAGACATCTCACTGCTTTCGCCTTCGGATTTATCCCTGTTGCGCTTACCGCTATTGCTGCGACGGCGAGTCTTCTGCATCACAAGAAGCATCGAAACACTTTTGTCTCCACTCCCGCACGTCCCCGGATGGCTCTTCTTGACCTTCTGGCCGGGTTCGCGTATCTTGGTGTGCTGATTCCGATTTGGGTTGTTGATATCGGGACTATGAGACGGCCGGGATTCGGCTTGTTGGCAGGATACACTACTGCGCCCATGATTGTCAATATGTAAGCTCATCTTTGTCACATGCGCAGTTCGAGAATGCTTTGCTCACAGTAACAGGTTCATTCACTTTGGCATCGTCTTGTACAACGCTCCGGCGCTGTTCGCATCATTTAAAGATGACACATGTCGACAATGCCCCAATTGTCGCAACAAGTTCACCATAAGCGGTGCAGAAGTCAGACAGACTACCAAGGGAGGAGCAGGCTACAACTTGTTGCGTGGAGAGGTTTACCTGGATGCAGATGAGGATGCTGCTGTCTATCATGATAGCATAGCCTCAGAGGACTTGCGCCCTGACATGTCTGAGGGTGTTAAGGGCAAGGCCGTGGAAGTCTGAGAATGGTCGACCAAATTGATCAGAACAAGATCCACATGGGTCGCAAGAGTAGTGGAGATGTAAGTGAGCACATGCGGGTGGAAGTTGGGGAGTCTCGGGCTCAGGTGGGGTGAGAAGAGGAAGAACAACCGATATTGGGTAAATCAGTTGTGTTGTTGGTTGCTAGGGTCAGAGTACAAACTGCACATTTTCCTGAGGTGAGGGGGATGGAAGTTGCACTTGAGCAGTGCATTTTGGCTACACGCCTTGACAGTTTGTTCGTATCAGTCGCTCCTTCAAAAGTAGTTTGAATAAATGCATTGAGCTGGTGCTTTTGAAAAGTCATGTTCATTGTCCTTTATTTGCTATTCCAGCATCTCGAGACTGCGTGAACAATCCCATCATGCATTTCAAACACCACATGACCAATTCTAAAAGTTCCACACTCCCCTACCATCAAACAGCTTTTTCCATACAGCAAACCTCTCCAAGTAATAGCCCAAGCACCCTATCATGCGATTCATCCCATCTGCCTGCCCACAGCAATGCGACACCCCCAAAAATCCCTCATTGTGAAACTCAAAGTCCACATACCGCAACATCACCGCGCATATGTAGCCCCAAAGCCTCTTTCCGCTAGAATGAAAAGGACGATCTTGTCGAAACACAGGCAGTGGTTGGAGGCAAACAAGCAAGGTGATGCGGAAGCCTCAGATGAGATTGAAGAGGAGCTGAGGGAATTGGAGGAGGCCAAGGCGATTAATCGGGCGGCGTTTGTGGAATGGAAGTTTGGAGTGGGCGGGTATGGATATACGTAGGCCACGGTTTTGATAGTCAGTTGCTTGGGAACTTTAATTATGTATCCTGAAGGGGATGAAGTTGCGAAAGTGGTTGCATGAGTGACGATAAAGATCTTACCAACTGTCGTTTAAGCATTCATCTGCGGTGCACCGGGATTGTGCCGAGATGAAAAGAATATGGAAACGAGACGTGGGGATAGTTATAGTGAATGAGCTACACGCTGTGATACGCGATGCGGATTTTGGAATTGTCATCTAAATTCCTGCCGAAATATGAGAATGAGAATGAGACCAGGCGAGAGTTCGGACTTGTATTTTGGAAGATAATTCGATATTATAGAAACCCTTAGCATAGCTTCATACCTAGCCAGTCAGATGAATTCCACCAGCTGACTGAGTCTATCTTGCACGGTAGACATGTCTTACACTGCAACGCTGTAGCGTATCTCCACAAGTCTTCGCTCACTCTATTGAGCCCATGACAACTAGACCCGACCGATTGACTCACGCGAGTACTCCACCATCCACCAACCAGGGCAAGGCTGCACCATCGTGCCAGACCCTTGCTTAGAACCATTCGTGACTGTCATACCCATGGAGCCTGCGATGATTCTCGTCTTGAATCGAAGGCCGAGATCCAAGGCTTTCACAGTGACCGAAATCTCAACAACTCCAGAAGGAACACCCTCGAGAGTGTGGTAGATGAGAGGGTAGACTTCACCGTCGATCTTGGGAGGCTTCTTATCGTTTGCAACAACGATGTCCTTGGATCTCTGGCAATAACCTTCGTTGTCCCAGTACATGAATGCAGTAAGCCATCCGTTGTACGTCGGGAGAGGGCCACTTCCAAGTGCACCGTCCGAGTGAACCGCTTGCATCCAAAATTTCTTCAACTCAGTCGAGTCTGGCATGTAGAATGAGGCGATGAATCGCTTGAGTACCGGTACGAGAAGTCGACTCCACTTGGCTGGTTGTTCGCCGTATTCTGCAAGCTGGTCTAGTCGTGTCAGAATCTTCTGCCAGTCCTCGACCTCACCAAGGAGAGTAACTGATGGGAAACCCCACCCGCTCTTGAGCTCAAAGGCGAAATATTACTTCATAGTCGCCATCACGACCATCGAAGACACCGCCAAGTCAAGGTCGGTTGTAGTCGAGAACACGGGAACAAGCCAATCGCGGACGCTAGGATTAATTACCTTCTCCTGCTTCAGTGTAGCAAACTGCTTAGACATGCTCCCGATATCCCAATTGAGGCACGGCCTAGTGTGGTCCTCGACAACCAGCTCCTCCTTTCCTTGATGAGCGACAAACTGGTCGCGCAACTCTTCAGCATTCTTGTTGACATAGAAACTAAACTGAGTGAGGATTGCAAGCCATACATCATCAGGTCGAAGAACGAGATGAAGATCTTGTTGAAACGCCCTCATGACTCCGTCGACAAATCCATTGCGGTACGGAGCGATCGGCCCTTCGTGATGGGCATTGAAGTTTCTGAACGATGAGTGAAGAACGCGTTTGCTGTGCTTAGATTTCACCGGGTCGTAGCGAGTTTCCTTCTCCCAGGCTGTAATAAGCGCACCGTACAGACGGGAGTCTGTGGTCGCTGTGGCGTCAAGGTTACGTCCCCTTCTCAGGCGAGGGCTTGATAATGACAGGTATTAGACTGGCTGCTTGTCGCAGGGCAGGTGTTAGCTGGTGGATCGGGAGTGCACACTCGGAGTCGATTGTCAGGATATGAGATGGCTGAATGAGGTGAGTGAAAGAGAAGAACGCGATGTGATATGTAAAAGTGTGGATCATTTGTATTTGCATGATGTACTTCACAGTCTGCGATAACAAAGGAGGCAGGTACGACATCAAAGTTCAAAACCCACGCGGAGAGATTATTAACGCGTCTCGAAATATTCGAGAAACACATACGACTTGATCGTACCTATCAAGCTTATGTAACGTGTGAGAGCACACAATCTGTGGTCAATGGACCATTTTCTCGCCCTTAGCTTCCCCATAATATCGTCTAATCCTTCAGATGTCAGATCTCTCAGTGCCCACATCCAAATACTCTCTCAATCTCTCCCTCGCCTTCGCAACCCCTCTCTTGCCCTCCCTCAGCCACCTTCTCCAGACTCTCAGATCTTTCTCCTCCCGTACCTGTGCTACACCCCACTTTCTCAACCGCTCCATCTCGAGCATCAACTTCGCCAACTTGGTCTCCTCTTGAAGACAGTACGTAACGAATCTTCCACCCTCTGACAACACAACCCTCAGAGCGTCGGTTGCCTTACGGGTCTCTTCCTCATCCGCATACCTTGGATCACTAAACACATGCGCCATCTCCGCCCTCGCAGCATCTTCGGTGAGTCTCATCACCCGGTGGAACAGCATCCAGATAAGTTCCTCGGTGCTGACTCGGCGGCTAAGAGACGTGTGGCAAGGTTCATATGGACCATGCGTATGATACCTCCGGCAACGCATCTTCTGATTTCCATGATGTAGATGCTGCCTGCCTTCATCTTGCTCATCCATGCACTGCTGCGCCATGCGCGACACATGTTCGCCCGTACCGCTTGCCCAGCTGAGTTTAGTGCCATCGGGTGTGCGGTCGATGGTGATGTCCACCAGGAGTCTCAGCAACGGCTCATCCTCCTCGCGATCCAGATACTCGAGATACCTTCCCGGGATGGTGAAGGCCAGAGGAGTTCCCTGCTTGTAGTGCTCTTGATAGAGCTGTCGCACACGATCGGTGACCATGTCTTTCACCACACCACAACCCGCTGTCACAGCCACGTCATACAACTCCATGCAGTTCTTGAGATTCCAATCCCACCTCTTGACCTTAGTGTTGGCGGGTCTAAGCACTCCGAGAATGCCATCTTTATACGTGCCAGACTCAAAAGCTTCGTCAGGTAGCTCGATGTCATAGACAGGTAGTTCCGTGCTCGGCAACGGCGAGATGGCCTGTATGAAGGCGCGGATGACCCAAGGCGGGAACTCGCTGAAATCAATCTGCTCGACAGACTGAGGAGTCCCGTCAATGGCATCCACTTCCGCGCGGACAGTGTCGCAGTAGTTGTACAGCGCATTGCCTTTTACCGTATATCGGTCTTGGTCTAGTAGTACCGAGACTAGTCTGCTGCCGTGCATGTTGAGACCAGCTTGTAAGCGGTCGCGGAGTGGAATTCTGGCATCGTCAACTTCTGTAGAAGATTGATTTGAGACAAACTTACTGATCTGATTCGTAATCCTCGATTTCATCTTCGCTCTCCTCGCTCTCCTCGTCGCTTGCATCGCCGCTCTCGAAGCCTGGTAGTGGTGGGTATCGGAAGTTGATATTGAATCGTGAGGACTCGGAAAGGCTCTCTCCTTCGCTCAAGTCAGCAAGGTGTTGATGGTCTCGTAGCCAGTCTTCAACGGTAGTCACCAACTGACCAGTTTGAGATGTTGTCTGTGGTCCATTACCATCAAGACGATGGCCTGTAGAAGACTGCGGTAGCGCTGATGAAGCCATCACTCCTCCAACCTGCGCGGTAACGTTGTTCCTAAGCTGTCGCCTCGCAGGACCTCTCACTGCACCCCTACGAGGTTGATCCGGCTGTGGGCTCCCCCCAACGACTAACGTTGGGAAGTTCTGCGGTCGCAGTCCCAACTCCTGCAAGCGCTTCTTATCCTCCTTCGCACGACATTGCCAGGGAACAATAACCTGCTCACTCTCAAACCACACCCGTCCGTCTTTGATAGCTGCCTTCGACACAGCGGCATCTACAGTCGCCGATGCCCCCAATCGGTTGTAGTTCGCCATGCAGTCACTGAGAGACCAGTTGAGGAAGATGCGCTCGTGGACTAGATTCTCCTCTTTAGTAACGGTAGTATTCAATGTTTGAAGAGGGGTTCGCGTTGGGAACAGAGCTAGCGTGCCGACCTCGCGTAGGTAGGCTTGTCTTACGAGGGGCTCGGTATCTGGGGGCGCGTGTGGATTTTGCGTGAGGTCGTTGGCAGGTATGCGGTTAGCTGTGTGGTTTGGATCTAGCAAGACTGGGGTAATGGCTGGAGGTGTTGGATTGGGTTGCTGGGTGGTTGTTGCTGCCGCGACACTAGGCGTGGGGTTGTTGACACTCGCATTGCTTGTGCTTGGTGTGGCATCGTGCACGCTTTTGTCCTTTGACGCGTTACCTGCTTTGCGTGTAACAGAAGCTGACTTTTGCTTCTTCGGAGGGGGCTCGTTATCGATGTCTTGATCATCTTGCACTGAGCGGTTCGTATGTGAAGGATCGTCGCTGGGGACAACATCGTCCTTTTTACGCTTCGAAGACGCCATGGAGATGTTCGTGACGGAGAGTGACCTCTACTCAAGTTGAGTCAGTTGTAAAAACGGACAAGAAGCAGATGATAGTCTGGAATGGGACATCCGCAGTTCTCATTCGTGCGAAGACAAAACAATGTGGGGAGATTTGCACAAAAGCCGTGCACTTACAAAGGTAATGAGACGAGTAGAGTGTGTAAACGAGTCTTGGTGTTGACTTTGTACGGGAGACAAAGAGCAAACTGGAAGAATGAAGACAAAGGGCATGGCGGGGGCCGCCTGTAACGAAAGGTCACGTGGACCTGCTTTCACTTCAGGTATGACGACCAATCAATTCCTGTGAAGGCAGCCTTATCAACAAGCGAGAGGTCATGACCGATGCAGGCTTACGTCAATATCACGCAGTTTTCTTGACGGTGAGCTCACTTGAAACAGTTACGTGTGCCAGCGATAGCAACTGTAAAATTTCTCGATTGTGACACCCGTTCATCCCTCACGAGCTGTGATTGATTTCGGTACGTGCGTGCATTGTGTAAAAATTCTGAGCGGGGTTGACAATGTATGTTTGGAAGCGCAGAAACGCGATAGATGACCACGACGACATGTTAGACATTCCATGTTTCTTCGAGACGCATGGGCGAGAAAGTAGCATATGATTGTTCAATTAACAAATATCGATTTATTAGCTCTACGAATCCTCCAACAAGTCCCTTCCTCGTGGACTCACCCAACGATAGCGTACCCGTGGCGATTTACCAGGAGCTAAGCATCGTTCCCCCTACTCAGGATCTGAAGCAGATATACTCATACTTTCTCCACCTCGAGGATATTGCCCTCCGAGTCGGCTGCAATCTTCTTCTTGACAAGCGAGGCGTTGCGAGGATTCGGCGCGTTGAAGATGTCATCAAGCTCCTCAAGCGTGCGTTTCTTGGTCTCAGGAATGAACGCCCAGACAACTAAAGCTTGCACCGGGCACCAGACGGCGAAAACAATGTACAGCTTCCACTTGATCCTCTCAAGAGCGATTGGGTATGCGAACTGGTTGACCAACATAGCGGTTGTGATAGCCAAATTGGAGAAAGCCATACCCTTGGCGCGGATCTCGAAGGAGAGGACTTCGACGGGGTACAGAGCCTGAAGTGGCGTGATACCAAAGGCGAAGACACAGTTGAACAGAAAGATGAAGGCGATGAAGGCTTTGCCGGCCGCGGCATTTCCGGTTTTAGCGTTTTCGGACACACAACCGATAGCGACGGCCCACATGAAAGCAGCACTTCCAAACGCGCCCATGAGCATAGGTCGACGACCAAGCTTGTCAACAAAGAAGGCACCAGTAACAGCCTAGAAATTATTAACAAATGGTTTAGCAGAGGAGAATCAGGTCTACTCACGCATGCAAGTTGCGCACAGGCTTTACCGAGATTGATGTTCATTCCCTGGATTTCATCGGTGATGCCAACCGTCTCGAGTACCGCGCCGATGAAGTAGTCGATAGCACCGTTGCCAGCCCACTGACCAAAGATGGAGATGGTGACGTTGCAAGCAATACGGTAGCGAGCGCCACGAGTCTTGAACAGTGCACTGTAGTCCCACCAGCGCTTGTCTCCACCGTCCATGTTTAGGTACTCCTCATACTCTCGAAGTTGCATTGAGACCCAGGCACTGTCTGGATTTCCTTCGCCATGGAACTTGGTCAAGATCTTCTTAGCATCTGAGTGTCTTCCACGGGTGTAAAGCCAGCGCGGGGATTCGGGAAGGAAATAAGCGAGAACGGTGATAAGACCAGGGAAGAGAATCTGCATCCACACTGGCATGATCCAGCTCTGGTTGCCTGGGAGATTTGTGGAGCCGCGAGCGACGCCAGCAGCGAGAATGGAGCCCACAAACCAGAAGGTGTTGTAGAGACCTGTGATGACACCGCGATGGGCAGGGTGAGCAGTCTCGATGACATGGAGAGGTCCAGCGGTAGTGAGAATGGGCACAGCAAACCCTAGCAAGAATCGACCGCCCATGAATTGGCCGATTGGGTTGCCGCGATCGGCCTTGGTCGTGGCCTGGATAATGACGCCTGCGCATCCAATGGCTCCTCCAATGATCATCCCGAATCGACGGCCCCAGGTATCGCAAGCTGGGCCAATGAAGGGAATAGCAACGACACCGCCGATCTGGTACATGGAGCTAACAATGCCAGCCCAGGCGCCGGAGCTCTCAACTTTGAAGTAAGACTTGAAGGCCTTGTTGAGGAGGAGGGCGTTGAAGACAGAGCCGTCGAAGCCATTGCAAGTGGAGCAAAAGAACCCAACGAAGGCGCAGAGATAGAGAATCATGGCATACAAGGAGAAGCGTGTAGGAGGTTCCTTGAGCTTGGCTTCGGCGATCGCCTCAGATCCAGCGATGACCCTCACCTCGGCGACGGCGCCCTTCTGGTCCTGCGAAGATGTAAGACGCATGTTGAGTAGGGAAGAGGAGAATAGCTTACACCATGGTCCGAGGTGGTCGTGTGGACTCGTGCAGCGGTATCGTCCTTCTCCATGGTTGTGGTGATAGTCGTGAGGATGCTCGAGTGGAGACCTGCTGCTGATGGGCAAACCGACGAGACGGGGGTGAACTATAAACATGCTCGACGAACACACCTACCACATCCCATGGGCAAGGGCGTCCGGGGTTGTGGCCCGCAGTATCCGCCGTACCGCAGAAACACTGGGTGTCTGTATTGGCGCACCGCACTGGAAACATGCGTCTGTACAGATTGGGCGCGGAGACATGGGCTCCGTCGTCGGGAACGGTGCAGTTATTGGATGCCGCGACCTCGAACATAACGTGTGAATGGTGCGGAAACCCGGTCCATGCTCCAGAAGCAGTAAGATGAGTTCTTGGTGCATGCCAGCCTTGTCTTCCACATTGACTCGGACCACCACATGCCATGTTAGCGAACGAATCTTACTTGGATGTGTAGTCTTGGCGCGGTCTGCATTGCAACGGCTTTGTGATGATTAGAGGTAGATGTCTCGTGTCCTGGACGATTGCGTCCAACCAGCTGACGGCGGAGTTGGACATAATGTACAAGTGGAACGGACCACTGCACAATAAGCAAGGCTTGCCTTGAAAAGCAGCATGTCAGACGACGAAGATCAATTCCTCCGCGAATGAGATTCTCCATGCAGCATCGTGCAGCAACCCCACAATGCAGAATGCGGAGGATGCGCATTGGGATTACACAGTGTCTTCGCAGTTGAAGGGCAGCCAGAGCGAACTGAAACAAAGAACTGGCCTTCCATGATGTAAGTTGTCCAGACAAGAGCGTTGCTAAGAACGACACGACGTCCCGAGCGAGATGCGATACATGAATGGCGCGGTGGATCGCGGAGGGAGAAAGCGGAGACCCCAAGCGGGGTTGGGGTGCCAAGCATCAAGCGAGGAAGCCTCGACCCAGCAGCGTTCCTGGCCGCTCCGCAGTTGCATTGCACCACCGTTTCCAAGTCTTGCATCTGAGCGGCATGCATCGTGCGCCGTCGCGATATCGTGGCCCCAAAGTCCCTCTGAACGGCTGCGTGAGGCTGGCCGCCACAAATCGTTGGACGGATCTCTCGGTGAATTCGTCTTTTTGGTGTCGGTAGGTCGGGCCGCCACGTGCCTCATTTGCGCTCGAGGCTTGCCATGCCTCCATTTTTTGTCTCCCCACGGCACCTCCAACTTCTGTTCCGGGTGGCCTTCAAGAAGAAAGGGTCTTCTGACACAAACTTTCCCATATCATCCCAGAACTCTCCAATGAGTTAGCTTCCCACTGAACAACATTCCACATCCTTAAAGCCGCAACGTGTCAAAGGCAACCGTGCGACGGTTTCTCGAGGGCTGATTTTCCAGCCATCACGCCCTTGCGGACCGAGGATCCTGAACCCGCTGTGGCGTTATTGTTTCTGCTCTCGTTTTACATCTGTTGCTCCACGTATCGCACTCCTCGTCTTCCAACATACTCGCTGCTCGCCTTAGCAACAATGATCACGACTACTCTCGGCCAAAACTTCTCATCTGTCATTGGCATCGAGCCACGTGCAGGCATTACCTCCGCCAATTTTTTCTTCCATCATATCTCTGCGCGACCCAGATGATTCATCGCCGCAAGGTATTGAGCACCAAAAACTCTGCCTGGAATCAACTCATTGCCCGCTTCACTGCTGTCGAACCACGACCGATTTTCTGGCGTTACCGTAATGAGGAAGTTGCGCGATGAGAACACGAGATCCCAACATTGCGAGATCAATCCAGCCTCAGCTCAAATCGCGTCATTACCACGACAATGTTACGCTATTTTGATCGAGAATACTCTAACCAAATCCATGTTTACACTACTCATCAGAGTTAGTATAGCCATGCATAGTAGCATGGCAAGTTCAGCATGGAGTTTATCTGGCGTCTCAGCATAACCTCCTCCGCGACGCAACTTTGTGACGTTATGCACAGCATCGTTTTACTACTATGATCAAATACGTTGGATCTTGGAGATGGAAGATAAGGTAAGCGAAAGGGAAGTAGCTCTTCAGCAAAGCGACGACCTCCGTAATCTTGCTTACATCTTCGCCGGTCTTTACACAGGCGTGAAACCCGTATTGATTTGCAGTGTTCACATCTATGTCACGGCAAAATCCAAGATGACTATTCCAACCAGTTCTATGACCTCTGCCTAACACGATTAATTTTCAACGCGAACATGGAACGTACGTTCATACTGACAGCAGGTCTACTGATTTTCGATGCGGTTTAGCGATGAAAACTATCTATTATTGGATTGAACTTGCAAGAGCGAGTCTTCTCTCCGGCTTCGTTACCTTAGTGTCCACTTTCACATGCTAACAAATTCAGATGAGGAGCTCCTTTTTCCCCACCTAGTCTATATATCTCGTCCTGTCAGTGTCAGTCTCAGATATTCTACCTGCTGTTGTCTCCTATATCAGTTTGAGTAATCTTTGATTCCCTACGATGCTACAACTCATTGCGGGCTTCGCTATATTCACATCCGCGATCACTGCTGTAGCGCTCAACGTTCATTCTCACACCGTGACCACAGACCTCAATGAATGTTCTTCCAACACAAATGTACCGTTTGCAAGTCTGCCTCATCCTGCAAAAAATCCATTCGAAGTCGACGCCGCAAAAACTCCAGACTTGATAAAATACACTCTTAAAGGCGACGCGCTAGTGTGTCGACCTCCAGACTCAAAAAAGAAGCTGACAAACAAAAAAAACCCGTCAAAGATATGCCGCAACCTCAAGCAGGAGACATGGAGAAACGCAAAAAATAAACTGCCTACTACCCGAATCGAACGAGCGATCTTCGCATTACAAGTGCGACGCCTTACCACTTGGCCAAGCAGGCTTCGTCTCATTGGAGCAAAAACGAGAATTGTTTGGCCATTAGACATAAAAAGCAAAGTCATTCCCTTGCAGGCAGGGTACTTGCACACCCTCATTCCGGCGACATACACCTACACAACTTACAAAAATTCGAACATAGAGCTCACGACACAACACCTTGACCTAAACTTGAAGCTAAACGCAGGTTGAGAAGATAGGCTATACTATTCTATATAGCACTGGGCTCCAGGCAAGCAGGAGAACGGACGGCGAGTTCAGAAATAAATCAGTGACACAGAACCAACAGTAAGAAAGAGACTCGGGCCCTCAAACCACTTTCAAATCAACGACATCATAACAATACAACATGTCCTTCAGTCCACTAAAACATACTACGAATTCGGCATCAGCACAAGCAGAGGCGGACGCAAACCATTTCTTCCCCACTCAATCAACCCCCTTTCAACGATCTTTGCATTCTCCGTCGACAGTCTGCACGACATCCATCTCCGTCTCCATACTCTGGCAGCGCAACTACAAGCTTGTCGTTAAAGCCAGAAGTTTTGAAGTTCTTGACTGCGGCCGAACTACTTCCGCACGGTATGGGTGTACAACCCATTTATAGCTCCAGACTTTCGTCAACAACACCGTTGTACTGTTTTCTTAATCTTAGGTCAAGACAATTGTTCCTAGGTTTCTGCGGTATAGCTCAGATTGTATACTGCTTGTACAAACCCCGTGTGTTGCTTGTTGGAAATAGGGAATGGATAGGAACACTTTGAAAAGCAGGATCATCGAATGGTCCTACAATATCGCAATGAGAAGTGTGCATTGAAATGAAGCTTTGAAGGAGGTTAGGTGATATGCGCCCCATCCTCATAGAACTGCGAAAATGAATGGATGAATCTTGCTTGATAGATAATTCTGTCACAAATAGGTATTTTTCTATCACTCCGCGATCTATTGAGTTCCCCACCAAGCGAATGTATCCAAATACGCGTCTTAGTACTCTAGTCTGACACGATCTATTTCCCAGCCATATTGGCCGCCTCGGCTCCAAACCTCGTCATTCCCCTCAACTTATCTCCCCATTTATAAAACGCAAACAAACACGGAATGAAAATCAACGCCAGAAATGCCGGAACGCTACTCGCCCAATGAATACCAAGCGACGAGTATAAATTGCCCGTGAACAAAGGAAATGCAGCGCCAGCGACAGATCGCAGGACGGTGCTCGCAGCAAGCGCAGACGCAGCATACCCGAGGTATGCGTCCACGATGTAGTTTGTAATAGACATGTATAGTAACACCATTCCAAACCCGAATAATGTGCCCGCAGAGACGGGGACCATGAAGTGAACAGAAGGGCCGTTCGTCCACGCGAACCAGAACAAGCCAATGGGGAGCGCGGCAGCGCCGAGCATGGCGGGTGGGAGACGTGCCTCGGGCGGCGCGGCGCCGTTGTGTTGAGCCACGACTCTCGCGTACCGCTTTTGATCCACAAAGGCGACGTACAGGAGTGAAATCATGATGCCGACGATGATGGCGAGGAAAGGAAGAGATGCGACGCCCTGCGGCCATCCCCGCCCTTTCTCATAAACTATGGGATAAGCAGCAAAAAGGCAAAAAAGTGTACCATGTACAACGGACAAGAAAAGCGAGAGAAGCGTGACAATGGGTTCGTAGATGAGCATGATCCATGGACGGAGTGCGCCAATGCGGAGTTGCTGGGCGATGGGCTTGGGCGTCATGCCTGCAACGAGATGCTGCTTTCCGGTCTCCTTTGTGAGTTTATCTGCACGACGTTGTAGCAGAACTGGCGCGTAAGTCTCCGGGAATGTGAAGGCTAGAATGAACCATGTGGGAAGTGCTGTGGCGGTAATGAGAACCGCGATGGAACGCCATCCGTATGCTTTGACGAGAAAACCACAAACGATAGGTCCGAGATTCTGTCCCACAAGTCCTGCAAGGGTGAAGATACTCATCACGAGACCGCGCTCCTGGGCGTCAAACATGTCGGCAACTACTGCGGGAGCGACGGCTTGTGTGAAGGAGCCTGCAAGACCTGCGAAGAACCGGAGTACGATGACGACCGTCATTGACGAGGAAAATCCCACTGAACCACTGAAAGCCACAAATGCACCAAAAGTCATGATATACAAATCTCGACGCCCGTATACCTCACTGAGAGGAGACAAGACCAAGGCACCCACAGCAAAACCGAGCACAAAAGTCGATGTAGTGAGAAGCGCAGTGACCTGCGAAATGTGAAACTCGGACTTGAGTTGTTCAGTGCCTTCAATCGTGTCAGCTCAAAATTCTATCTCATGTCTTGGAGAACACATACCTTGAGAGAACCCCGAAGATGCAATCGACACAATGAAGCAGGCGAACGCAAGCAACATGGCGTTGAACCATTTCCTGCCTGTGCCAAAGTTGAGTGGGTTCTCCTTATCGTCCTCTTCCCATTCCACCCCGAATGCGTCGGTATCGAGGTTGTCGGAGTCGTCCAAGCTAATCCACCTGTTCGGAGTCCTTGTTACCCACGAGTCTCTTTGTTCAACGGCGAACTTGCCCGGCCACACACGTTCTGTTACATCAGCTTGCGTGACGGGCGCGAGCCATGTTTGTCTATTCGCCTGATTCGTTCCGTGCCATACCGAGTGTCTGTTTCGAAGTTGCGTAGGTGGTGGTAACAGTGACGAGTCAGCCAGAACACTCATACGTGCAGCGCGGGCCTCTGTGTCGAAGATGCTGACAGTCCGTTGGTTTATCTCGTTGGACATGTCCCATGGTAGAGGCCATGGTGCACTGATTGCATTGCCGTTCTCATCTGAAGAGAGTTCCGGCCAAAAACTATGGCGTTGCGTGCGACTGAATGGTGACTTTGACATGCGATACGAGTCGCGCATGTAAGGTAATGACTCCATACTGATTGTTATTTGATCTAGGCGCTGAAATTTGGGAGGCGGCCAGCGCAGATAGAAAAAAAAGGAAGCACTGAATCCAGCAGCGATGAGAGGAAAGATTAGAAATGCAAAGCAAACACAGTCAACGCCTAAAAGTGCAAAGAGTGGGAAAAACGAAACGATGATGAACCCTCTGAACGAGGTGAGAGATACGACATGTTATGGAAGTGACATCAGGCGCATTGTGTTATCTTCAAACATGCATGGACCCGTCACATTCGTTTGACTGGAGGTCCAGGCACGTTGGTGGCCCACTAACGTTCTTGGACGCTAGGATAGGCGGTATAGGGAGACCCTTCGAAGAGCCTCATCAGGACGAGTCAGCATCACGCATGGACTCATCTGGAAGGCCTGAAGCTCAAGGTCAGGAGTTTGCAGATTAACATTTGCTGCATTAGGAACCTTCGAGGATCACCCTTCCTTTCTGTGCGCATACCCCTTTGCCTGGGAACTGAGTAGCCGAAGTTCGTCAAATCTGAGGATTTGACCAAAGCGACTGTTGAGCAATTGGACAAAGTACAGCCGCAGGATAGAAGAACCAAATCAGAAACAGGTTGAGAACCCCTCGGCGGCACGGGCTGGTGTTGAAGTTCTGACACTTTCATGGCAGATGTCAGAGGGTCCACAACGAAGGCCATCGTAGCCGCATACGTAGCCATGATGGTGATGCGAGTCCTCTGAGTGGTCGGGATATGAGCAGTGCATTGTCAGACATCAAGCTATGCCCCCGACTAACGATGAAACGGGCGCCGGTTTGGGATGGTGCGGCTTACGCGTGGCGGGCCGCGTACAAGCTCTGCGAAGAGCTGCCGGGTTTGACACGAACGTGGCTTCGAAAACGAGGCTTTCGCGAAGTGTTATCGCGTTTCCTGTTGGTTATAAGGATATATGATCAGAGAAGCCAAAGCTGAGGTGGAAAATAAGGGTCAATCCCGGCGCGTCTCTAGCGCGCGCGTAGGTAACGTAAGCAGATACGCCGGCCATCGGACTTGGCACCATTCTTTTTTCTTCTCCAGTACCAATCACTCACTCTATCGCGTATGCGATACTTTCTCCTGATGCGCAAAGTACGTTTAATAAACGGGGAAAGCCCTGTGTTTATGTTCTGCGGTAGACCTATCACACAGCCATGACAACGCCTCCATCCTCCCGCCAAATCTCCCATTACTCGCGAGTCTTCGAGTGCAAGGGGAACGTTGAACCCACGACACACTGTCTGTTGCGTTCCTGTATATTGTTGACGTTGATTCCACCGGCTCCAAGGCCGGAATACCGCGATACTCCTTGTAGTAGCAGACGACTAGAGGGATATTCAAACCTGGAGTGTAGAGAGTATGAGGTGGTTCGTATTGAAGCAACGGTTGACAAAGTTGCAACCAAAAACTGTAATCGTGAACCTCTCGATGATCCATACTTTGAGCAGCTAGCTTCGGAACCTCTGATGAGATTTTGGGCGCAACGATCCGAGCTCAACAACAACACGGCTGGAGGAAAAGAGATTAACCCCCTTTACACTTATCGTTTCCGAGTCGTCGTTGTTTTGAACACAGCAGCTTTCGAAAGCATGTGGTCGTGAGTATGGATGCGGGCCGTTAAGGTAAACATAGGTCTGTTTCTCGAAAGCAGCCGCTCCCGGCCTAATTAAAGCTTGTCGCAATGTCTAAACGTCCTTCGTCAAACAACACATTGTAAGGAGCTACGTTGCGCGAACAAGATTATCCTTCAAAATTTTCATGTACTACAAGGTTCAAGGCATTTCGTTTGGAATTCGCAAGATATCATTGAGGACATTTGAGATTTTGCTACTGGAATGGATCTTGGTCTGGACCTCCATCTATACCGAACGCCATTGGACTACACACTTCCAAACACCGAAAACAAGATCTACCAGTGCTTCCATCCGCACGTGTACTTCCGCTCCCAGCCGGCGTTGATCTTGGTCCACTGTGCCGTGTTCAAATCATCGCGGGCGGCTAAGCAGCATCCTCCCAGCCTTTCCATCCACACTCCCACTCACGCTCCCAGCCGGCGTTCTTCTTCTTCCAAGAGGACTTGTTCAGATCGTCACACCATAAATCATCCTTTGCGAGCGGAGGATCACGACCAAGCAGCTCCTTGCACGATTCACAGACCGATACAGAAAATGTCTTGTCTTCTTTGAACGTTTCGGTTCGCATGCTGGGTTTGCACTGGTATTTTTCTCCGCCGACTATGTTATCTCCAAGATAGCAGATGTTTTTCTGGATAATGAGCTCAGTCTGCGTGAGTTCGAGGCGCAGAGACTCGATCACTTTGAGATCGACAACGTAGCTCATTGAATCTTCAGCTGGGCGGTATTGTGAAGCAATGACGTCCGAAAGTTCCTTCGACTTATGCCCTGCTTTCATGCCTTTGCCAGCCTCAAAACCGTTCCCATCGTAGAGTGTCCATGAGATGGATGAGTCGTCTCGCTCCATGGTGTGTCGTAGCTTTACCTTCCATGTCGAGTCGGGCTTGATGGGAGCTGACGTCCGTGTTGGCTTGGCGGGGACCGATGACGGCTCAGACGAACTTGGGAAGTTAGTAACGGTCGCGATTGTTGACGGCAGGTGAACAGTCCAAGTGAAAGGTTCTGCGGGAGTTCCATCTTGGAGGTTGGGAAAGTTGCCAACAGGACAAGCCTTCCACGCACACGTTTGGCCGCTGCGGCAGTTGCTGGGCGAGTCTTCGGCATGGCATAGCGCCGTGAGACACCAGTTCACACACTTGTTCACGTCAGATCCGTCTTGCTTGCAGTACTTCTTGGTACAATCTCCCATCCACATTTCGCAGTTGGCGCAAGACACTGATGTCGTGGATGCTGACGACGAAGTTGTCTTTGTCGGGCTAGAAGGGGTTGAAGTGCTGGAGTTCATCGAGCTGAACGTGAAAGAGTTCGAAGAAACCCATCGATCTGGTTGTTCGTTACTGCCCTCATCGTCGTCCAAAGAAAGAGGTGCCCTTGTGCACATTGGCCCGGGAGTCTCGCTCGCTGTGCTTGTTCGCGTTGCAGTTGTTGTCGAATCCCATCCTACCACGGCACAGCCAGTGACTGTAGCTTGAATCAGTGGCGCGCAGACTGATGAGACCGTAGTCGATGAAATCTGCAACTCTGAGATTACGGAAGACACGACAATGTTTTCCGTACACCAGACAAAGCGTTCAGTGACAGTGATCTTTTGTTTGTCGTCACACTTCGAGGGCCGGTCGCTTGGTTGAGCTGGCGGAGGCCCTGGCTTGGGTCCACAGCCGTCGGGAAGCTTGCATCCGGGTAGTTTGCAAATCTCTGGAGGGCACGGTGTGCAGCCGCCACTTGTGATACAGTGCCCCCCGCAACCCAAGATACCACAGACTGGTGGTCCATTGATAGTCGGGCAGCCGAAGAGTCCGATGCAACCAGTATCAGGATCTGGGCAACCAAACATACCACATTCGAACCCAAGCTCTCCCAGAGGAGGCGGAATAGTGCCAGGAGGACAACCAGGTCCCCAAGGAAGGCCCATCCATCCGCAACCTGCAAACTTTGTTAGTATGATATCAAGGATGGTTTGCAGGCGGAGACTTACCGCAACCGAAGATCTTGCACTTGCCCCTCCCACCATTTTGGGGCCGATCGGAACTGTCACTGTTATCCACACCATCGTCGTTCGATTCCCCAGTCTTATCGGTATCATGGTCATTGTCATCGTCATTGTCGCTGTCACTCGGCGTGTCCGAATCCCCGTCTTTGTCACATTTCCGAGGAATACAAGGGCAGAAAGTCTTCCCCCTGAGCAGAATGAAAGTGGCAAGATTCCACGCTTTGCACTCATCAACGCAGTCATTGGGGACACAGCCTGCATCCTCATCCGAATGACTATCGGGATCGGATGGATGGTCAGATGGATGGGTGGTCGGGTGGCCGACTGTCGGTGTCGGAAGTGTTGGAGATGGAAGTGGGTTCGATATTGGAATAGGAACTGGGAGAGGAGTAGCGCATGCTAGGTCCGTGCAACGAGGCCACTTTGGCTCACACCACGAATGGGTGCATTGAGCGGGTGGACTACTGACAGGCATACAACTGAATGCCGAGCACCAGTCGTACGTGCATTCTGCTGGTAATGTGATCTTTGGTTCGCCACAGCTCGGAGTGGGCTTCTGCCACCACGTGTAACACCATGGATAGTCTTTGCACTGTGGAGGCTCCTGCTCCGGAAGCGTTGGTAGGCCGCACAATGGCGCGCACCAGTCGAGAGCCATACATTCCAGGGGGCAAGGCGGGATGATAGGGCTTAGCGTAGTTGTCGCAGACGGTAACGAAAATGGCGTCGATGGAGCAGTCCAAGAGTCCGAAGTGCGCGAAGGTTCTGAGATCAGAGATTCCGGAGATGAACTGGGCTGCCCGATCCAAGACATGGGAGGGCTCTGATTCTCAGTCGAAGTCGAAGGTGCGGGGTTAGGAGTCACGAGAGTGGGAATACTGAAAGACAATACCTCAGATCCAGAAGTGCTAAATGACCATACGAAGGATTCTATCGGAGTGGGAGGTTGAAAGTTTGGCATGCTCAAGGACAGAGCCACAGAAGAAGACTGAGCTGCAGAGCTAGGCACTACACCTGTGATTGAATCAGACGCACTCGCGCCTGACGAAATCACGATCTCGCTGGATGCAGATGCGAAGGATGCCGTGTTGCTCTGAACAGACGATATTCCAATGGAATCGAACTGTGACGACTCTTGAATGCTCGACGTGACTGTAGATGATGCGGCCGAACTTGCTGAAAAGGACGTTACGCTTGTGATCGAATCGCCATTTGAGCTGGCTGCTGTCGTCTCCTGAGTGTTTGTCGCGACTGCAGATGAGCCAACAGAAGTAGCTGGGACATCTGATGATGCTACACTCGTGGAGGGAACACCACCTGAACTTGCAATGACAGTCGTCTCTTGGGAGTTGATTGATGAGACAAATGAAGCGACGGAAGTGCCTGGAGCAACAATCACCGTAGTAGAAGGCACTGCGGACGACTCTGGTGGTACCACAGTTGAGATTTCTGCGTTGGTCGAGGTGCTCACAAAGGTCTCCGCGTTGCTTGACGTCGCAGGAAATGGAGAGGCATCACTCGAGGCAACAGATGATATTACCGCCGACGAAACGGTCGCCGAGCTTCCCCAAGGAATGGTATTCACAGTCGAAGATGAGTCTGAGGAGGTAGTCGCCAAGGTCTCCGATGATTGAGCCGTGGTGGCGACAGGAGGCGCGATGGTCGATTCGGCGATCGATGTTCCAGGTGCATTTGGAGCAGTCCCGGAAGAAACTTGGATGGTCGAATCAGAAGGATTGTCGATGGCAGAGCTGCCCTGAGCAACGCTCGATGGTACAGACGACAACTGGGCGGAGGTCGGGGTCGAAGTCGCAACCGGGGGAGCTTCTGATAGCTCGATCGTGGATGTAGCGGATGGTGCGACAGGAGGGGCTGCTGGAGGTAAAGAGGCAGAGTTTGATGGTGCAGCTGAATTCCCAGGCATAGGCGCGCCGCCACTGGTGAGAAGTCAGTCAAATGCTCGAGAGGGATATATAGGTGGAAGCAGGCGGCGCTCAAGCGAAATTCAGAAATGACTTACCTTCCATCACATATAGCATAGTCGACGGCCCAGAGAGCCGTACCACCAAGGCAACGGTCGTTGGCCAATTCCAACTTCATGGCAAAGGTCTGCTGATCGTCGTAGTTAACCCATTGATCGTCCCAGGAAATTTCCTTCACACCTGCGCCACCGCTGATAACTTGAGGCTTCAAGCCCTTCTCGCCGATGATGCGATTGATCTCACAGGTAGAAAGTACACCAGCAAGATCGGTACACTTTCCGGCCTTGGATGGACCTGTGAATTGGCAACCGTAGTACATGCAGTTCTTGTCTGCGACTGTGTACCCGCGACCGTAGTTGGCAGTGCCGAGATTCACCTTCTGGGGGCTGACTTCGTTGAACCAGAGGAGTCGAAGAGCTTCGTCGATTTCTTTTAGATCAGTATGTGGCTTAATGATAGAACCCAAGCCGGGTACGTTTGCATCCCAGGCGCCGTGGAGATCGTAGGCCAAGACATTGAAGAAGTCAACCTGAGCTTCGAGGGCCTTTGGATCGAGGTTCTTGAGGTACAGATACTGGGCGGGGAGAACGACAGAAAGCCCCCAGCTGCTACCGAGAGCTTGTCGAAGCTCGACCAGGAGGTCGATGTGATTGCGCATGTCACTCGGGTTCCCGCCACGGGTCTCAGCGCCAGGCCACTCCCAGTCGATGTCGACACCGCGGAAGTTCCACTTGGCCAAGAACTGCTTGAGCGAGTCGATGAAAGCCTTGCGGTTCTCCTTGGAGCTTGCCAGCTCTGACCAAGTGTGATGAGTACGCTCAGAGGGATCACTGAACTCCCAGCCGCCGATACCAATGTATTTGTCGACATGGTCCGGAAGGGCGAGGAACTGCTTGTACACTTCTTCGTCGTCGGGATGCGTGGGTGAAACTGCGAACGTCGTCGGGTCGATGGAAGCAAAGGAAAGTATCAAATGAGTCAGGCCAGACGTGTCGATCTGGCTTGGGTAAACCTTGTCGCAGCTGCGTCGACGAGTGTTCCTATGAGACTGTCAGTTATGCTGCAGTTCTTCAACCGATGTGATGACTTACCAAGCCTCATAGTATGCGACGCGACGCGAAGCAGTTCCAGAATTCTTTCCACAGGTCGGGGACGGGATGTAGCCACACTTTCCAAAGTCCTTCTGACAAGGCGTCTTCTCGCCAGACTCGGTCTGGTCGCGACAGAAGAAGTCGGTCGTGCCGCAAAAGCCGTAGTACGAGCAGCAAACGTTCAATGGACACGTCTTCTTACCGTCGTCAGCGAACTCGCCACAAGTCGCCTTAGCACCGCAGTTCGAGACGCAGGACTTGGGAGGTTCGGGGTGACAATGCTCAGGTCGGTAACCGCACCAGCCGTCAGAGTTGCTGAGAGTATGGTCAGTGGGGACTCGAACCAAGAGAACGTGTGAGGAGATCTTACCAACATGAACCGTCATAACAGGGATTGCTGGCACTGCACTGGCTACTACCAGCAGCTTTGGAGGCCACACCAGTATTCACATCGTGCTCATCACGACCATCGGTCTGACCGCGAATGTAGTTTTCAGTAATCTCGAGGATAGGCAGGACGCCTTCCAGAACGTGATGAGGGGAACCAAAGAAGGTGACATTGACATCGGTACCAGGACCGTTGGAGCTGAAGACATGGCCGCCAGCGGCGACCAGCCCCAACAGAGCTAGAAGAAGAGAAAGCGACCGCATGCCGCCAAGCATGGAAAAGAAGAGGTGTCTCAAACGAATAACAGAGAGGTTGAAATCAATACCAATTGCCGTGTGCACGTCGGGTTGAGAGGCTGTGGTGGAGAAGGAAGTAGAGGAGGAGGTGAGCTGACGGTTTATATGAAGTGCGGGGCTTGAGCAATGAGTGCAAGCCAGAAGTGAAAGCAACAATTGAGAATGGTACTTGCACAGGTGAGGGAGCGCCTTGCACGATCTAACATGTGGGGCTTATCAACCGAGGGGAGAGAAGCGACGGCGAACCTTTCACTTTCACACAGCTCCATGGTTGGATGAGCATTGGACAAGACGTTGGTAGAGTGAAAAGTTATATACGAGCTGGCCTAGGAGCCGAAAGCTCTCAAGTTCTCTTGCAGCTCGAGACAATGACTGTGTAGAGGGAGCGAAAATATCTAGGCTCAGGTAACAGATCTGTAAAACTGAACTAAAAGTCGGATCACTGAGACGTCTTTGGGAGCGACCGTCGCGCATTCGGAATATGCCATCAACACAGCAAGCTTTGCTAGCGATATATCTTGAGCAATCAACGAGAAGATAGTCAACAGAGTCAAACTCGAAGGATGTATTGTAGTGAGAAGTAACACGTATGTAAGACATTGGAAATCGAAATCGAAATCGAGAGCATCATGATAAAGACAATTTCTCCGAGATATGCAGGAATTATTGTACTTGGAAAGAAACCATATACCGTTATTATGTATAATATGTCCATGGTCGTAGACAAGTTTGGACAAACAGTGACTACCTTACAAGATAACGAACATTAGAATTCGCGATGATTATAATCACTCTAAACAGGAGAAGAAAGCGTATGAAAGTGAGCAACAACATGGTTGAAACATGCTATATGTCCCTTCGATGCCCTCTGAACTGCGCCGCATAGTTATTGGAAATATTCGCGCCCTGAGTGGCCTTATTCGCACCATGCAAGGCAGTAAGAGGATATCGACATTCTAGACACTTCCTCCTGGCTGTCAATCCAGAAATTATCACCTCGGTAGACAGCCCTCATCCCTTTCTGCTCTTGATAATTCGCGTCGCGTCGATTTCGCGTATGTCCGGGACGCGTCTAGCGTGTTTCGGAAGATAGTGATCCGAGCGATACCTGCATCACACGTTTTCGTTTTCGTTTTCCAGACCGACGTCGAGGTAGCACAATGGTGACAGGTGTAGTGCCCGCCTCCCAACCTCATTGCACGGTCGCGCTAGCTAGAGGATTTTGACCACAAGTCATTGGAAACGAACACGCGTTCAACTTTTTCATACGCTCTCAGGCGCTGGTCTCCGAGTGGACGTCAGCACCGCAGGATCTGAGTGAATCACGCCAGGATCATGGCAGCAGTAAGCTCTGGTTATCGGATAGTCCGGCAAATGGGTCGGATGTCGGAGAGCTGGCTTACGAATAGCTGGGCATTGAGAGGTTGTACAATGTAAATGTAGACGCTGTGTTGCCTAAAGCGTGGGTGTGGGGATCCTGCATGAGCTATTGCTGGAACTAGCCCATGAGTCGTCCAAGCCGCCGGACTTTTGACCCCGGATGTGTTTGTGGCTTGTTGTGATGATGCCTAGGTAGGTAACGCTGGCAAGGTCGGTTCGATTAGCGTGACGAAGAACCGGGCTTCGGAACGGAGCTAGAGTATGATACGTGCACCTGGTGAAGAAGTAGTGTTTGAGAGGGATTTGTAAGGATTACGATTTCTCGCATTCGCTTTCCATGGTTGAGTTCAAGACCTTTGTACACGATATCTGCTCGAGTCACAGGACAAATAATGAATCAAATCTCGTCTGCTAGAATCTCGCCGGAGAACCTGCATAGAAGATGTCACCCATGTGGGTTCGTTGTACAACCATCGAAAAATGTTTCCCCGTTCTCTGCGTTGTGCCTAACTCGCTGTTCGGGACGTAAGCATTGACGTGCAAACGCTGTATGGACACTGCGCACATTGAAGTAATCTAATCGCGCTTTTAGTAGGCAGAATGTTCAAATTGAGACGATAATCACTAATTTCACTAAATGTGATGAAAACCAGCTGTATGTGGCGTGAGACGTTTGGTATTGCTGCGTGATTGTATTTGATGCTCGAGCAGCGGTTCTGTCAATTCCAAGACGAGTCTCAATTATCAAAAATGAAATGAGATTATCAAAGTTCAACAGCGAGCCATATATAGATTAGGTGTTGAAATGATAGATATCCAAGATTACTGCTGCACTTGTCTTTGACAACCCCGTATACCACTGGCCGTACTTGAGCATTGCTAGGAAGTTAAACAAAGGTTGTGGACATTTCCTACGTGAGCCATGTCTTGCCCTACGCTGGAATGAAGTTGTCTTGGCGCTTGACGTGTCTTCTTCTATGTGAATGCTTCTCCACTGCTTACGACGTCTAAAACGTCACGATCCTTGATTTTGCCACTCGCGTTCGCGACCTCCGCCCGCTAACCACATGCCGATCGTCACTGTGCTGCACACCAGCAAACGGCGGAGCGGAAATGGCCGACGAGACGCTATCTGTACCCTTCAACGGCAGCTCGTGGAAGGACAGATCAACAGGAACCACCCAGTTCAAGCACGGCCTCAACTCTGCCAAGACATAATTCGGGCCTTCTAGCCCATGACGTACGGAGCTTCTAGACCAAAGTTTGAAATTCCATCGGCTGTGTCCCCGAGAGCGGAAGCTACCGACCCGCCATGGGGCCAGGCCACGCCACCAGACACGCAGATCTCCAGACGTTGAGTTGCCCAAGGTATCCCAAGAGGATGGAAGATGCTACAGCATGGAATCAATACCTGCCAACATCCTGCAGATGCCGGCTTACATCCTCGTTGTTCCACATAAACTGCATCCTCTTGAGTCAGGGCTTAACCGGCTTAACCGACGGAGCACAGAACGCCGACCTAGGCATTGAAGGGTCGAAGTACACCAACACGCATACGGAAACATCACGCCATGTTTAACTTTGCCGCATCTGCATCCACGGGCAGATGGATATTACCCCTGCCCAAGAGCTCCACGCCCGGCACTTGACAGTGCGGCTTCTTCCCGTCACGTACCTGGGGTATGCTGAGACATTCGGCTAAACCTCAAGGGAGACCAGATCCTGAGATTCTACCAAGAACAGTATAGCGATCCAGGGTCGAATGACAACCTCTGCGTTCTAGACGACGACAGGGCCTACGAGAGCTTGTTTGTTTCGAAAAATATTCGGTCCGTTGAATTATTTGGCATACAGGTAGTCAAGCTAAGACTAAGCTGGGCGATTGGAGGTTTGGGTGGCAGAAGTCAGGCCATAACATCTAGTCTCGTGGGTGACTTCGGAACAAATACACTCAGGCAACGTGGGAGAACGTGATCTTGAGCACGCCACACCTTAGAACGAGCCAGATTGGAATCATCGTTACGGTCAAACCTTTCTTTGACCAATGAGAGATCCGACCGTTGGGGACGTCCGCATTCGCCACGAGAGCAGCGCACCCGATCTTCATGATCTTCCTTCCAGACTTTCGACATCCGGCTACGACTCGCCGCATGCCGAAAATCGTTGCTTAGGTTGCTCTGGTCACACCTATCACACACCTGGCTTACTGTGTATGCACATTCGGCAGACGCGCGAGATCCACTATGACGGGGCGGCATGTTCGCAAGCTCGGAGCCCACTTTACGCTTTGCTCACCGTCGTCTCATCTAGACCCGACCATTTCAGCCTCGTGCACGGTGCCGCAACACTCTAGCCGTGCGCTCGATAATCAGCGACGATGTCTGTTGCAGCTCGTTCCGAAAACTACGAAATTATCTAATTTCTTTGTAGGTAACGACAACTTCCACGCCATTGTCGCCGAGAAACGTTCCCTATGGTTGTTCGGGCGAATGACCGAGATCTACATCCACATCTCGGCGCCAACAAGCCGTTGCATCTATTCTGGTTAGGTTTCTCGCTTCGCACGCCGTCAGACGTTGAAGCTGTCTTTTCCACGGCACGCACGTTGTTGGGCACTAAGTACATTTGGGACAGCGACGTTGACAGTATGTGTACAATTGTAAATCAATTATGGGTCTCCAAACTCGACGCATAGCAGATTTAAGTTTTTCTTTGGGACCGGTTTGTTGAGTGCCTGATCAAGGTACACACCATCCCGTTCTCTAGCCGGCATGACTGCAAATTTTCAACCCCAGCTCTTCACGAAAGCTTTGACGTACAAGGTCATTGACGTCCTTTCCTATTTGAGCGACTACGGGAAGTGACACATGCTTCGGGAGTGGCATGCTCGCCAATCCTCTTGAACTAAATGCCAAATATCAAAAACTTGGGGTGCGGTGGAGTCTGTTCATGTACATTCCACGGCTCCCACGACGTGTTCCGGACCATTGCTCTTACTACAATTGGGATTTGAATTGAGTACTAACGCAGCGTAACTACTCGGATATTTACTGTACACGAGAACTGCGCGACCAGACAGCTGGCTGCCAGCATCACCTCCAGCGGCTCATCCCACCACCCATACCTCTTATACTTCCGTTCACCGACGAGACAGACCGCTGCAGTTCGCCACGGAGAAGCTGTACCCACGACTTGCTTGTTTGTTAGCGAGTGGGCCTTGCTTCTCGCAAGCTCACCCTTGCACACATCTGGCCATTTTTCCGATCCTTAGTTAGGTTTTCGACCAAGAGTTGCTCGAGCGTCGTCGAAGCGACACATGTCATTCAAATCTTGCACTTCAAGCCTTGATGCCTGAGTAGCCTGGCTTTGCCCTACCACATTCAACCATATGCGCGATTCTTCGACACGCACTCGGATGCTACGTTGATCGGCCTTTATCTTCCCTACCACTACTCTGCTTTACACCTTCGGAATCGAACCAAGCCGACGACATGTGTTGACTGACTCAAATCCATTGGCTCGTTTTCATCCGACCGATCCTACAAGTTGGTCAATCCTTCGAGTGACCCTGTAAAGCGTTGTTCTCGGTTGCTGCCGAGATAATTCGTTTTTCCCCACAGCAACAATCTTCGTCCAAACACCGCTCCGTATTGTAAGGGTCGTCAAGCTCAGACCTCACATCACCACCAGCCGGGTCGTATCGCTATGGCTATGCGCGCATCTCCGCCGGAATCGATAGGAGAGTCTCCGCAGGCTATTATATCGCCGTCTAATCCATTCACCATGGCACCGCCATCCGTTCGCACTACTACCCACACTGTTCCGACATTATCACAACTCGGCTCTAGGTCGCTAGGATACATGTCGAATTCACACAGTCATCCAAGGTCCCCAGATACTATGTCCGGAAACCTTTCCGACATCCAGAACTACGATGCTCCGAGTTTGATGATATCACCCACGCATATATCCTCCGCAAATCTGAATGCGCAAAAACGAGCGTATAGGCAAAGGAGGAAGGATCCTTCGTGCGATGCCTGCAGAGAGCGGAAAGTCAAAGTAAGTTGCAGCCCAGGACGACGTACTGCCTGAACAATACACCCTGGTCATGATCATCAAATGGTATTGCTTGGACTGGAGAATTGGCGTGTACAATATCAAGAGCTTCTCCTACGCGACTCGTTACAAATCCACTCTGACTGAGTCAAAGCTGATTTTACGACGTACTGCATAGCGTACGAGTTCTACTGGCTCACACACTCGGTCCTTGACATCATGAGTCCACCATCAGGGTGTCAGGATCTCATTCTACACGGTTACTTGATCACCCCGCTGACCAACACTACAGTGCGATGCCACTGAAACTTCGGCTTGCTCAGAATGTTCGAGTCGGAATCATAAGTGCCAGTTTACAAAAGAGACAAATCGTCGCATGTCTTCAATCAAGTATGTCAGATAAGGCCACCGAGGCAGTGTCCGCTCACTTACACTTCGCTCAGGCAAGTTCAGGATCTTCAGAGTCAGATTGCCGAGTTGACCCAAATCAACACCCATCTGCGAACAAAAGCTACGGTTGGGGAGCCAAACGCGGACAGAACAGAGATGAAGCGCCGTCGTTCAAGTGCACAGATTGGAACCTCCCTCGTCACAGAGCGTGCCTCCGCGCCGGTCCTCAGCAACTTCAGTTATGTTCGTGAAAACATCCGATCACACTCTCAAGGCATATTCGATACCCCACATCCGAAGAGCAGCTTGCCCATAGATCGAAGCTCGGGGCTGCCTGAAGTACCACTGCGGGTCGACTACGCGCACTTGTCGCGATCTTACCATGACTCCATTCATGAGTGGTACCCAGCAATACACTGGCCAACATTTCAGCGCGAAGTAGATGAGGTGTATGCAGCAAGGAGTTTCCAGGGCATGTCGCGGGAATGGGTCGGCCTGTTTTTCGCGGTACTTGCATGCGGAAGTTTACTGCCAGCGTCTGGACCGAGTGGCCCTGTGGTAGCCCGAGGCAAAGCCTTCTTTGACATCGCGATTCAGACAATGACACCCATGCCAGAAAACTTCGTATACACGCACGCGCAGTTGGCACTGCTATTGAGCATCTTCGCTACAGAAAGTAACATGAAATCGACTGGATCGATATGGCTCGCCTCAGCTGTTAGGATCGCTCAAGAGCTGAGCCTTAACTCTGAACACGAGTCTTGGCCCGCGGTCGAAGCAGAGTTACGTCGCAGGCTGTGGTGGGCCATATATGTGCGCGACAGGTAACATAACCTCACATGCTTGATGACGAACTGATTGATTGACCATTGTGCAGGCTGACATCTTTGGAATCCAATCGACCGATGTTGATCAACGAGGACGACTGCGAGACGATACTCCCATCCTCTATTGAAGATCGGTATATACAGTCTCAAAGTTTCTATCGGCCCCAAACAAGCTCGACGCCTGTGACCGGCACACTGGCCATTATCCAAATAACACGGCTCCATTCACGGTTATATCAGGCCCTTAAATCAAGCGTCATCGCCCAATCAGTCTTACAGGGCTTTGAAGGGCAGTTCCGTGACACGATGCTACTATTACCAGACACTTATCAGTTTAATTCCGGCGCCACGCTTGAGGCAGCGGCCTTGCCTCCTCTTTTCACTCTTCTTTCCGCCCGATTCCATCTATACAGACGCAACCTCTCGTCCACATGTCATCCATCGGAACGCGCCGAGGCGCTCAACCGATGCACCTTCATTGCTCAAGATACGGCGAAATACATTTCGAGAACACTCCACCATTCGCCAAAACCGGGAATGGAGAGGAGTTGGCAGGCAAGAGTGGCGCCTCTGGCGAGCAGCACGACATGCATGCATGTTTGGAGATGTATGCTCGTACTTTGCTTGCGCGGCGACTACGACGCAGTGCTCATGTGCCTACATTTTGCAGCTGCTATTGGAGACGCGCGAAAGATCAACGTCGCTTGCGGGAAGTACCTTGCGTTCTTTCTGGAACAACTACTAGATCGCGTTCAAAATGGTCACGGTAGTCCTCAACAGCTCGAGCGTGACGAGGAGATGCTAGTTTATGCCAGCGGAGACCTACAAGGTAGCCTCGAGCACTCATGGGTATGGGCTGGAACCAACTTATCTTCACCAGTGTCCGCACAACATCCACCACCAAATGGCTCACGAGCTCAGCGACCGGACGAGCCAATGCGCGATGCGTTACCTATGCGACCGTTTTCTGGATCACCACAGAACGGAACAAAAGAATGGGATGGTTGGGGAAGAGTAGAACAGCTGATTCGATATTTGATGGAAGAGCATCGCCCACACCACGCGCAGCCGCTGCCGTCGTATTATCCTCCACCGCATAACCCTGTCAAGCGTCTGCAGTTGGCGCCTGATGTTCGTCCATTGCCTTCGACGACGTTACCAAACTCGAGTCCAGCGCAGTCGAGCACGAGCCGGATCAGTATTGCGAATATAATATAAGAACGGAGAGGACTATTGGGTGCATTTACTAATTACAGCGTCTCTCATTGGCAGCAGCGGAACAGAGGATATCTGGTCAACGCCATTTCAAATCAAAACGGCCCACACGACATGCGGCGTCTACGTACATCTTTTTGCATCGCACATTAGCGCATTTTTTTGAGCTTCGTTTAACGGACGAAAGCTACGTTCACCATTGCATAGGTCATTTCGCATCTTCGTAGTAACAGCATCACCATATTGGAGTAAATTGTATATCATATTTGTGTCATTCTATGGATCATTCTGGATTGCCATCGGCAGCTTGCTTCCATTACGCCCTTGATGTTACATCTCCGCAGAAACACACCGTCACGTCCTCTTGTGGTCTGGGTGGCTATGCGCTAAACTTCAGCTTCATCGATTATGCATGTGTCAGATTTGAAGGAGTGGGAAAAAAGAGAACCCGCATGACAGTCTGAAACCATCTAGCTGGATATATCGCAATCTCTCGAAGACCCACTTGTCTCGCGATACAATATTGTTTTTTCCCTGAGCATCCTTGTGCAGTCCCTCTCAGGTCAATAATCGATCTATCCTCACCAAACTACAGGAACGGCCCGGGTAACCTCGAGATCGCCTCATTCGTCTCAGCTGTCAGCCCACTCATGTTTGACTTTGCGCCACAACGTTCCCACAATTACATCTCGCTTACAGCCTTGCATACCGGAGCGAATGATTGGGTCACTCGACACAGAGCTGATAGCCAAAGCACGCATGCATGGCGTTAACCCGTTCCTACACGTGTACCTGAGCTGCATCTCAGCTTGGTCTGGACCGTACAGTTATAGAACAAGAAGGGGGGCTGCGATAACGACGCTGCTCCCACGGAAGCTCGAGACCGGAGGCGTGATGATCAGAGCACGTCCCCATACAAACGCTGCGATCGAGCAAAGGGTTGTTCCTGAGATCCATCTCCACGGGAGCCCCACCCTAGAATCATAACAATGCTAGCTCGATCCCACGCACGGCATCGTGTGGCAGCGGCAAGGCGATTAATTTGAGCTGCCAAGGTCAAACCCTCAAAGCTTGATTTCTTTAGCGCAGCCCCACTACTATGACGATCTAAATAAATGCTGCGGGGCTGAGACCTGAGATGTGTAGATGTTGTACGCGTCTGCATGGCTGGCTGTGTATCAGCTGTGCGCAGTACCAATGTGTGCAGAACAGGCGTCAGCACCAGGACTCGTTCACCGCTGAACAAGACACGTTGGAGCACGATAGGAGAGCGTGAGCTTCGGGAGAGGTTCCGTGGTGAGATTGTTCGCATGGTGGGGTAGTTAGCCACGTTTGTACCCCATGTAGACGTAATGCCCGCAACGTGTTGATAAACCCGCTCGAGGCCCGCTGAATTCTCCTCGAACAAACTCCTCATTGTAGTGCTTTCAGACCCCTCTTAAACCAAAACTCAACACGAATTGAGCTCTAACCGCCACAATGGTTCACGTCAACCGCGTAGCGACTAGCAAGGAAATTGCCGACTCGAAGCAAGGATTTGAGGAGTTCGAGGCGCTGAAGCTCACTGCTGAGGAGGAGCAAGATGACTACACGTCAACCGTGTATGGGAGCAAGTGGGCGGCGGAGGACCTCCCCAAACATGAGATGCCTGTACGTGTTCTGACAAAGTCATTGGGGTTTGAAGACTAATCGGTGTAGGACTGCGAGATGCCCCCGCATATGTGAGTAGCTGCTTGGAGGAAGATGATAGTAGGAGTGAGACTGACCAATTCAGCGCGTACCGTCTGATCAAGGACGACCTGACGCTTGATGGCACTCCTACGCTCAACTTGGCTTCTTTCGTCACTACATACATGGTTCGAACACCCTCACGTAGGCTGGTTGGCCGATACTGACACACCTGCTTAGGAAGAGGAAGCTGAGAAGCTCATGGTGTACGTACATCCAACCTCCTCATACTTCATGAGTGCTCGACTGACATACCACTCAGTGACGCCTTCTCGAAGAACTTCATCGACTACGAAGAGTACCCCGTCAGCGCCGACATCCAGAACCGTACGTACAAGACAGGAGAGGAAAGGACATATAAGAGGGCAATGCTAAATGTTGAGCAGGTTGCGTGTCTATGATCGCCAGGCTGTTCAACGCCCCGACCGAGGAAGACGCGAACACTATTGGTACATCGACCATTGGTAGCTCAGAGGCCATCATGGTGAGACATCTCACCTCTGGAAATACACAGACCAGAAGCTGATGTTGCGTAGTTGGGCGTGCTCGCCATGAAGAAGGTCTGGCAGAACAAGCGCAAGGCTGCGGGCAAGCCTTACGACAAGCCCAATCTTATCATGAACTCGGCGGTGCAGGTGTGCTGGGAGGTCAGTACATGCTTCAAACTCTGTTGAAGTTTTCTGTGAGACTGACTGTCATTCCTTTGTAGAAAGCCTGCAGGTACTTTGACGTTGAGGAGAAGTACGTCTACTGCACCACAGACCGCTTTGTCATCGACCCCAAGGAGGCGGTAGACCTTGTTGACGAGAACACCATCGGAATTTGTACGTAAATCATGATCTGCGGTGAGTAACTGAGCTAACACCTCCAGGCGCCATCTTGGGCACCACATACACCGGCGAGTACGAAGACATCAAAGCCATGAACGACATCCTTGTCGAGCGCAACATCGACTGCGACATCCACGTCGACGCAGCCTCTGGCGGTTTCGTCGCCCCCTTCGTCAACCCCAATCTCCTCTGGGACTTCCGTCTGCCCAAGGTCATCTCCATCAACGTATCCGGTCACAAATACGGCCTGGTGTATCCTGGTGTAGGCTGGGTCGTATGGCGTGACCCCAAGTACCTTCCCCAGGAGCTTGTTTTCACCATCAACTACCTCGGAGCGGACCAGGCGTCCTTCACACTCAACTTCTCGCGTGGCGCCTCGCAGATCATCGGCCAGTACTACCAGTTGATCCGTCTGGGCAAGCGCGGATACAGGCGTGTGATGCTCAACTTGACGCGTACTTCGGACTACCTGGCCGCGAATCTCGAGTCGATGGGCTTCATCATTCTTAGCCAGAAGAGTGGAGAGGGTCTCCCGCTTGTGGCTTGCCGCATGGACGAGGATCTCGGCAAGCATTACGATGAGTTTGCCATGTAAGTGTCTTCCCTCACTGTGTCTACGCACCATCTAACGTACGAAAAGTGCCCACCAACTGCGCGAGCGTGGTTGGGTCGTCCCCGCCTACACCATGGCCCCCCACTCCGAGAAGATGAAGCTGATGCGCATCGTCGTGCGTGAGGACTTCACAAAAGCGAGGTGCGACGCGTTGATTGCGGACTTCAAGCTTGCGCTGGAGACACTCGACTCGCAAGACGCAAAGAAGATCCAGGAGGACAAGGAGTAAGTCGAGTTCCACACGAGTCGATGAGGATTTTTGTGACTAACATTCCCTTAGGTCACGACAGACTATTCGTCGTCAATCGACGATGAAGACCGCTGTCTTCAAGAAAGCCGCCACGAAGATCTATGGCGAAGAGGATCACAGTCTGCAGGGCAAGCATGACAAGACGCATGCCGTGTGCTGAGCTAGTGTGATGGCGAGCGAAACGAGACGAAGTAACGATTATACAAAGTACATCATGTAGTGGACTATTTATCCTGACCCACCATGCCGTTCCATTTCCCATTCCCATTCCCTTGATGATGATGCTTCTTCCAACCCCACCGACACTACAACCTCTCCAGTTTATTACTCCCCCAAATCTTCCCCCCATCAAGCACAAGCGTATCCCCATTGACATGCCCCCCCGCCCTTGAACTCAAAAATACAACCGCAGCAGCAATATCCTCAGGTCGTCCCACTCTACCGTTCGGATTCGCCTTGTCCAGCGCATCGACGCCGCCAGACTGCTCCATCAGCCCCGCAGCCATCTTGCTCATGAAGAACCCCGGCGCAATGCCATTGACCAGGATATGGCGCGGCCCCAGCTCAACAGCGAGGTTACGCGCGAGATGTAGAACGGCCGCTTTGGACGCCGCGTACGAGTACGCGCCCGCGTCGCCGAGGGAGCCCGTCCCGATCCCAGCCACGGACCCAGTAACAATGACGCGCGAGGGGGACGCGAGTGTCGCGCCCGCCGCAAGAAGCGGCGCGAATCTACCCTCGCATCAGCAACGCATTCCCCAAAAGAACGCAACCCCACCACACAGGATAGAAACGGGAGAAGAAGAGAGAGGGAAACATACTTCTGTATACAAAAAAACACACCCTTGACATTCAAATCCATAACGCGATCCCACCCGCTCTTCTCGTCCACATCGTCAAACCGACTCCCCCACGTCGCGCCCGCATTGGCAAATAGTATATCCACGTGGTCCGTATGCGCCGATACTTCGCGCACCAGCCGCTCTATCTCCGAGACGCGCGAGCTGTCGGCCGGGATGGAGTATGCGCGCGCGTCGGGCGCGAGGTTGGGGAGCGCGTTTAGGGCTGCGACGGCGGAGGCGCATGCGCTGGCTTTGCGGGAGGTGATGAATACTTTGCTGCAGCCGGCTTGGAGGAGTCTGGGGGTGGAGGGTTAGTTGGAGAATGGAGGAATGGGGAGGGGGGGGGGGGGGGAGGGGGGGGGGGGGGGGGGGGGGGGGGGGGGGGGGGGGAAGCTCACCCAGATGCGGCGTGGAGACCTAGACCGCGCGAGCCGCCTGTTACGACTGCGACTTTTCCTTTCAGGCTGAAGATGTTTGCGAAGTCGTGGAGTTGGACGTCGGATTCGGGGGTGCTCATTGTTGCGGTGGGAGGATTGGTTGATGGGATGGATGAGGAGCTTTTCGAGGGGGTTGTAGATGGGGTGATTGAGTGCGTGAAGGCTGGATAGTGGTGTTGTGTTGTAGTGTATTGTTGCTTGGTTATTGTCGCTGTCGCTACCTCGGGCCATACATGCTGTCGACGTACGACGTACGTCGTGTTGGACCGCGGCTCAGACGCGCGCTAGCTGAGAGGGGTAATAAGCTCTGCATAACTCAGTGTACCTTACCCAGAATAGAGATCCATCTATACCACATACTGTCGTCAATGTATACCACCGAATTGTTACATAGAGGAGGGAGCGAGATGGAGACAACACCAAACTCCCGATAAGGTGCTCCACTCAACACACGCTTACCCACGGCTTTACTTATCTCCATATCCATCCCATCCCCTCAACGCCAACACTCCGAACAACGGACCCCCAAAATGAAACCCCCCATATAACACAACACTCCCAACTTCCCTCCTTCTCCTCCCCTCCCCAAACCACCCCAAAATGTCCGCCCACCCCCCAACACCAGCCTACTACCCCACCTCCCCCCCCCCCCCCCCCCCCCCCCCACCAGCCCCCCCCCCCCGCCTGCGCACCCCCCCCCCCCCCCCCCTCCGCAAAACCGCCGACTTCCTCATCCCCCCCCGCAGCGGCCGTGCCTGGCGCGTCCCAGCAACCTGTCTCTTCCGGCTCAGCACGCCCAAAGGCCCACAAGTCGGCGACCTAAATCTCTGGAACGCAGACGATCCGCGCGAGCGCTTCTGGGCTGCGCGCACGCGGCAGCTACAAGGCAGCCATGTTATCGAGGGGGATAGACTGTGGAGTGTGTTGCCGTTTATGCGGCCGTTGGCGGGGGTGGTGGAGGATGGGTGTAAGCTTGGGGATGTGGGGAGGGAGGCGGGGCGGGATGCGAGGGGTGGGGTGACGCGGTGGGGGGGACGGTGTCATGATTTGCTGGGGACGCGGTGTGATCCTTATGGTATGTTCTTCTTTTTCTTTTTATTTGAGACTGTGTTTTTGGGGCATGGGGGCTAATGGGATTGGATGGGCGGTAGTGAACAACCTTCTCACCTCCTCAACGTACGATTTCCACTGTCATTCTAACCTCGTGCGCGCTGTGCTGCCGTATGGATTGACGGAGTTTGACGTGCATGATGTGCTTAATGTGTTTCAAGTCACTGGCTTGACTCCGGATCCTCAACTCTCCCAAACACCCTCCCCCTCCCCCCCTCAGGAACCCTCTTCCGACCCCCCACCCCCAGGCAGCCAATACTTCATGGAATCCTCCCCCGCAACACCCTCCAGTTTCCTCACCTTCTTCGCCGAGCAAGACCTACTCTGCGCACTGAGCACGTGTCCCGGCGGCGATCTGAGCGTGTGGGCGTGGACGCCCGAGGACGAGGCGATGAAGAAGACGTGTCGGCCGATTCGCGTGGAGGTATTTGAGATAGCCGAGGAAGTGAGGGCGGAGGTGCTTCAGGGGTGGAAAGCGCCCGAGAAGAACGGGTACAGGGGGGGTCATGGTGTGGGTATTCCCATCGGCGAGGGCGTAGATACATAAAGGAAAATGGTGCAAGGGAGGAAAATACTACTTATCCATATGCTTATGCTTATACCGTCTCGACATCAATATCAATATACAGCCTAAACTCCTTCTCCTGCATAACGCCATACAACCGCGCTTTCTCCTCGTCCGTAAACACACGCGAGCAGTGTGTGAATGCGTGCGTGATAAATGCCTTGCACCAGGGTACCCGTCTCAGCCCCGCATACACAGTCGATCTAACGCGTTGCTCCGCCTCGCGCACTCGCCCTGCGCCCTCCTTCCCATCCCCACGCGCCCACTTCCCCCTCTCAAGCTCAAGCTGCCCAGTCTCAAAACGCACATACGCCATCCACAGCGCAGGACAAGCCGCGCCCCCAGACCCCGTGGCGCGTCCATACAGCGCCCTCACCGCATGGCTCGTCGAGCCCCCGCGCTCACCACGCAACGCCTCGTAGTGAATCGCGAACGCCCAGCCCGCTGTGCTGAGGTTCTGTGCGTTTGGTCTGCGCATGACGCTGCGCACTCTGTCGTCGATTGCGAAGCGGGCTTCGTTTGCGGCGTAGAGGGGGAGGAGGATGGTGTTGTTTGGGAAGAGGGCGATGAGGGGGTCGAGGGCTGTGCGGAGGAGTGTTGCTTTTAGGATGGGGGCGTGGAGCGCGTGGTGGGTTAGGAGGCGGGCGAGGGATTGGGCGAGGGATTCTTGGTGCGGTGGTGGGAGGGAGGGGAGGAGGGATGTGTGGTGGGCGAGGGCGGATTGGGGGTTGGGGGTGGAGATGTAGGTTAGGAGGGCGAGGAGAGAGGTGCTTAGGATTGCTGTGGGGTGGTTGCGTTGGATTAGGGCGCGTTGCGTGGTTTCGGTGAAGAGCGTGTGCGCGCGGAGTATCGTGGTGGAGTCGGGTTGTGTGGTTCTCGCGGGCTGGGTCGGAGATCCTTGGGGCGATACGAGGCGCCAGTATGCCTCTGTGGGTTCGTTCTTGTCCATTGCGCTCCAGACCCAGCTGTACAAGAGCTGCAGACTATCTTGCGTCGGATCCCCTTTATGCATGGACAGCGCCATGCTGAAGACTTGGTCTGCTTTCGTAACATTCCCGCGATGCGATTCGGCGAGACCATATGCGTTGTAGAGACGTAAACTGGACGAGCGGGTTTTGAGAAGCTGTTTTGCGATTTTGGGGATATCTGAGGGGAAATGACGCGATGTAAAGGCGAGGAGGTATTCGCCAATGATCGCGTCACTTGACGGATCTGACGCTACGAGTTTGAGAAGTCGCTGTATGAAGCTAGTGCTGAGGTTGATACCCTCGAGTGAGAAATCTTGCTCGAAAAGAAGCGAGCTCGTCATCTGCAAGCTCTTTGACGGGCAATCCGAGAAGTGTCGGAGTGTTTGCACGAATGGGCTCGAGTCATCTATGTCGGTTGGCGAAGACGGCAAGGTGTGCTGTAGATATGGGTCGGACCACCACTTCCACTGGTGCGATCCAACTCGTGGCAATGAAGGAAGGCCGCAGAAACACAAAAAGGCTTCCAGAATAAGTGATGCGTCTGTCGTGGAGGGGACGATTGATAGATATTCCTGGACATCCGAGAAGAAGATTGTATGGAAAGGATCATCTTCAGCCACGTCGTCTGCAGTACGGCCTGGATATCGGAGGTTGAGCATGGCTTCCGACTCGCGCTTTTGGAAATCTTCAAAGACGGCATCTGATGCGATCTTTTTTTGTAGAGGCGCAGGCCCTGGGGGCGGATCATCTTCTGAATTGAAACGACGCCAGCCTTTTGCTTGCGGCTCGCCGATCCGCGGAACTTCGCTTTCCCAAAAGTCTTCGAAGCTTTGGAGAGCGTCTTGTACCTTCGTGCCGGTATTCTGCGGTGGCCGTAAAAGATGAAACTCCAGTAGAGCTTGCCATATAGCCAGGGCGAGCTCCTGGTAGCCTGCTCCGTGAATCATCGAAGTCAGGCGAACCAACACATGCAAAGATATTTCCGGCGAGACTCCCTTGGGGCTCAATCGCAGAGTTTCGAGACACTTGAGAAAAGCGATCCGGGAGTCTTCGTATTTGAATCGAGCAAAACTTGACTGCATGAAGTTGAGATAGTCAAACCACAATGGCGTGCTATATGGATATTTCGCAAGTACGTCTTTCCACTTGATAGCAAGTCTGGCATCATCCCAAGACCGACGCGCTTCGTTCAAGAGTCCTTCATAGAGCCTGACTTGGCTGTCTTGATTGTTCCCAATCTTCTTCAAAGCTTCCTCGTAGATTGGAACACGTACCTCGGCGAGATGTCGCTTGTCCGTCTCGCTCAATTCAGCAGAAGCCCGGTCTAGCATCATCATTGGCTCCTGATGATGGATGAAGTCTAGCCACCCCTCAAGGTCCTCCGGGTGTTCGCGAGTTCTTCTCACGAGCCTGGAGTTCTGGCGAGTGACCTCTGCGCCCACACCGGTAGTCTGTGAATCTGACTCATACAATGTGTCTGGATCAATCAGCTCAGACGACTTGTCATGACGCTCAATACCGCGATAATCCACATCTGGTGCTTCGTCATCTTCAGCTTCATCATCGTCTCGTTTTCGCTTGTTAGTGCTAGAAAGCGAGATGAAGTCGCGGTCTTGAACAGGCTGGTGCTCGGCAGGCTTGATGAATCGTAGCGCGCGGCTACTCTCTTTGGGCACGTGCTTGGCTGTCAATAGTCTTTCCTGTCGTTGTCGAGTTGCTGGAGTGATGTAGATTTTCTTGTCTGTCGACGTCTCTCGATCGATCTTCTGGTCGGTAGACAGCCCTAGGACATGGCCGTGACCACAGCGACGATATGCGGGAACATCATAGCGATTTATCGTTCCATATTTCAGGATGTCAGTGTCGCTTCTGCGGTCGCTGAAGTAGAGTTTTGACGGTTGCGAGTCTCGTGCGTGGCGTTGGTTTTCGTGTTGTGGTGACTTTCTCCTTTCGCGTCGCGTTGTGTCTTTTGGCAGCCTCTCCACATCCTTTACTTTCTGGACTTCTTTGGGCGGTTCTGAGGCCGGCTTGGGCTTTGGTCGGAAACTTGCAAACTTAGGAACGTTCGAAGCCATCTTGGAGAATGTAGCCTACAATAGCGCTTTCAATCGCAAGAGACGATTATGGATGCATCACTATGGTGAACACTCGACATGACGATAGTCTATGTAAGCTGCCGCTGTATTGTTGTATCAAGGATGTTGTCGACTGCTAGACGCGTTGATGAGAGTAAATGCGGTGCACGTGTTAGTTCGGGAGTCCGCACTGCGCGTCATGCGGAGCTAACCAGTGCGCCGTAGCTAGCGGCAGAAATTCGATTTCAAAATTTCGAGCTTCGACACTCTAGCAGTCCGCCAACAAGCCCGCCACGACACTTCCCACGCCTTCCCGCGGCGTCCCATGGCTATCCAGACGCCCATTACCCCACCGCGATAACATTACCACCTCGATACACGCGCAATGGCGACTGCGCTCCAGAAGCAGCTCGCGGCCATCGCCGCCTCGAGCACCCATGAGCTCGACATCAAAGCGCAGAAGTCGGCGCACGGAAAGTCGCTGCTCTTCGATCCCAAGGTCGCCTCCTCGCAGTCGTTTGAGAGCGTGTACTTGCTGTGCTACGAGGGATACAGAGAACTATGCGCGCTGGATCCACGTTTTCTGCATTTTGCCAAGAACCTGTTCAGCGAGCAGAGCAAGGTCGAGGACCGGACGCAGATGACCAAGAAGGAGAACGAGAAGCTGAATGCGGTACTCGAGGCTTTCATCACTCTGGTCGGGCCACGATTGCTGCTCAAGCCGGCGGAGAAGGCGCTCGAGTGGCTGGTGCGCCGGTTCAGAGTGCACGAGTACAACACCGAGTGTCTCGTCTTCACATACCTGCCGTACCACAGCACCCCGCAGTTCCAGTCGCTGCTCTCCATCCTCCCCGCCCAACCGCCGCATGCCCTGCGCTTCCTCTTCCCATACATCGAGTCGAAGACGAAGGCGAACCCGCCGCGCCAGACCATCGTCTACACGGCCATCAACACGCCACAGTTCTTCAATGCCTTCCAGTCATACGTCGTCAAGGTGTTAGAGGCAGGCCACCAGGCATCTCATATGCTCTCTTTCTGGTCGAGCATCACGGTGCAGGCTGTGCACGGCATACTCAACAGCTCCAGCTCAGGCAGGCGAGACATGCAGGACCAGAAGACGGAGGAGCTGCTACTGAGAGTGCTGCCTGTGCTCAACAGCTGCATGCGCGCTTCATACGGAGCCGAAACTGTCGTGGCCTGCTACATGATCGTCGTTGTCTTGGTGACAGAGGCGACACTCGGGGACAAGGTGCTGGACGGGCTGATGGAGGCCGTGGTACTTGCACACGACAGCGAGTCTCTCGACGAATGTCTCATGTCGCTTGCTATCATCGCCGAAGAGCGCTCGCACGCTCAGATTCCAGAAACGGTTTCCAGGCAACTTCTCCGGATCCCACAGCTGTCGCAAAAGCTAGCATCAGTCTCGGCGGCGGAACAATGTCGTGTGGAGCGTCTTGCCCTGGGATGCGCTCTAGGAGCACTTAGTGGCGCCACTCGATCGGACGAGAAGCGCGACACGTTCCACGAGCTCGTCACTTCGAAACTCATCGTTGAATCGCAGGTTCAGATAGCGCTGGCAGCTCTGATCGGGACAATTCGAGACAACGCTCCCGGCTCGGAAGAGCGTGGACAACTGCTCGAGCTTGCTGCAAAGCTGGTCGAGTCGAAACAGGTGCTGAGCATACTCCAAGCTACTGCGAAACAAAACAATGTGGACCTAGAATTGCTCGGTCTTACCATTCAAGAACCTCTGGAAGACCAGACTATCGACTTCGATGATGAAGACGAGGAGATGCTAGACGCAGACGAAGGATCCATCCAGGCATCAGCAATTCAAGTTCCGAGCATCACAACAAGCAGCTTTCTCGACCCCACTGCGACCGAAGACTTTTCCGATGTCGCCAACGCTTTCGAACAAGCTGTGACACTGAATCAGACTACACGATTCCTGGGCTCCGAACCGCTTCACCGCAAAGATGCACTCCAGCAGCCTTTGTATCTCACATTCTTGATCCGGGTGTGGTCTAGTGCCCGACCGGTTCCTGTCCGAGTTGCTGCGTTGCGCGCCGCTGCAACAACGATCAAGCAAGCTGACACTGCCGCTGTTCTCCAACACGTGACACCGTACCTGCTCTTTGCTCTTGCCGATGCGTCTCCAGTGGTCCGCCGCTCCGCTGCTGCATGTGTTGCCGCGTTGTCCGAGAAGGCTGCTAGCAAATCATCCGCCAAAGCTTGGGGGGCTAACATGTACAGCACCACTAGCAAAGTTACAGAGCTGAAAGGGGATGAGATCACGGCCCTGGTAATCTCAATGCTCGTTCCAATACTCGAAGAGTGCGTTATGGACTCCAATTTTGTCATCTCCGCGGTCAGAGATGTGCTAGACGGATCCCAGTCTTCGAAAGCCCAGGCCAAGCATGCGTTCAAGGCCCAAATGCGAACATCAATTCTCTCATTCCTAGCCAATCACGCCTCTCTCACTCCACTTTTGAAAGTCCGACTTTGTCTCTTGCCTGTTGCCAACTTTACCGGGAAGGTTTCAGACAGCGTGCGCGGCAACGCAGTGCTTGCTGTCGTCAGACAGTGGTGTTCCCTATCAACTGCTGAAGTAGCTACGCGCTGTGGTGATGAGACAATTGAGATGGAAGAGGCAGAGCGAGCACATCTTGCTGTATTGATAGCTCAGGAAGCGAAGAGTGCGCAATTGCTGAACGACATAATCACCGGGAGCCTCAGTCAGGAGCGGACAGTGCTTGCAAACGCCGCCTTTGACCAGATTAACTCATTCTGGCCATCACTCAAACCTGATTCGAAGCTGTCCCTAGCTCAATGCATGTTGGGTCTGGCTTTTAAGGAGAGCAGTGAGCAGTACGACAAGCTTTGCAGGGAACGAGCACTTGAGACTCTACGCAATGTCAAGCTCGATTCTGCCACGCTTGTGACTTTCTTGGACACCGTTCCCACGACGGTACAGATGCCCGAGGGACCGCCAACAAAGAAGAGGAGGCGAACTAGCCGGAGCGAAATGGCTCGCGTAGAACTGTCTTCCGCTGATGATGTTCAGCGACTGCTACGCAATCTCACATTGGTGTTGGAATTGGTAGAAGGCTCAAACCCCGGGCAGCACCCCGCTTTGTTCAGGACGCTGTTCAGTGTGTTTGGGGACCTCCAGCCGCTTAAGCAGCAGTCAGGATCAGAGTTGGTCTACCTGCAAAGCATGATTCTAGGAGCTCTAACGCCAATTGTCAACACCCTGAAGGTAAGGAGATATCTTATACTAATGATGGATAATCTGCTAACATTGATCAGGAGCAACCGGACACAGTTGAATACCAGTCCGCAGTACGAGCAGATCTGCTCATCGACTGCATTCGACATTCCACAAGCCCACAGGTGCAGAACAGCGCACTGCTCTTGATTGCCAACCTGGCATCATGGGTACCCGACATGATTCTGCACAATCTGATGCCCGTATTCACATTCATCGGGTCTACACTACTTCGCCAGCAAGATGACTACTCCGCACAAGTAGTGGATAAGGTCAGTTTTTCCATGTGTTATATATGACGATGTTACTGACCTTGTTAGACCATCTCTCGCGTCGTACCTCAATTGGCAGCCTCTCTTCGTTCGAAGCATAAGAACTTCCTTACTGGAGTTTCCGACCTATTGCTCAGCTTCACAGCAGCGTTTGAGCACATTCCGCTACACAGAAGGCTCAAACTCTTCTCAGAGCTGGCTCGGACGCTCGGCCCAGAAGACTCGCTTTCCGCGATCATTGCCTTGCTTGCTGATCGATACCACAACAGCAAGAGCCAGCGCAGGTTCTCAACCGAATTGCTGCTCATGTTTGACCCTGTCCACACGCTTGAAGTAAGCATTACTCAAGATCGTCTAGGTACCGCGCTAACTTATCTAGGCTTTTAAAGGCTACCTCGAACTCGTCACCGATGCTGCTGGGCCAAAGCGCAAGATCTCGGATACGTTGTTTGGCCTGAATGAGAAATCGCCCGCTCAAGTCGAATCTGCGCTCAACGACATCCTGTCCTCACTTGCAGACCTTGCAGCTGACGAGCGTATACGGGCGCACGTGAAGAGGGCCTTCCGACAAAAGGCAGACCCTGCTAAGCCTCGAGAGGTCTTCGCGAACATCGTTCAAACGACCATCCAGTTATCGAAGAAGGTGGCTCAATCACACAAGCTCTACGAATGCTGCAGTCGCGTACTCGCTCGATGCCTGGATCTCCTGCCTACCGCCGATCTCATCAAGTCGGCCGAGCTTCTACTCTCGAACCCGGACGCTCAAGTACAAGTCGCAGCCATCAAGTCGGTGGAACTGCGAGCTGGAACGGCGGTCCAAAACGATCGCTCGTCTGTATCTGCTCTGCTCTCGTTCCTGCCCAATGTTGAGAACGTCTTGCAGGAATCACAAGAGTTGGATGCCAAGATCATTGCAGTCAGCTGCATTGATCGTATCATCGAGCGATTTGGCAAGAGAGATACGTCTGCCGTCGCAGCTATCGCGCAAACAATCTCTGGCCCACAGGCGCTTTCAAGTAGCGATGACAGGATTCGCATACTCTCCCTGCTCTGCTTGACATCAGTCGTCGACGTTCTGGAGGACGGAGCTATTTCCTTCCTCCCGACGGTCTTGCCAGTTGCTTTCGAATATCTGTCACTGGCTATTGAAGAGGAGAAGACTGGGTTGCACAACGCGGTGTACTCACTCCTCTCCAACATTGTCGAGCGACTGGGGTACATGTTCTCGCGCGAGTATCTGGACACGGCTCTCAGGCTGTCACACCGCTCCGCTGCTGGTGATCTAGAAGACGCATGTGACGAAAGCCGTCGTTCGTTCTACCAGAGTGTCTCTGTAGATCTTGGCGCGCAGGAAGTGTTTGCTGCGATTAAGTCTACTTGGTCGCATGCCGTTACCGAGGGCTTTGACGTACGTACTCTATGCACTACTTTCTGAAGTAAAGCTAACAAGGAAACAGGCTTCACTCGAACACCTCGAGCTCCTCCGATCTACCATCGACAGCCAAGCAAAGTCGAAGTTGATCAAAGCCAGCTCGACTCTCTTCAGCTTGCTTCTCCAAATCTTCCATCTCCGAGAAGCAGTCGAGTTGCAGGAAGATGAAGCTTTCGATGATGAGGAAGTTCAGCAACTGGATAACACACTCGTTGAGTCTGTTGTCGCTATGGTATTGAAGCTTAACGACGCTACGTTCCGACCTTTCTTTGTGCAACTTGTGGACCAAGAGGGACCGCGTCGAAGCATCACCTTCTACAAGTTCCTCGCTGGGTTCTTTGACAAGTTCAAGGTATGTAGCATACTGATTGTGACTTGAACCAATACTGATTATTTTTCCAGTCCATTGTTACAAGCTATTCCAGCTACGTCCTCGAGCACGTTGCGAAGATGCTAGAGCACCTTGCCCAAGAAGACGCAGAGTCAGAACTGCGAGGCACAGTCCTCAGCGCGCTGCAGAAGACGTTACAGCACGACCAAGATGGTGAGTTCGAATCCGCCCATCCATACATTCACAACTAACACTCTCTCCCAGGCTTCTGGCAAGCACCGTCCCACTTCACCGTCGTCATGTCTCCTCTCCTCAACCTCCTCACAATCACCCACTCCGAGGAGATCACAACACACGTCATCCCCACAATCGTCGAGCTCGCAGCTACCTGCTCCTCCTCAATTGACAACCTGCGCGCTATCAACTCCACACTCCTCAAATACATGCGCGACGAGCGAGCAAACACGCGTCTAGCTACTGTGCTGTGCGAGCAAGCACTCACACAACGCTTGGGCGAGGAGTGGCTCAGTTTGCTGCCCGAGATGCTGCCGTTTATCAGCGAGTTGCGGGAAGATGACGATGAGGGCGTGGAAAGGGAGACACAGAGGTGGATTAATAGCATGGAAAGCATTTTGGGTGAGGATCTGGAGGCTATGTTGCAGTAGTGACGACGAGGGTGGGATGGGAGACTTTGTGAATCTGAAAAGGGTGGTATACCCCGGGTGTGGATGTGCATGTACGAGTTTAGAATAGCATTGTTGTTTGCATTGCGACTTCTTCTTTTGAATCAAGACTTGTCTGGCAGCTTGTGTATATATTCATCTGTCTCTTGAACCACTTTTTTTCTGAAGAAGCCTCTTGTCGATTTTCCTCGAATCGGGTAGCCGGGACCAGCGGAACCTCTCGGTACGCACGCACGCGTCGTCCCAACGGCATTGCATCACCGCCCACCGCCCACCGATCAACCCTGGTCTTGTACTGGTACCTAGCTATCAAGCTCCCCCGATCTGCACCCAAAACTCCCCTCCACACAACCACCATGTCCAAATCACCATCCACATCACCATCGCGATCGCCCCACGATGTTACATCCACAACCAACATCCTGGCCATGCCAAACTCACACACCTCGCACACCAACAACAACGCGCCGGGGAAACCCTCGCAAAACGGCAGTGCAGGGAGAAACGCGCCCTCGAACCCAGACGTCGAGGCGCTGTTTCTAGTGCGCTTCGACAGCAGAGTCGGCTACACAATCGCCTGGCAGCGCACACGCACCCCGGCCACAGACCTCGACGGTGTGGAGTACAAGGCCCTGCCCTCGGGCCTGCACGCTGTGCAAAACGATCTCGTGTATTTCACACATACCGGGCCTAAAGGGGAGGAATATGTCGGGCTCAGTGCGTTTGCGCAGAGTGAGGCGGGGGCTGAGGAGCGTGGGGCGCGGTTTGTGTCTGTGGGCGTGTTGGTTAGGAGGGAGGGCGTTTTGGGGCGCGCGTGGGTGCTTGCGGGGAGGTTGGAGGGCGTTGCGCGGGAACTGGCGGGGGGGATGGAGGAGCGGGAGGGGGCGGTGTTGGAGCGGGTTTGGGGGGAGGTGCAGGGTGGAGAGGATATGCAGGAGGAGAGGGAGGAGGAAGAGTTACCGGAACATCATCCCGCGCGGAGTGTGTTACGATATGTGGATGTATGCGGGCCGTTGGTGTTCAGACTACAACAAGCCGCTTTGCTACGGAAGAGGGTTCTTTTCGTCGGCGGGCCGCCCGTCAGAGGGGTCTGCGAATTCGGTACGTCTTTGCGCTTTCCCAGCACACAGGCGAGCATGAGAGCTAATAACAACAGTCTACACCCTCACAGTCCTATCCAGCATCTCCCCACGCGACACATCCTCCTTTCTCCCCGGCACAGACACCCTCTTGCGCATCCCATCCCTCTTCTCAATCGGCGTCCACGACATCCCGCTGCTGGAGACACCGCGCGCTAAACACGGCGGGCACACGGGCGCAGACGATCTCCCGCCAGAGGGCTGGATAGCATGCACGACGGACGAGATCATCGCGACGAAAAAACACCTCTTCGATATCATCGTCGACTTCGACGCAAAGGGTAGATGGCCCTCGATCCGCACGAGCGAGGGCGACGCCGTGCGTGCTAGTCAACGGGACCTCGCGCGCTGGAAAATGCTGCGCAGGGAGTTGGCTAGACATGAGCGGCCGCAACTGTACACGGACGCTGAGCCTGCAGATGAAGACGCAGATGGAGACGCCGCCCCCCTCCTCCCCGCCCCTACACAAGACGAAAAGCAAAACCCCGAACACGCAATCGACGACACAACCGTAGAGCCAATAACCTGGTCCCACCTCGCCTACCTAGGCTTCATGTGGTGGGCCAGCGCAGGCGAGAAAGACGCCTTCACCACCGCAGAACGGGACATGGATCGCGAGCTCGTCGCGTGCATACCGCCTCCTTCCCCCTCCCCATCGCCCAATACATCAAAGGCGCTGGAGACGCACCTCATCGGCTACTTTCACCGTATGACGAGCGGGTTTGTCAGGACGCTTGCACAGCTTATACAGGAGGATGAGGGGAGTGAAGGGGAGGGTGATGAGGGGGATGGGGAGGTGTTGATTGATAGGGATGATGTGCAGAGACTGGGGCTGGATGTTTGGAGTCAGGCTGATAGGGCGTTTGTGGGGGAGTTTGCGGAGATGTATTGTGGAAGGGGGGTGAGGGTTGTGGGGGGGGAGGTGCGGTGTTGTGGGGTGGGGGTTCCTGTTTTTTAGAGGGGAGGTGGGTGGATTGGTGTTGGTGTGGTGTTGGATAGAGGGTTTGTGTGGTTGTGTGGAGGGTGTGGTGTACTGGATGGATGGTGGATGGTGGATGGATTGCCGTCTCTTGCTCTTTTGGTTCTCTCGCGATGGATTGTTGGCTTGCGTTTGGTGTTTGTTGGGTAGAGTCAAGCAGGACAAATGGTAGTGTGGTGGTGTGTGGTGGTGTGTAGTGTAGTCTAGTTATCAAAGAAAAGGACAAAGACAAACATAAGTAACAAATAGCTTCAACAAATCATATTCTCTTCGCGGAAAACCATCTTTTGATAGCCTACAAAATGCTCGATTCCTGTACTCCGACATAGTAGTGATAGACTTAGAAGTCATCGTAACGCTGCCAACACGTCAGAGAGGTGAATTGATTTGGGAAAAGTTTGACGGGAGGCGCTCCAGCAAACACCTCGGCGAAAACCTTAGTAAACCTATCTACTTCATTCGCTTGCCTGGTAACATGTTCGTTTGCTAGATCAATCTCCCGGCAGTTCTACACATTTCCCGCCCGATGTCGCTCTGCCCCGCCCTTTCGAATTAGCTCGTCTCGCGGCCGCCCCGCATTTGCGGATGCGTCATGGGCCGAGTGGAAGCGCGACCGAATTGAAACTTTTTTGCGTGGGCATGATGTGATTCACACACACACACACAGACAGATACAGTCATACGACAAACAATATATAACCAATACGCAATACGCCTACCTTCACTCACTCACTCATTCAGCTTTACCTGGGGATAATATCATTTGTCTTGCAATTGCACGGCAACTACGATTCATACTGGACGGCTAGAGAGAAAGGAAACACGGATTTCAATTCGTGAAAGGAAGAGTAGAGGACTTTCAAGATGCCGATGCTCAAGGAGCCGTGGAAGAAATACAAGGCGTTCAAGCCGCTGAATCTGCCGGATCGCACGTGGCCGAGCAAGACGATTGAGAGGCCGCCGCGCTGGCTGTCGACGGATTTGAGGGATGGGAATCAGAGTTTGGTAGATCCCATGGTGAGTTTAAACTCTACGCGTTACTGGAAGACTCACTCGTAGATGTTGTGCCATACTGACATCTCATCTCTAGGACGGCACACAAAAATGGGAGTACTTCCAGATGCTCGTCAAGCTCGGATACAAGGAAATCGAAGTGTCGTTCCCGTCAGCATCGCAAACCGACTTCGACTTCACACAGCGCCTGATCCAGACGCCCGGCATAGTCCCTGATGATGTCTGGGTCCAGGTCCTGTCGCCGTGCCGCAAGGAGCTGATTCGCCGCACCGTCGACTCGCTCAAGGGCGCGAGGAAGGCTATCCTCCATCTGTACCTCGCCACGAGCCCGTGTTTCCAGCAGATTGTCTTCAACATGAATGACGAGGAGACGATTGCGTTGGCAGTCGAGTGCACAAAGTACGCGCGCGAGATTACAAAGGACGACCCCGAGCAGGCAGGGACAGAGTGGACGTACGAGTTCTCCCCGGAGACGTTCTCGGACTCGTCGCCTGAGTTTGCGCTGCAGGTGTGTGAGGCGGTTAAGAAGGCGTGGGAGCCCAGTGTTGAGAAGCCGATTATCTTCAACCTGCCTGCGACTGTCGAGATGGCGACGCCAAATGTGTACGCCGATCAGATTGAGTACTTCTGCAAAAATATCTCCGAGCGGGAGAAGATCTGCGTGTCTCTTCATCCACACAACGACCGTGGCTGCGCAGTCGCGGCAGCTGAACTGGCGCAGATGGCTGGTGCGGACCGTGTAGAGGGCACGCTCTTTGGCAACGGCGAGAGGACAGGAAATGTTGACCTCGTGACTCTGGGTCTCAATCTCTACACACAAGGTGTTCACCCCGGCATCGACTTCTCGGACCTCAAATCCATCATCGACATGGTCGAGACGTGCAACAAAATCCCCATCCACCCCCGCGCCCCCTACGGCGGCCAGCTCGTCGTCTGCGCATTCAGCGGCTCCCACCAAGACGCCATCAAGAAAGGTTTCGCAAAGCGCAAAGCCGACGGCGCAACAAACGAGTCCTACTGGCAAATCCCCTACCTCCCCCTCGACCCCCAAGACATCGGCCGCACATACGAAGCCATCATCCGCGTCAACTCGCAGAGCGGAAAGGGTGGTGTGGCCTGGATCATCCAGCGGCAGCTCGAACTCGACCTCCCGCGGGGCCTTCAAATCGCCTTCTCCAAAGTCGTCCAGCGCGAAACAGACATGTTGGGCCGCGAACTGCTCCCCACGGAGATCACAAAACTCTTCGAGGAAGCATACCATCTACGCCGCAACCCGCGCTTCTCCCTCGTCGACTACGAAATCACAACCGACCGCTCGAAATCCCCCGCGCCGCTACAGGACGGCAAGACGGCCAGCAGCCGCAATTTGCGCCGTATCTTCAAGGGTGTTATTGAAATTGATGGCGCGGAGCATACGATTCGCGGGTCGGGCAATGGCGCTATTTCGTCGTTGGCAGATGCGTTGCGGGGTCTGGGCATCGAGCTTGATGTCGTGGATTACAATGAGCACACTATCGGCACGAGCAAGGATGCAAAGGCCGCCACGTACATTGGGTGTACGGCCGCGGGCAGCAGTACGAAAGTGTGGGGCGTGGGTATCCATCATGATGTCGTGCAGGCTAGTTTGATTGCGCTGTTGAGTGCTGCGAGTTCGGTGCGTTGAGGCATATCCCTTCTTATACACACTGTGAATGTGCTAATGCGTATATAGTTCCTCTCCTCGCGGCCATCGACGCCCATCCCCTTTCGTCCCAAGCGCTCTAATACTGTAGAGATCCCGAGCCCGGAGTCGAGTCCCACACATAAGGCGACGCAGAGCGAGAAAGAGCGCGAGCCGTCTGTTGTGGAGAAATTGGAGGCTGTTGTGAATGGCGAGTAGGCGGATGTTAAGAGTGCGGGGGTGTGAAGGTGGGGAGGTTTGAATAGGGAGGGAGGTCTTTGGAGTTTTGTATTGTGTTCAAAATGGGGGGGTTTGCATTGGGCATCTTGCATTGGGGTTGGAATTGGACTTTGCATTGGAAGTTATATCGGCTGGCTGAGAGGTTGAAAAAGTTATGTTATGCATATGGCTGTTTGTGCTTGAGTCCAATCATATCTTTCTTCTGTTCGTTGGGGTTTACCGTGTCTTGCTGGTGGGAGTTTGAGTTTGAGTTTGAGGGCTTGCTTGAGGATGTTGAAGCGTGGGGTTATGGAGGTGAATGGCCGTTTTATTCAGTGTGTATTTCTCAGTGTTGGGGAAGGGGATGTGTAGTGGGTGTTGTGGTTGTGGTTGTGAGTTTTTGGCTTTTGGGATGGAAAGTTGCTTAGAGAGGATATGGAGGGGGAGATGGGATGGATAAATGAACCTTGTGGTGTGGGTGGGTTCTTTTTCGGCAAAGCGGTATTCGGGATAGGGTTGAGGAAGGGGGTGTTTTCAAGAAATTAGGTACTTTACTTTGATCAAAGACCTAGCGAGCTGTGTACAGTTACCTGGAACGAGGTCCTTCGTGAAGCCTTGATAGATGCTAATCCTAAGTTGGTGTTAGTTCTGGTATTTCGATTACTCGGCTTCTTAGTCTTTAAGGCGGCACCTGCAAGTCTTAGTATCAGGTATTCGCAGACCAACAAACTTCACCCACACTGTATAGTACTCGCCATAATGAAGTCGCTAGCGTGGGGGTCGAATGGATGACATCTACCCCTCACCACACAGGCGAGAGTTCAAGATCGAGACCCCAACATAACAATCATAAACAATCAAGCCTACAAGATGCGCCTTATCAACACTTCCACAGTAATGCTCGAAGAGTTCTTCAACCCACCGGACACCTACGCAATTCTATCTCACATGTGGGGCAAAACAGGCGACGAAACAACCTACCATGAAATGCTAGCCCCCGTGCGAACACGACCAACCTCCACGCTCTCCAAGCCCGGATATGAGAAAATAGTAAAAACATGCGAAGTCGCCCGTGAACGGTATAAGCTTGATTGGGTATGGATCGACACGTGCTGCATCGACAAGACGAGCAGTTCGGAGCTCAGCGAGGCCATAAACTCCATGTTCAAGTGGTACCGATCTGCGACTGTGTGTCTGGTTTACCTCGCGGATGTGAACGTGTTTGAGCGCGAGTTTGTCAAGTCGCGGTGGTTTCGCCGGGGATGGACACTGCAGGAGCTTATTGCGCCGCGGGATGTGGTATTTTTTGACTGCGGGTGGGTGCAGGGCGGGACGAAGAAGTCCATGGCGGGTAGGATTGCGGCTACGACGGGCATCTCGACGAGCGTGCTCACAGGAGCGAGGTTCCTCAGTACTGTCCCCGTGGCGGCGCGTATGTCCTGGGCTGCACTGCGGGAAACGACAAAAGAAGAAGACCTCGCATACTGTCTGCTGGGTATCTTCAGCGTAAATATGCCCATGCTATACGGCGAAGGCGCAAAAGCCTTCATCCGCCTGCAAGAAGAGATCATGCGCAACTCGGCCGACCTCTCGATTTTCCTCTGGGAGGACTCTGCGATGACTCAGAAATACACAGGCCTGCTATCCCGCTCCCCCACGGCCTTTTACCGGATGGGCAAAGTGGCTGTCGAACCAACCTTCTCCCAGCGCGAGTTCCTCGTCACAAACCGCGGCATCCGCCTCAAACTCGGTCTGCACGTGAACGCGGTGCCATCGTCAGGCCTCGCTGTTCTGCCCCTAGGCCACGTCGTAAACCCCTCCAAAGGCTCGCTTGGTATCTACCTCCGGCGGGCGGGCCTCGATCTCTTCGTGCGCACGCGGCCCAAGGAGTGTTTCGAAGGCGATATCAACCGCATGTTCACCAAGTTCCAAGTCGTCAAGTCGCTGCACTACCACCAGTCTGTGGCGATGTGGGACAACAGATTGGTCATCTCGAACCCGCTTTCCCTCCCTGTGTCCAGTGTCGAACCGCCCGGATGCTGGGACCCGAAGCACGGGATCGTGTACTCTGGGTTCAGCGGCGCGTTTCTGGGATACATTGAGTTTGAGCTGAGCGCACACGATAAGTTTGCTGTCGTGTTTTGCCACAGGGATCACGTGTGGTCCTGCGATGTGGTGCAGGGGCAGAAGTGGGCGCAGGTTCAGAAGAACTTCCAGAGTCACTATATGGCGAGGTATGATAGGCTTATATGTGGGGGAAGCGACGCGTACGCTGAGTTTGCGTCCATTGTATCTCATGATAACACGCAGACGCTCAAGGTCTGCTTTTTTGGTGGCAGGACCGTCGAGGTTCGCAAGGCGTCTGACAATCGGGCTTTGGTGCCGGCTTCCACGTAACTTACAGATTCTCCGTTCGAACATGTGGAGCTACATCGCATTTGGCTTACTTACCTCTTTCACTGGAAGAAACACGAGATCGTCACGCCAGCTGAGCATGCTCGGATAAAGTCTATGCGATCATCACCAGAAACGCGTATCATATCCCCGCACTGGGAGACCGAACTCGCGAAAGCTTAATGTCGTCAGCGTAAACAACGTTTTTTATTTTCTAGGGAGAGGGTTAATTACATCCGAGCACCTGCTGGAATTTCGTTTGTCTTGTCGCCTTCGGACTATTGTATAGCGACAAATGAACGTTTTCAGCTGACTGCAAATTGCGGAAGAAAGATCATGGATGACGATGGAAGTTTGGTTTGGCGGCTGCAAGAGGTGTCAGCCACACTGGCCAGGACGAGGGGGGACGATTTCAGTGTCGTCTTAGGGCGAGATTGTGTTTCAGAGTAGACTGGCTCAACAATGGCTTGTAGGGAAGTGACAGTATAATCTTGGAAACATGTTGATGTAAATATACACACGAGAGACTCGTGTTATTCTTCTACTTGATAAAGTTTACTTATAACTAAATCCATACGTGTATTTGAATGGTCTATATATAATCCTTCTATCGATTGCCTATGTAGCTGGCCAAAGTTCCTCAACAAGCAAATCTTGCGTACCAGTCTAAATTCATCCACTAGCAAACTGTCTTCGACCTCTCGTCATCCAAACGTCGGCCGCCCACGACGCCGCTTCGGCTGAGACTTGGCGACTTTATTCTTTGATCCTCCAGGGCTGCTCTGTACTCGAAGTTGCGCTGCAAAAAGTTCCTTTAATCTTACCCTCTCTTGCAACTCTTGCAGCACTTCGCTGGCTTTGGTGTGGAATGGATCTTCTAATAGTTTACTCTTTTTGAGCTCACGAGTTTTGGCTGCTTTAGCCGCTCTAGCATCGTTCGATGCCTCTTTGACCTTGAACCACTCTGGAGTAAAGTCCATGATCTCTCCGGTCTCCTCGAGTTGAGACATGTCGTAATATTCGGCATGCTTAAGCCATGGCTCGAGATGGTTGATAACGAACTCACGATGCTGATTAGCGGCATAACCATGAACTTGTTCCATAATGTATATCAACTCGGCAGCGCAAGTGAACTGCCGGACATCGCCCTCCCAGATTGTGTCCATGTGCTATAATCATGATAAGCTGAACCCAGAATTGTTGGCGTCGGAGGACACACTCACGCAGTAACCCAAGCAGTTCCACGCGATATAGACCTGCCAGTAAGACCCACACGAGGTGAAAGCAAAGACCTGATAGCCATCGCTCTCTTGCGATTGATATCTCGTAACGTCCGTCGGGTCACGAGCCAAATCGTCCAACATAGCCAGGTAAGACAAGCATGCGTGCTGGATCTGATTTTCGGCCTGCTCCCAAGTTGTAGCACGTTTTTTTGCCTCATAAACGGCGAATGGAAATAGGAGGTTCGACTCGCCCCATATGCCATCAACTATCAGTCCACTATCCGGATCTCTCATTTGGGCACGGAGGCGCTTTTTCAATAAGCTTTCATGGGATTTCTTATTCTTGTGATCGACTTTGCAAGGATGATCGAGAGACTCCAAGCTATCATATGATCTAAGGCCCATGGTGGCATCTGGGATCCGCCTTTTCACTGACACATTATCGTGCTCGTCTGTCTCAACAAACTCATACGGCCTCTTGTCGCTAAGGTTCTCGTCAGCTTTCGTCAATATCAGGTTTGATAATACATAAAGGGCTACAACATTCGTAGCGTGTCATCCTCTCTGATCAAACCGAACACATCGTGCCATGCATCTGCTTCCCAGTTGAACTCGGAGGCCTCGAAATGATGATTTAAAATAGCCCGCCTGCTCAGACGGTCTGCCCGATGAACGAGTTCTGCATTCTTTTCCTCGCTCAATTGGGCACTATAGCGCATTACGTCCAGGTCAGGACAGAATTTGCAAGGTCTTCGCACTGTTCTTGGAGAATGTGTCATCATCCGTTGCCTGGACATCGAAACTTCATGGAAGGGCTCCGGTATTAATGGTTTTGTGCGTTTTCGTGCCCATGGATAATCCCTGAGAAGTTAGAAAACGATGGGATGTACTATCTTTGAGCAACGAACCGTTCAGACCCCATTTGAGTTAAATCTGACAGATCTTGTGACGACTGAATACAATATATCGATCGATCAGAAAAGTTCAGAGAATTGCTGTAGAGCAAGAACAAACTTTGAACCACATTTTATAGTGATTGTACTGCGGCACAGCTAAAGGCAACTACCTTTGCGAACAGCTGCGCCGTACCTAGAGTTAGGTACATTCATGCAAACAATATAGCTGCGAGGGTGGCTGAGTTGAAGTATGGCCAAACATCGAAACACACTAACCGAAACGGGAAGTATGAAGCATATAGTGCATATAGTGCATGAACAAGGTAAGCGCTTTGGAACATAGCGAATCAGTTGGCGAGCATGGAAACGTTGAAGAGTATTGATTCTATATTTGATATCTCGCTGTATGCCAGCCAACAAATGTAACTTCTAATGTAATTTGTATAATGCGTCTTTTACATTCATTTTGCCTTCATTCACTTCAGGACAAAACCGTTGAACTCATCTTAATACGTTGACTTGTGCGAACAAATAAGAAATAGAAAAAAGAGAAGACAAGAATCATAGAGCAATGCCAATCGAAAGATGCCTTCGCTCGTTCCAAATGGCATAAGATGGTTTATATACCACAGTTTCTCTTTCACCGAGCGCCATGAATCTACCGAACTCATTAGCCTGAGATTGTCAGATCAGGCCACAGCGTCAGCACTGAACTTACAGTGTTCTACAAAACAGGTTATGACACAATTCGCCAGGCAGCAAAAAGTGCCGACCATCACGTGACGCTACAGCCTGCATGCCCATCGAATCAACACCCATCATCTACGCATCTGCATAACATCTCAGCCTTCCATTCGCTGAGCCCCCTGCACTCAAACCTCGATCCTCCCAGGCAACACCCATCAGCCTACAATCCACAACATCACATGCTCCTTCTGCCTAGCCCTCTCATTCCTATAAATACCCCCCCTCACCCAACCTTTCCACTCCAGCTCGCTCTTTGCCAATTTGGCTCTGATCGGATGTAGTATCTGTTCTTCCGCAGGGTAACGCCTCGGATCTGGTCTTAACGGGACCGTTCACGTTATCTACTTTTTGGAACCTGGCTCCCAGCTCACTGGTCTGCGATCACAGTCGGGGGTATGGTGCCCATCCTCTTACACCGCTGGGATGTGTGCGCGATTCTTTTTTTCATTGAGTTCTCTGCCTGGGATGGTGGGGGCTTGAGGAAGGAAGAGGAGAAAGAGAGGGGTGGGATGGGAGTGAGGTTGACGGGAAGTGGAATACGGTGCGTCCTTGAGTGAAGAGATACATACGCGAGAAGAGTCAAGGCGTTGGACTAGAATCGCAATGAGATGAACACATACTGGAAGATGACGCATTGGTTTGAACTGATTGGGAGGGTGCTGCGAGACCGGGCTGTCTTAAAGGAGAATGTATACAGCATGGACGAGATGTTATTGATGCTAGGTTTCGTGAAGGTGCTTGTAGGTAAGGACGACACGCGAGACTACAGAGGTGCGCGTGTGAAGCGCACAATGGTGACTGTTATTGAATGCATTAGCGGAAACGGAGAGTATCTGAATTCTATTGGAGTCTGGATATACCGACTCCTACATCAGCCTGCAATGGCTCAAGCGTATATTTGACCCCGAGATGAAGGAGAGAGCTAACAACAAGCTACGGGTCCTGATCTACGATAGCTTTGACACGCATGAAACCCTGGAGGTACTGGAGTACTGCTTTGTAAACAACATTATCCTGTGCCGGCTCCCCTCTCACACCTTTCACAAGCTGCAGCCCTGCGACGTGGCTGTGTTCGCTTCACTGAAGGCAGCCTATCGCGAGCAGGTCGAACAACTAAAGCGTGGAGGCGTTAAAACTATCGGCAAAGAGCACTTTACTGCCCTTTTTAGTCCAGCGAGGAAGAAGGCCTTTACCCATGAGGACGTTATAGCTAGTTTTGCTGCAAGTGGTCTGTTTCCTTTCGACCCAGACAGGGTGCTTAGAATTATGCCAAGGCCTGTCGCCGACCTGACAATCCCAAAGGCCAGTGAAGTAAACGTTGAGTTCTGTTAGCAGAATGAAGTTCCGCGGACGCCTGCCACACCGGTGTCGGCAGAGGGTCTCGTGTCGCTACAAGATCTTATCATTAAGCAGGATGCTGGTACTCTTGATGAGGCGAGCAAACAAAGCCTACAGAGACATCTGCACAAGCTGGCCAAAACTGTGCAGTTGTCTTTTGCTAAAGGGGCTCTCCAACAGAACTACATCCGATTCTTGCTGACTATCAACAACGAAGCTAAGGTGCACGGTCGACTCAGCCGCTGATACTTGGCAAGGTGAAAGTCATGGGCTATGAGGAGCTCCAGGAGGCACGACAAAAGCGCATCGAGAAGGATGCTGACGAGAAGGCTAAAGAGAAATGAAAACGAGGTCGGAAGCGCACGAGTGTTGTGCTAGGTGCAGTGGTACAGATGGACGGAATAGTCGTAGCACAAGTTGAGGCTGCACTTGTCCCATGGAGAGCCCCAGTGGCGCGAATGTACTAATAGATGGCAGGCGACTTCATGTTGGGCGTGAAGTTAGGCCGGTATAGGCTTGGGACAGGCTGCCGTCCTGTGGCTGGGTGGTATCAATGCGTTGGAGCCTTTCCGGCGCCCAAGGGAGGAGCGCTCACAATGATGACCAAGGTAGGCTCGAGAATAGTGGCCGTCGCGATTTGGTGGGTACAAAGTGCGCGATTCGTCGAGCGAGAGCGAGCCGTAGGTTGATGCTAATGTCGAATGTGCGCGTTAATGAAGATGTTCCGTAGTAGTAGTAACACCTGTCTTCGCTGCGCTGAAGCGGTGGCACAAAGATCCTGAGGCTAGCTACCGTAAAACTCCTGCTCAATGGATTAACGCTAGCAGTGGAGGGCTGAGGCTCAATACGGGTACTAAGCTCGGTGCAGGTTGGAGGACCCAATTTTCGCCAGTTTTCCCCGCACAATGCTGTTATTTGAACCAATCAAAGATACTCAGTATATCTTCAGCCTTCTACTCCCCGTGCTAGCGTTAATCCATTGAGCAGGAGTTTTACGCTACGAAGGCGCTGCACGGACATCCTGATATGCTGTTTAATACAAACCTACGTATCACATGCACTATCGCATAGTATCCTCATGCGAGAAACGCCTACTTACAGTTGTGGCTGTCGCACAATCATGTGTTGTCAGCACTGCCCGGTCAGCCTCGCGTCGCAGTGCAGGCAAGCTGCGCCTCCCGCTCTCGATGTTCGAAACATAGCCTACCTAACAATCAACTGATATACTGCAGCACGTAGACGCTCAGTCTATTCTCACTTTCGACTCAGCATATTGTCACTTTGCGCTCACAACGAATCTTGCAGCTAAGATCTCAACGCCCTGCGCGAGCGAGCCACCGTGCGCTATCGATTTCCTCAGCCTGCTTCAAGGGTTCGAGAGTCCTGTCTACCGCTCGCGTATGTAGACACGTACATGACCCGATGCGACTGCTATATACCACAAGCGAGGGGAGGCTCAAGCGGACCGAGGACTTGACCGGTGACAAGGTCCCCACCTATGCGATCCTGTCGCACACCTGGAAGGACGGGCAGGAGGTGACCTTCGGCGATCTGGAGAATGTCGGCAATGTGGCAGACATTGACGCGCAAAGCAGTGAGGGATTTCAGAAGCTCGGCTTTTGCGCGCAACAGGCTATGCGTGACGGCCTAGATCATTTCTGGGTAGACACCTGCTGCATCGACAAGTCGAACAGCTCAGAGCTTCAAGAAGCGATCAACTCTATGTTTCGATGGTACCAGAACGCAGTGAGGTGTTATGTCTACCTTGCGGACGTCGAGAACGATACTCCGGATGGAGATGGCACGTCATCTCTCAGGAAGAGCAGATGGTTCACCCGAGGCTGGACACTCCAGGAGCTTCTTGCTCCCCAATCAGTCGAGTTTTATTCTAGAGAGGGAGCGCTGCTGGGGAACAGGGAGTCTCTCAAGCACACTATTCACGAGGTTACAGGCATCTCCATCGAAGCTCTATCAAGGAGTAATCTGTCTAACTTCAGTGTTGCTGAACGTTTCTCTTGGGCAGAAAACCGGGAGACGACGCGCGAAGAAGATAGAGCGTATTGTCTGTTTGGCATATTTGGCGTCTATCTTCCGCTAATCTATGGCGAGAACAAAGAGAACGCACTCGACCGGCTGAGAAGTGCGGCTGTTGCAAAGAACAACAAGGGCCGCAGTCAAGAGCAGGAAGCGAGGCTCGGCAAGATCCGCAGATGGCTAGCTGCGCCGGACCCGTCCACGAACTACCACAAAGCGCACAAGCAGCGGCAGGCTGAGACCGGACTCTGGCTGTTGGAAAGTGCAAAATTCGCTGAATGGAAGGGGAGTGTAGCATCGCAACTCTGGCTGCATGGGATCCCAGGATGTGGAAAGACCATCCTGAGCTCTACTATCATCGAGCATCTGCTGCAGCACTGCCATGATGACAGCAATACAGTGACGGTGTACTTTTACTTCGACTTCAATGATACACAGAAACAGGATCCAGAGCTGATGCTCCGCTCGTTGCTCTGCCAGCTCCAGCAGCGTCCATTTATAGTACCTGAAGGTGTTGACGCGTTATTTTCGTCCTGCGAGAACGGACAACGACAGCCATCATTGCATGCACTTTTAGACGTGACACGGCAGGCGATGCAACAGTTCACGCATGTCTACGTTGTTCTGGATGCGCTCGATGAGTGTACACAACGCTCAGAACTAATGGACATGCTTGCAACAGTGGCTAAGTGGCGACTTAACAACGTGCATCTGCTCATGACCAGCCGGAAAGAACGAGATATCGAGAGTTCTCTGGAGAGTTACGTCCGGGAAGAGGACACCGTCTGTCTTCAGGGGGACTTGGTGGACAATGACATACAGCGATACGTTCAACAAAGGCTGTCTGACGATAAGAAGCTGGCAAAATGGAACAAAGACGCCGCCATTAGGCAAGAGATCGAAGCTGCAATGATGCACGGGGCTCGTGGGATGTATATGTGTCCGCCCAGTTCTTTGCAAAGCCAAAACTGACGATAGTGTAGGTTCCGATGGGCTGTGTGTCAGCTTGACGCACTAAGAGAGTGTCGCAATCGAGCGATGCTGCGCAAGTCACTCGCTACTTTGCCACGGACGCTAGACGAGACATACGACCGCATCCTCTCTGCTATAAGCGAGGAAGACTGCGAGTACGCAGTGCGCATCCTGCAGTGGCTGACATTCTCTGCGCGGCCACTGTCCGTCGAGGAGATTGCCGAAGTTATCGCCATCAACGTAGCGCGCGACCCAGCGTTCGACCGTGATGAAGTGCTAGAAGATCCGCTAGAAGCGCTGAACATCTGCTCTAGCCTAGTCACCATTACAACGAACAGGGCGGAAGTAGGACATCACTCCACACAACGTATCATCGCTCTAGCACACTATTCGGTCCAGGAATACCTTGTGTCAGACAGGATTGCGAAAGGATCAGCAAAGCAGTACAGTATGCAAGAAGTTGACTGCCATGATGCGATAGCACAAAGCTCCTTAGCGTACCTGATGCAGTTCCAGCAACCATTATCAAGAGAAATTCTTGAGGCATCTGCGCTCGCAAGGTACACAGCAGAGTTCTGGAGTAGCCATCTTCGAAAGTCAGGAGATAAGGCGGAAGGAGCAATTCGACTAGCGTTGGGTCTATTGTCGATGGAAAACAACGCATATTTCACCTGGATCCAGTTGTATGATCCGGAAATGCCCTGGGCCAAGCCAGACCTGAAAAAAGGGTTGGACAGCGTAGCTACGCCCCTTTACTACGCTGCACTGTTGGGCTTGAGTACGGTCACAAAAGTGATGTTGAGCCACGGCGCCGACGTCAACGCGCAGGGTGGACGCTACGGCAACGCACTGCAGGCAGCTTCAGCTGAAGGCCACGAGCAGGTAGTGAAGATGCTGCTTAACAAAGGCACTAACGTTAACGTTAACGCACAGGGTGGACGCTACAGCAACGCACTGCAGGCAGCTTCAATAGAAGGCCACAAGCAGGTAGTTAAGATGCTGCTTAACAAAGGCGCTAACGTTAACGTTAACGTACAAGGTGGATACTACAGCACTGCACTGCACGCAGCTTCAGCGGAAGGCTACGAGCAGGTAGTTAAGATGCTGCTTGACATAGGCGCCAACGTTAATGCACAAGGTGGACACTTTGGCAACGCACTGCAGGCAGCTTCATACAGGGGCTACGAACAGGTAGTTAAGATACTGCTTGATGCAGGTGCTCATCAACCCAAGGAAAACGATCATATGTTGCGATTAGAATAGCTTTCCTCAAGCACTCAGTAAGCATTTCAACTCAGCAGCAAATGACATCAAGCAGACCATCGCGCTCTCGCTCAATTGAGTCCTCTCATCCCCCCCTCCCCCCCAGGGTATACGCACCGCAGTCTACGGAACCTCAAGATCTGTACAACGGTGTAGATGGGACAATCCAGAACGAGTACCACCAGTATGCGCAGATACCATTCACTCGAGTATATCCAGATCTCCAGAAACCAGGAAAACAGCAATATTTCGTATTAGGAATTACCTCCTCCCCCCCACCTCTGCTCTCCCTCTCCCTGCTCTCCCATCCCCCACCCCCCCAAAAAGCTAAGCCCACACCAACTTCTTCAACGAATACCCAATCTGCTCCAGATACCCCGTACTCCTCCTCGCCTCAGCCAGACTAACTATATCCCTCTCCTCCACCTCCAACGTCTTCGGCGCAACGCGCACAATCTCCTCGCAAATACTGCTTACGATCTGCATCTCCGTCTGCGGGGAATCATGAGCGCCGGCTGCAGACGACGGGGGCGGCAGGGCCTTGAAAGCTAGGAAGCGCTGCGTGGCTGTACTCGGCTCCGCTGTATCGTCCGACGCGCCGGAATCCAAGGCGCGTGTATTTCGGCGGACGAGCTCGGCGCCGCCTTGCGTGCGGTAGCGGAGGAGCAGGCCGACGTTTTTATCCGCATCCATGTGGCGCTGTGCCAGCGTGGAAGTAATGTACACGCCCTTGACTAGACCCTGCACATCAGCCAAGTCGATGCGTTCAAACTCGCGGACCTTCTCGGTGCCCCAGTCCAGACGGCAGAAGTAGACTGCTTTCTGGGTGAGCAGCAGGACAGCCTCTTCGAAGCCTGCGGTTTTAGTGTGGTTTGCTTGGGTGGGGACGCTGAGAGTCCAGCCGTGGATCAGGTCTTCGTCCGGGGATTCGATGACGATGCCTGCTGAGCGGTCGATGGCTTGTTGGCGGACTTTGCGCACGTCGATGAAGTAGTCGCTGCTTTTCATGTCGGCTTCGAATTCGGCGAAGATGGTGTCTGTTGCGCGGCCGAGGAGGTAGTCGATCACGGCTTGGGCGAAGTAGTCGTTGACGATGTTGTTGTAGTATCGAGTGAGAGTGAGGCCGAAATCTGTCAGCGCGCCGGTGATTTGGCGTTTGCGTGTGCGTGTGAAGTCGCCCTTGAGCGCGGCGGTGCCGGCGTATTGGCGGGAGATGGCGTCGCCGTTGTCGGCCCAGAGCGTGTTGAACCAGCTGGTGCTTGGGTCGTTTTGCAAGTCGATGGTGTAGCTGCCTGCCGAGAGTTGTCCTTCCAAAGCTGTCCTTGCACAAGCAGATTGTACGACGTTTGTGCGATCTAGACAGTCCATACAGTTCGTGCGAAGGACGCCTGATTGTTGGTGTTTGATTTCATCGTCAGAGATTTCCGTCCAACCTGTGGAGTCCAAGAAAGGGCCAAGAGTAGACATCAGAACGGAAACGTTTTCAAAGCGCATGCCACGGCAGACGTTGTGGAAGTCGAACCACTCAAAACCGAGCTGCTTGCCCTGCCCGTCCATACCCCCATTTTCATTGAGTGCCTGTGCGTGTTTTTCGTACAGCTCGCCAATCTTCGCTTCTGTGCCTTTTTTGTCGATGAGAGACGCGCAGTACAGCTCTCCGTATCGCGAGGAAAGATCGGTAAAGTGGCGCTTAAAGGCTGTGGCATTTGTCTCGAAAGACCCCCAGGTAGTGACTTGAGGCTTCAAACTATACGGTGATTGTGAAAAGAAGAGAGGGATAGAGCCGCGGATCTGCGTGAAGGAAAATATCTTGTCTTGCGAGGTGTTCCACGTCGGGGATGAGAGAATTTGCTCTGTCTCGACACTATTGGCAGTACAACCCTCATCATCGATTCCTCGACGTAGATATCGAAGCCCAGCTCGCTTAATCGATCTTCGAGAGATGAGCGTTAATACGAAGTCTTTGCCATCTGCAGGCGCCACTGGCGGCGTGGAGGGTTTCGCTTCCGAGCTCGATTCCGTCTCCTTCTCCTGCTTGTCTTTCCAGGATTGTAGTTGAATGTCGTCTGGAGTCGCTGCCGAGTCCACCACTAAACTGCCAGACTGGGAGTTTGCCGCTTTGATCGTGAATGGTCGTTGTCCCACGAATCCCTGAATGACAGGAAGGATGAACGCATGCTGGCCAGCCTCAACAAATGGCGAGACGATGTGTTGGTTCCAGAAAAACTATTCAAGTCAGTCATTGCACTACCCTTCATATGGGAAGAAACTAACCAAAGGATCGTACTGCTTGAAGAGGGGCAGACTAGGAGTAGGGTTTTGCTTGCCGACGCTATGCGACAAGTCATGTTCGTAGGAGAAAAAGAAGTTGCCAGAAGAAAAGTACATCCTCGTCGTCTGCAAGATCTTGGGCAGTAGTGCGATAGTCGTAGCATCCTTCTCACCGTCCAAAGCCTTGGGAATATCCTCAGGGCTAACATCCGCTACATTCTTGTCTTCCGTGGGTATCGCATCTGGCTTCGACTCGCCAGTGGCTTGTTCCTCTTTCTTGGGGATCGTGGATGCAACATCCTGCGGGACGCTCTTCGCAGCCAATTTCTCGTCAGAAGTCAAGCCCTGGGTACGCCTACTATCAGTGCTCCACCCCTTCCTCGAGAACCATTTATCAGCGAACATGCCATATGCTCCTTTGCGCTGCATGACATCCTCGGCAACACTAGACTTCGGATCCGCCGGGCCCTTCTGTCCCGTAACTGGATCCTTGACCTCCGTCGTCTCGGTCGTTGCCTCCTCCACCAGCGAATCAGTCATGCTATGCGCATCGTCTTCATTCTCAGAGTCCGTCTCTTCTTCCCCAGCCATCTGCGCCTTATTATGTCGATGCAGGTGTTCGCGCGTAGCCGCAATAGCCTTGTCGGCGTCGGCCTGCGATGAGAGTGGGATAAGGGCGACATCAGTAATCTTGTAGATTGGCTTGCCGCGAATCTGCGCGACCTGCTCCCGGTCGCATATCGATATGAGGAAGTGCGAAGTCGCGACTTTCAAAAGGCCTGTCCATGCGCATTAACATCCATCAACTTCTGAAGCAAGGCGCTGGACAAGCAAGCCATACCCACAACGCCGTGCGCCTCCAGGGATATCGGCGCAGCATCCTCGTCGCGTCGATCCTTGAGCAGTGGTCCGACGTTGCCCTTGTAGTCGATCTTGATGGCCTGCTTAGGTGCAGGCGCATGACTGTGGGGCGCGACGCTTTGTAGTACCAGGCCGTCCACGGCGGCGTAGACGAGCAGTTTGCGCACAATGCCCGGCATAGCGTTGTGTGTGTTGATAGGGTGTTGACTCGTGGGGAAGCGTACAGATGGTTCGGCGCGGGGTGGATGTTGCATGACGTCGTCTTACATATCTGACGCTAGTGGCCGCGTCGCGACTGCTCCAAGTTATCACCATTGAACTCATATCTTTCAACACGAATTTCCTTCTGTCGCGTAGGGATGCATCGATCTCATAGCTGGAACGGTTAGAAGATTGGTCTTCTGCTGTTTCACATCTTCCCTTGACGTAAATTCATTACGCTGCACTACTTACACGCCCCTAAGCTCTCATGAACCACATTGTTGGTTGGTGGTCGGTTGGTTCAGGCGTAAGCTTTGCAGAGGCCTAAGGCCATGTAGCTGGTATGCAGGATACCCGGCTGCTTGCAGCTAAAGCTATTGAAAAAAAACCAACCCGTTACCGTGTTTTTGTGTTGTAGTTGAGGTATCTAGATATCCTCCTTCCTCTTCTTCTCCTTCGCCCCCGTATATACATACCTCTACCTATTTTAATGTACCAATATCAAAAATGTAAATCTGCTTAAAAAGTATAATAACCTAGTCTTACGTTAGTAAAGCCTCTTCTGCGACTACACTTACTTCTAGCACGCGTAATGCATACTATGTCTTTAAAGCAGAGCCTATAGAAAAGCTACGTAGATGTAAATATTCTCCAAGCTCTAACAAGCCTGTCTTTTGATCTGTAAATGTGATAAGTTGTAAGATAATATTCTAGGTCTTTACCGCGTATCCAGATTAGAAAAAGGCGCTCTATCGCCACTATATCGCACAGCCCATTACCTACAAGTGTAGCAAACAGAAAAGTAGCGGTAGAAGTTCCTTATCTCAACCCCAGTAATCATAATTTCAAGTTTTCTGCGTGCTCGAGATTTCGAAAAATTGGGGTTTCTTTGAGAATTAGTGTTGGTGAACTATGCCCCCCCCCCCCCCCCCCAAAAAAAAATCAAGATACCAAACCCATTAAACCAATCCCTCAACCTCCTCGTACCTCAATTTTTCTCTCTTTTCTTAGCTTTCCGTCCCTTCATTCCACATCCTCAATTCTCCACTCCAGTTCGGTCTGCATCCACAGTCTTCGCATCAACCCCATGCTTACTATTTCTCGTTTCTGCTAGAAGTTGGCTGGACGTTCCACCTTATAAAGATTGAAATGTTATGAGTTTCTCAGTCTCGTCAGGCAACAGAGTTGTAGGTATTTGTAAAAGGCATATTTTCGTACACTAAAAATTCATTTTCGTTTCATGCCGCGATTCATTTCCCAATTTTTTTAGTTATTAATTCCCACCATCTATCTTTCCATACTCTTAGCGAGAATATACTATATCTACGAGTACTTCAATCAATGCATCCACCTACCCATACTACACCTTTCCACCCAACTTCGCCTCAATCCACCTCAAAGCTTAGCACCCACCTTCCCACACCCAGCCATCTTCACCGCCTCATCAATAACCTGCATAGCCTCAACCAGGACCTCCTCGCGCAAGCTCGGCGCAACAACCTGCACGCAAAGCGGCGTGCCCAGATAAACCCTGCGATCGAACCCCGTCCCTATCAATAAAAGGTCAGCTTAGCACCATAAACCCCCCCAAAAAGACTCAGAAGAAGAAAAAGAAGAGAACTCACACAACCCCCTATTCACCCTATCCCACTCCCCCAACACCTCCCCCTCCACCTCACCCCTTAAGTCCTGCTCGCCAAACATCTTCACAGGCACAACCCCCGCCGCACAATCCAACAACACAAACGCACTCGTATAATTAATAAAATCATACCTATCAACCGGGGGCACCGGATGCGGCGCCACAGGGCAAAAAAACGCATCAACATCCCCATGCTGACTATTCCACACTTGTAAAAACTCCTTCTGAAGGACATCCCTCTTAGCGTGCAGTTTCTGCACCTCGAGAAGATCCTTGGGCGGCTGGCGCTGGAAACGGGACTGCAGCCAGGGGGATAGTGGCTCGTCGGCGGCTTCGATCAGGTCGAGCATTGCGTTTCCGCCTTCGACTGTGTGGAGGGTGTCGAAGAGGGGTTTGCATTGCGTGAGGAGGGGGGCGATGTCGAGGGCGATTGTTTCTACGCCTGCGGATGTGAGGGCGGTTTTTACGGTGTCGAGGAGGCGTGAGATGGGCGGGTGGGGGGTGACGATTCCGTCGTGGCGTACGATGCCGATGCGGAGTTTGCGGGGCGGGGAGGTCGCGGGGAGGATGTTCCATGGTAAGGGTGTGACGTCCGGGTCGAGTGTCCATGGTTCTTGGAGGGAGACGGCGCGGAAGAAGAGTTCCATGTCGCGCATGGAGCGGCCCATGGGGCCGGCGGAGGGTGGGATGCTGACTTTCATGGCGCCGGCGTGGATGCCGTTGGCGTAGGGGATCCGCTCCCAGCTGGGCTTGATGCTGAAGATGCCGTTGCACATGGCGGGGATGCGGATCGAGCCGCCCAGATCGGAGCCGACGCCTAGTACGCTGCCGCGCATGGCGATTAGTGCGCCTTCGCCGCCGGAACTCCCGCCTGCGGTTACGGCGGTGTTGTGGGGGTTGATGGTGCGGCCGAAGACGTTGTTGTGGGTGTCGAATGCTAGGAGCGTTTGGGGCACGTTGGTCTTGCAATACAGTACTGCTCCCGAGTTGAGTAGGATGTCTACGAGGACAGAGTTTTGCGTCACGGGATTGAAGGCCAGGCTGGCGAGGCCTGTGGAAGAATCATAGCCGCGGACTTTGAACGTGTCTTTTAGTGATACTGGGACGCCGTGGAGGGGGCCTAGAGGGGGCTTTCCGGAGGCGAGGTGGGCGTCTAGTTCTGCTGCTCTTTCTAGGGCATCCGTGAAGAAGATTTCTGTCAGGCAGTTTGTGAGCTGGTGGGCGATGGTTGCGCGCTTAGGTTTGTTAGCTGGTTGAAGGTAGAGTTAAGGGATATACGCACCTTGCAGAATGCTCTCACAACATCAACACACTTCAACCTTTTCTCTCTGATTTCTTCGGCCAACGCAGTCGCATCGAATTGCTCGGTGATCCGCAGCTCTTCACTGCTTAACAGTCCACACTTGCGAGGCAAATCGATATAATTTGTGACGTCCGGTGACGTCAAGTTGCTGATTAGCCATTCCTTAGGTATGCGGGCGGCTTGTTCCTCTTTCTTCTTCTTCGACACAATCTGATACTTGAGTGGTCGTTCAGGTTTGGTTGTTGTTTCTAATTTCGACATGGTATTTTGTGCTTGTCCATCCTAGAAATTGAAAAGTAGAATTTATTGCTGTTGCCAAGGTAGCTAACTACCAAGTCTTTGTGCTTAAGGGGTAGCCATATCGTACTGAGTTGTCCGGTTGAGGCTCTAATGGTTAGTTACTATCGAACTAACCCCATGAGTAGTCGCGATTGGCTCCAAAAGCAACGGAGGCGCGCGCAGCCGAATAGCTAAAGCTTCGACTCGCGTCGCCCGTACATCATCGAGACGCGCGATGTCCATCTCAGGAACACGTCAACCTACAGATAGATCTGTCTGATGGAAGAGGCTTGCTCGCTTGGAGAGGTTGTGGAATGTTGGATGTGCATGGACTCGCGCTAAGAATGTGGCGCTGAAGTGGACTGATGAAGTCAGAACTACGAAAAAGACTCGACGACGTCTCGAAAGACAGAAGGTATAGACGACTCAGTCAAACCTATTAGAGACAGCACTTACAAACGAGGGAGATCAACTGTCAGCGCGCCTGTTACAGAGTCTGACATCTACAAACGCGGTGATAGGCAGGGGACGATGCGCCGACCCCTGCCATTTGGGCCTAGTTTGGCTGATTAGGGCCATACCCCAGAAGTCTTGGAGCGTCTACTTCAACACTCACCGTTGTTTTCCTCCCTTTCTTGCGTCCTCATCTCCATCCTCGACATCAATTGCATCCACTGCAGCCATGTCGTTCAATTCCACCATCCCCGGTGCCCTGCACCCTTACTACCCGGTCGGTGTCGAGATCACAGGGTACCTCATGAACTTCTGGAACACGGTTGAGCTGCTCAGCATGTTCACGGCGGGAATCACAGTAATCTTCAGCGCGACGTATGTTATTACGAAGCGTCTGCGGCCGACTGTCAGCACGGGCGACCTGTCGACGATCATGTGGTTCGTCCTGTGTGGGTTCATCCACTCGTTCTTCGAGGGCTACTTCTCGTACAACTTCCGCCGCATGGGGGGCATGCAGGATCTGTTTGGTCAGCTGTGGAAGGAGTACGCGTTGAGCGACAGCCGGTACCTGACGCAGGATGCGTTTGTGCTGTGCATGGAGAGTGTCACTGCCGTAGGTTCAGCCCCGTCTCAGCGCAGAAGGTCAATGCTAATGAAACGTTTCCAGTTCTTCTGGGGCCCTCTCTCGTTCGTCACGGCCGGCCTCATCGCGACCGACCACCCACTGCGCTACTCGCTCCAGCTTATCGTCTCGCTCGGCCAGTTCTACGGCGACGTGCTGTACTACGCCACATCCCTCTTCGACCACTACATCCTCGATGTGTCGTACTCGCGTCCTGAGCAGTGCTACTACTGGGGCTACTTTGTCCTTATGAACGCCTTCTGGATTGTGATTCCGGGATACCTGATGTGGCAGAGTGTCGATGCCACCACGCAGGCATTCGCGGCGGTCAACGAGGCAGCCAGCCTGATGAAGCGCGCAGAGAAGATGGGATACACCAAGAAGAAGGCTTGAGCTTGGGTTGTCTTGGTGGGCGATGAGATGGTGGATGGGATGAGTGGGGCAAGGGGGGGTCTGAAGGAAGGGCTGAAAATATAGCGGCAATGTTGGGGCTGTATATAGATAGAAGTGGTAGACGGGGCACAGGAGCATTGCGGGCGGCGTTGTAATGATAGGCGTGGCTATTGCCGCGTGCACACAGGACATGAATGAATCGAAACGAACTGAGCGAGTATCCGTGCACAGACCACCATGACGCACGGGCAGTAAGCATACTGTCTCAGACGGCGGACGGGAGAGTCGCGCAGGGAGCGAGGGCAACGGGCGTCGAGTGCTGCTGACAAGCGTTGCCCGACGCACTGGGCGGCATGTTGTGCGTGAGGTGGTGTGCGGCGGTTGAGGCTCAAGGCCCGACTCTTGGCCTGCTCATTGGGCGCTGCGAGACGGGCCAAAACAAGCTTGCCTCACTCCCTCGATATTCACAATCCGCGCTCATGGAGGGGCCGCTCTCACCATTTCTGCCCTGCCCGACTCCCCCCCGCTCCGCCGCCGCCGTCGCCTGCTGAGGCTCGTTGCAGAGCCCGCCGCTCTGTGACTCTGCCACGCCGTCGCCGCCCGCAGCACCAGCCCCTAGACTGCGCGCCAGCACCAAAACAAAGCACGGCGACGATATCGCGACACAGCGCCGCCATCATCGCGCGGCCGTGAACACCCTCCCCCCCCCGACTCCAGCGCGCCGCCTCGCTCTGCTCCAATGCCCGGCTGACCTCATGCCCGCCTCGCCGCTGCCCACTGACCCGGACGACTCGGCCGCTCCGAAGAAGCATGGCTCGCCGGGCAAGAAGACGGGCGCTGCGGGCAAGCAGAACAACATGGACGGCAAAGACTTTGCCAAAGCCATCGGCATCAACAAGCCCGCCAACGTGCGCGACAAGATCAAGCGCTGGCAGCACACGGTCGAGCCCGACGAGGGTGGAGTAGACAAGGCAGGCACAGACAAGACGGGCGCAGACAAGGCAGGCGCGGACAAGGCCGTCGCGTCCGCCCTCAACACGCTCGCCCGGCCCGCCTCGTCGCCCAAGCTGCAGTCGACGACGCCCAAGGCGAAGCTCTTCGACGACAAGCCCAACTGGAAGCCCGCACACAAAGCCGCCAAATCCGTCGACGCCAGCCCCGAGCGCCCCAAGACGGCGAAGCAGGCGTCGCTCATCGCCAACCCGCTCGACGACGACGTCCTCACCGCCACCGCCCCGAAGAAGCGCGTCATCAGCGACTCCCACTGGCGCGCGAAGCCCGCAGCCCCCAAAGACACGGGCCGGCCCCTACCCAAGACCATCCCCAATGCCTGGGTGCGCCCCTCGAAGATTGTCAAGCTGGACAAGCCCGAGAACGAGGAGCCCCCGAAGGAGCAGCCCAAGGCCCCGCCGCCCGTCGCCCTGAAGCCGCTCGTCACCTACATCGGCAGGAGCACGGGGCAGACCAAGCCTCCGCCCAAGCCGCGCATCCCGCCAAAGCCACCCAGTCTGACCAAGCAGGAGCGCCCGAGCAGTAGCGGGTCGAGCAACGCAAAGGATGGCAAGAGCGAGAACAGCGCCCTGGCGCCACCATCACCTCAGCCCGAGAAGGAAAAGACCGAGATGGTCAAGATGCGCCGCAGCAGACGTCGACCCCAGACATCTCACCTCGCATCCAAGTCAGCTGACGATGTCTCCATGTTCAAGCACCAGGCACGCCGGTCAGACACATCGCTCAGCGACGATGCACAGAACATCATCACAGTCGAGTACGACGAGAGCCACGTCACATCGCCCCCAGCAAGTCAAATCACATCGCCGCGAGAGGGACGCATCACATCTCCACGCGACAGCCAAATCACATCCCCTCGAGATGACGAGCTGCGGGAGAGGCGGCGCAGGCGACGTCCCAAGAGCATGGGCGACAGGACAGCAGACGAGGCGCTCAGAGATTCTCCCTCGAATGCGCGCAGACGACGTCGCAGATCGTCCCCAAAGACTGATGGAGAGGAACTGGCAAGACGCTCGCCGGAACCACGCACACACTCGCCAGAACCACGCAAGCCATCCCCACAGCCAGGCCGAAGATCCCCACAGTCAGGCAGACGATCCCCACAACAAGGCAGGCGGTCCCCACAGCCATTCAAACACTCGCCAGTACCAGCCAGACGGTCACCGGAACCCGCCAAGCTCGCGACACCGCCCAGCAAGCCGGTTGGAAGTCGACTGGAGGCCTGGCTGAGCGGCACGTCTGATCCCTTCTCTGACAGCGATTCGCATCGCAGGATCAGATCGAAAGACTCAACATCGACCATAGAGATACCGCCCAAAAACCCGGCAGGCCCCCCTCGCAGACGAAGATCCAAAGAATCAGTCTCGACGGTAGAGCCGCCCCCCAAGGAAGACGCATCAGAAGTCACTGTCTCGACCGAAGTGACAAATGAGACCGAGGAAGACGTGCAACCACCCACCAGGCACAGCAGTGGGAGCAGCGGCAAGCGGCGCCGACGACGACGACGCAGCCGCGAGATCAAGGTGGAGACACCCATTGTAGATGATGCATCTACTGTCATGTCAGACGACACAGCCGAGACACCTGCGCCAGAAGCACCAACTGAAGTGTCACTCTCGCCCACGCCCACTCTAAAGCGCCGTGGCGCCAGACGCAGCCGTAGTCAACATTCCATCAAGAGCCGCTCCATGTCCTCACCACTGCGCGAAACTACATCAGTGGACGAGGCGTTCGATGAAGGCCTGAGAGAAGCAGGTGCCGCCTCGCCTGCACCCTCTTCGTCGGTAGATGCGTCAGCAATAGACATCGAGAACATTGCCCTGCGACCACGTCCACTCGACGTGAAGCGGTTCTTCCCCACTGGTGGCAAGCGCCTTTCCACAATTGCTTCCGTTGAATCATTCGCCGCATCGCAGAGGGCGCCTCCTTCAGAAGCCGTGGGCTCGGAGGCGCCTTACTCCGTCTCCAATTTCAGCGAAATTCTCTCGCAGGTAGCTGCCTCACAACTCAAAGCGTCTATGAATCCAGAAACATCCACTCTTCTGAGCCGCAAGAGCACGAGACGCAACAGACTTGCCAGCCATGCCGACTTGATATCGGTGTTGTCCATGCCCAAGACTGGCGCAAAGAGTATCGTGTCCGCTCGCAGCATCCGTACCAACAGGAGCCGCATGGCTACAGCCACCATTCCCGACATCATGAGGGAACTTACATCCGATGAGGGCAAGTACATGAGAGAGCTTCGCACCATTGTTGATGGCGTCATTCCCGTTCTCCTCAGCTGCGTTCTCTCCAAATCCGATTCTGCCGTCGCCGCCGGGTTGTTCTCTCGTTCAGCTAATACCGACCCGAACGACGTTACAAAGCCCATCATCGAAATGGGTGTTTGCCTAGAACGCATGAAGACGCTGCACAAGCGCATCCCTACAGATGATCCGGATGCTTTCGTGGACTGGGCCCAGAGCGCACAAGACGCCTACGCCGCGTACATTTCCTCCTGGCGTCTCGGCTTTCAAGACGTCGTCGTCAGCCTCGCCCCCGCAGACGACGATCCATTCAAGCCAGCAAAGATTGTGAACGGCCCTGAGGATGGTGCTCCTTGGGACGAAGGCATGCCGCGCAATGCCGAAGGTTACGTTGTGAACGGCGATGGGGAGCGTGTTGATGTTGCATACATACTCAAGCGGCCGCTCGTGCGGTTGAAGTATTTGTCAAAGAGCTTGAAGGTACGTTTTGATACTGTCTTTGGTAGTCCCCACATAACTAACCGTGGTTCCAGAGTATCAACCACGTAAGACCATCAGAACGTGCAGAGAAAATTGCGAGTATTTTCCAAGAACTTGTCACCGCCGCACGCAGACGCTCCAACGACGAATACGCCCGACTTGAAGATGAGGCTGCCGCCAATATCGACCCCACACGCACCCGTGATCCACGAAGCCTGGCCCCCCTCGCAGGCGTACGTGTTGAGCCCGCCCGTTGCGTACGAGCCAGAGACCACTTCGATATGCACCTGTACCATTCCAGTGGTCAGGAGATCAGCTGCCGCGTTGAGATTTTACTCCGCGACAACACGCCGGGCACCGGCAAGGGAGGCGATCTACTTTTCTGCGAAGTCGACCCAGCTGGACGTTGGCTTCTACTCCCACCCGTCCAACAAAACCGTGTCTCTGCTCGGAACGGCGACATGAAGGGCGAGATAGTCGTCATGATCCGTGGCCACCAAGCAGATGGGTCCGAATGGAGCGAGGTGATGTCGCTCACAATCGACGACGAGCAAGCTGGCTTCGAGTGGGTACAAATGTTAGGCCTCAACCCCATACCGCCACCGCTCTCCGATGTTAGACGAACACATGTTCCCGGCCACGATGCGTCCGCTGCTTTCATCACGGCATCACCAAGATCGACCTCCCCACACCAAAGCCGCACGCCGAGCCCCCACGAAATCGATATACCCATTGGAGAACAGCACACGGAAGTCTCCAAGGTGTGGCGCTCCAACACGCCTGACAGACGTCAGCAGTCACGTACTGTGTCCCCCACTACTCCACCCGGTGTAGACACTTCTCTAGATAGCGGGACATACGACACAAGTGCAACCACGCCTGGCGAAGATGGTCGATCCACAAGCCCATGGGATGACGACCCCGACCGAACACCTCGCAGTCTCAATGAAGCCTTACGCATTGCCGACAATGGATCGCCTACTGGTTTGAGGCGTACCAAGGCTACGAGACTGTCAAGACACGGAACATCATCGCCGGTTTCATCAAAGTCCTCGCGTCAGATCACTCTCGATGATCCGCAAGAGTTTGTTGAGGAGCCAATGTCTATCGAAGAAGAGGTCAAGCCACGCAGAAAATCGACCAAGCGCCGACCTCAATCGCTCCCATCTGGAGGATCATCAACTGTATCGCAGTCTAACAAGAAATACAGCGTCTGGATGCCAGAATCTGACGTTGGGGACTCGGATGAGTCGGAAGAAGACACACAGTCTGTTGGAGACCAAACACTCTCACCGCCGGGCTCTCCTCCGTTACTCGCACGTCCAAGTATGCACAGACGAGTCTCTTCAGTACCTTCGCTCGAGTTGCCAAGTATTCCCAGGCAGAGAAAGTCGAGCCGACCTTCGTCTCCAGTTGATGAGCCTGAACCGGAACCGGAACGAATCCTTGAGCCAGCATTCACAACTCCCAAATCCAAGAAGAAGTCCAAGCTGGCCAACGAGATACTGCAAGACGAGGAAGATGATGGCCCACCGCCCGTGCCAGTTCATCGATCACCCAGTCCCGCTACGCCCGTGACACTGAAGGGAACCAAGACCCCCGTATTGACGCCAGCGTTACCCGCTTTCAAGAACAAACGGCGCTCCTCATCTCCATTGAAGCATGAGTATGAGCCCTCCACTTGCACTGAGTCGTCGAGCGAGAGTGAAGAGGAAGTTGTATCTGAGGTGGACGCGTCTGAAGAAGATGAAGAGAGCCTGACGTCGGAGTCGTCAGATGATGAGCTCGAAGACGACGTCCCCATGCCATTGATGCCTTCCGGCTACCCTGGACTTCATGGATATGTTTCACGGCCATGCCCTCCAAATCGACGAACAACCACATTCGACGAGCCAGAGCCTAAGCCGTTCGCCAAAGTCTCGCCACCTTCGTCAATCAATAACACGCCAGCCGACACAATCACACCATCTCAGTCCGCATCCAACACACCTTACCGATCCGTTCCGCACGACTCTGGCAAAGCGACCAAGTCAGTGGGGTCAATTTTCACCTGGTCGGACGAAGGCAGATGGGACAGCTTGCACCCTGATGAGTGCAACATTGTCGTTACACCAGGCAAGGTCGAAGTGTTCGAACTCAAGTCCGACGGTCACGAGACAGGACGTGCTCCCCTAATTGCGGTTGAGCTTACCCCTCTTGTGCCGTTGCGCAAATCAACAGCGATTGACATCTCCATCCGCTCCCCACCGACCTCCGACTCCCGCATCCAAACCGGAAACAACATCATGTTGAGGAGTCGCAACGCCACGGAATGCACGCAGCTCTACGCCCTGATCAACCAAGCCCGCATCAACAACCCCACATATCTAGCCCTCCAGAACGCACGCGGCCCATACGGCCAAACAAGCTGGGCCGAAGCCATGGACCGCCAAAACGCCGCGCGCACAAATCCCAGCACCTCCTCCGGCTGGCTCAACAACACCCTCGGGCGGCGCAACAGCTACCGCAAAACCACCACCCGCGCAGCCTCCATCTCCGCCGCCACCGAGTCCTCCGTCGGGACTATGAACACCGCGCTCCGCTCCGCCCTCGGCCGCTTCTCCTTCGGCAAAAACGGCATGTTCAGCGTCCGCAACTCCACCCTCGGCTCCCGCAGCTCAGGCTCCTTCGACAGCGCCGAGCGCCCCGGCTCAGGCGCCAGCACACCACCCGGCTCCACCGGCGCCCCCGCAGGCATCACAAACACAAAGTGCCGCCTCTACGAACGCGAATCCCTCAAGAAATGGCGCGATATGGGTTCCGCGAGACTTACTATCATGCTCCCCTCGCCCCACCCCAGCGTGCCCTCCTCCCCTAACTCACTCCAGCGCGCGCCTGGTACGAGAGACCACACACAAGAGCGCCGCATCCTGGTCACGGGTAAAATGAAGGGCGAGGTGCTGCTCGACGTCACGCTGAGTGAGACGTGCTTTGAGCGCGTGGCGCGCAGTGGGATTGCGGTGAGTGTTTGGGAGGATACGGTGGGTGATGATGGAGAGGTTGGGAGAGTTGGTAAGACGGGCGGGGTTAGTGGGGCGAGAGCACGCGTTTATATGATTCAGATGAAGAGTGAGAGGGAGTGTGCGCATTGCTTTGGGTTGTTGGGGAGGTTGAGGTATTAGGATCTGTGCTTTTTTTGGGAAGGGCGTTTGGGGGGGCGGGATACCATACCATACCAAATCTTGGTTTTCTGCAGGACCGCGTCTGGTCGTGCGTTTTCTTTCCTTTCTTGTCTTTTCTTCTCTGCTCTGCTCTTTTCTTTATGTTGGGTGGAGTGGTGTGTATGTACACTGCTTGCTTGGCTGGGTGTGGCTACACTGTTACCTCTTCCGGCACACCAAGATAGCGTCCAGCGGGATAGAAAACAAAGGACCGTATATATAGTAATAATATTCTGTACATTTCACTTACTTTGCCTCTTCTCTTCGTTTCTGGACGTGTAGAACTCGTTGTTCCACGTCCCTGGAGCTAGCTAGCTGGCGAGTATAGGGCCTAAGAAGTATACAACGGAGTGTACGGTGTTGGCACGTCTTACTACTACCTACGATTCTACAATAAGTCTTCGTTAGAAACCCTTTACTATCGTACTACACTACACTACCTCTTACTATAATGCCAAACTGGGCAGGGCTGGAGTACACTGCCCGGGGCAATACACACCGACTGTTTTACCTAGTAAACTTTGTAGATAAATTCTCACTACTCTTTTGTTTTGTCTGGGATGGTCTGATTTGATGTGCTGTTGCTGGTCTACGCGCGGATTACACTATTATGTATCGCTACGTGGGGAAGCGGCGAGAAGCGTGAAGGGGGGGTTTGTGAGGAGGGGAGAGGGTAAGGAGGGAAGGGGAGAGTGAGGTGTTGTGAGGAAGGAGAAGCTGGATATGAGTATTGCACTTCCTCCCACGAGACGATTTTGCAGCGTTTTTCGCTTGTGGAGTGTGGTGGGGTGTGATGTGTGATGGTATTGTGCGCTAGGTCGAAGGCCTGGTGCCTGTTATCTAAATACTAATGAAAAGATGGGAATCTGAGAAAAACGCACTTATTTCATATTTCAGTCTTCTCTCCCCAAAGACGTTCATGCACGGTTTCTTGTAGCACCAAGTCGGTGGACGGGGAGATATATATATCGAATGGGTCAGCGTGCTCTTGAGCGTGTATCGCGTTCTGAAGATTTCGCGGCATGGCCATACATCTTGTCAGCTGGTAGTATTATTTTACAGGCATGGGTTTTCTGGGTAGCCAGCCGGTCTTGGGGACTTTGCCTGATTCGTCCCATGTCTGCGAGCGTGACTTGCTTCTTTTGTGGCACTATCGCGTCGTGCTTGTGGGGTTTGGGAGGCGTCTTGTTTCGTGTGTATGCTGGGCTTGGTATAAGCTTATTCGCATGGTAGTTTTGCCCTTGTTACGTTCTTGTTCTCCTGACGTCCTGCTCTTTTAGTCGGCGAGGTGGGCTTTCGTGGGAGTGGTCTGGCTCTTTCGTCGACGGAGGGTTCGCTGGGAATCATAGCTCGAGCGAAGGGGGTGAGAAAGCGGAGTGATATGGGCTGATGTACGGTCCATCATCATACGCCTTGTAGTTTTCAACGCTGGTAAGAAGATATATGGTGAAAAGAAATGCATGAATTGAGAGAGAGCCAGAAAGGAACCTGGACAAAGTTACGGAAAAGTATGTTCACAATGCCACTATACGTGTGAGAGGATACAGATGTCTTTCGTCTTCCTGATACTGAAGTGCAAGTAAACACCACAGTCAGTGTTTACGAATAGTGTAGCAGAAGGATCAAATAACACATGTTCGAACGAGAGTCCGAGAAGCGGCGCGAGACTTGACATTAGCACTTAAACAAGCGTGATTCGCATCTAGTTGACATACTTCCAGCTTGTTCGAAGAAGCTTGAGAATGGCAAAGTGAGAGAGAGGTTAAGTTCACAGATCATGACGTGCTAGTCAGCACTAGACTCACATCCGGACGCGTCGTCATCACTAAAACACAGCCACGCATGAGAGTTGTCTTGACGGATGCTGCGACTGTGCGCAGTCGCTTTGGTCAGCGGAACGGCATGGAAGGCTGAATTGGCCTTGCAGAACAAAAGGTCAGATGTGTGACACCGACGAAGCGGACCCATTGGTGCAATCCCGTGGCTACAGATGGTAGGTTTGCGTTAGAAAGAGGAGTACATAGGAAGATAGCCACGAACTTACTGACTATGTACGTGGATCAGAGCGTTGCTGAATCGAACATTATGGAATCACTTCAACGGTGCGTGAGCGTGGTTTACGAACAAAATTCACAAAAGTGCGTGACGTGAAAGGCATGTGTGCACGCGTCTTAGCGCGGATTTCGACCGTCCTCAAGTGCAGATGACTCCACCAGGTCTCACCATTTACCCCGCAGACCCGGGCTCTCTCACTTCCTCTCATCCCGACTCAAGCACCACCATAGCTCGCCGATTTGTTGATATTTTTTTGAATGCCTGCTACCAGTCATGAAGTACTTGCCACCAGAACTGCACTACGAAGTGTGTGAGTATCTGTCGCTCGAAGACATACGGAGATACCGCCTGGTCAACAAAACCTTTTCCCATGTTGGAGCAGCCAAGCTCTTCCGTCAGCTCACTTTTCACGCCAGCGACGAGAGCCTCAACCAAGTATGCGCTGTTGCTGCTCACCCAGTGCTCCGGAAGCAAGTCAAATCACTAATATGGGATGCGAACTTGTGGGATATTGGCACTTATGGAAGCAGTTTTGAAGAATTCAGAAACTACACCTCTGACCATTCTCGATCTGGCCTCCAGGAGATGGAGCACAAACTCGCAAGGCAGCTAAATGTCTCCCGCGATCAACTGGTACTGGAGCATCAGTCTGAGGTAGAATCGGAGGTCCAAAGGCATTATGGCCTCTACCAAGCGCGTAGAATCGATGAACAAAGAGTCTTACGCGAGCGTCTCACAGCCATCTGTCTACGACCCATACTTCGCCGCTTTCTCGGCATGGAAAAGATCAGTATTCACAATGGTGATTACTATAAGTGGTGTCCTAAGCGTTGGCCAGACTATTATTGGGGGGGTGATCACGTCCTTCCTGAAACTAAAGCAACAGAGCTCCTAGCTAGGGGAGAAGGCGCCTGGCAAGATAATCTGGGAAGCGGACTGCCTGTTTGGCACCCTTTTGAGCATAGCATTATCGCTGTAGGACACCAACTCAAGGAGCTCGTTGTCGACCACCTTTCCTGGAAGACGTTTCAATCCGAGTTTCGAGTCAGTATGTTGGCAAGACACTGCCCAGGTCTTGTGAGTCTGAAGCTCGCCGTGGCGGTTGAAGCTGGTTATGGAACGAAAATTGAGGTCAATAACTCGGGACAATGTCGGTCGATCATGAAGAACGGACAATTGGCTGGATTCATTGCTGGGCTTAGCAAGCTTCAGGTTCTAGAGATCCGATTTCCCTACTATGCTAGGACATATGTTGCGGCTGTCGAACTTTCCGACATCATCCCAGCAGACCAGACCGGCCTTCGGCGTCTTGTTCTCGAACGATTCGAGACCTCGGAAGCCCACATCAGTAAATTGTTACGCAGCAACAGGAAGACACTCAAAGATTTGAGCCTCCAGGATATTTATCTGAACCCTCGAGGGTCATGGACCAGAATTTTCAAGATGATCCGAAATCGATTATCCCTTACCTCAGCACAGTTCGACGGCGTTCTTTGCGACAGTGTGCGTCCAAACGTACCTCTTGACAGATTTAATCATCGTGCAGGCGTTGAAGATGGTTGGGATTTCATGTGGTACAGCGACGAGGGTGAAGATGAGCGTTTGGGGTACGCCTTGTCAGACTACCTCGTGAAGGGCCCAGTTTGTCCCCTTACGTACGACATGAAGATTGCGGTTCAGAAGGGCCGCAAAGAGCTTGTTGCGGAGCCCTGAATTAACGCGGCTCGAGTTTAGCATGCATGAATGAGCTCAGCGTGGAGTAAGGCTAGTAGGATATTCCATCGTTAGTTTTCAAGTTGATCCGGGAATAGGAGCGGTAGCCACCTTGATCTAAATGTCAATGTTGGCCTCAAGCAGAAAGCCGCTGATTGCAGTTTGAGAGCGTTTGAAATGTCACTGAAAATGGGTCTTATCCTGTTGTGGTTCAACATCATCCAAACATTCAGATGTTTGATCACCTGCAAAAGGCATGCCCCATCACAATGCATAATCATAACCTTCCAACCCATCTCAGGTGCGTCCTCAAATAGAGAGACACACTATGTCCTGAGACAGATTGGCAGTTCGGACCTTTAGTACCTCCTATTTGCAAGTCCGTTGAGCTTTCGTCGTAATAAGATATTTGTGAAAGTATTGCTCCTCTGTGCTAGCACGCTCTAACTAGGATCTCTGCAGTGTTAGCTATGCTGTCAATCATCCTGTTAACGCCGTTAAACAACCCTTTGGCAATACCCCCTGTCTTCTCACTACTTGAGTAGTTTGCCTAGATATTGGAGGGTCAGGGGTAAAGCGCGTTTGAGAAAAATTATCTCCCTAGTCTTTGGATATCGTTCTAACGCAGGCATGTGCATACCGGGATCTCCGCAATGTAGACTAGGTGATCTCTGCAACTAGTAGGGTACACTATTACGTCTTGGTATGCATCAGCCTGCATTAGCGCATCAATGAACAATCTGTATTCTACCGTGATGAATTAAGCGCTGTGCCTACCTGGCACGGCCCTTAGAATGGATGTGGCGCATGCTAACGGATTTGAGTCACGTCTGCTTGGTTTACCGCCTTGTTCTCAATGGTCATGGGGGGGCTGGACCGGGCGGGGTGACCAGTTGTACCGGGGCGTGGAGGGATAGGTGACAAGTTGAGGTGGGAGAGTTGTCATGTGTCTGCGTGTTGGCAGCATGCTAGGACGTTCGGGTGTAATGCCGTGGGTTATAGACTGCGTTACACGTGCTTCCTAACAGTAGGACATAACTACAACGACAACCACGTCAGGCTGCACAACATCCGTCTGACGGTGGTTCTGCGAAATAACGTTGGGTAAATGGATTTCGACTAGTGTGTGTTATGCGCGGAAATATAGATGGGGGCCTGGATTGGGAGGTTGGAGAAAGAGAAAGATTGGGGAGGTGGGAGGAGTAGGGATTATGAAGGTGGACAACGAAAACGTGGAATAGGGAAGAATAAAAAAGACGTAAAGCGGGGAACAGAGGGGGAACGATTAGCTGAGTTAATACGATGAGTACATATGTAAGTGTTGAGTGTTGAGAAGGGTGTTTCTTTCGTGTGTTTGTGGGGAGTTGTAGAGTGTGGTGGATAGGGTGCGGTGTTCTCCTCAGTTATCTTTTAGTTCACAAATAGATGGATGGGTATGACAGTATCAGTATAGACTGAGGTTTGCGAGAACAAGCAAGCGCGTGACAAGCAAGCTCTGGGGGAGTATATTTTCCGACATGATACGATCCAGGAAACCTCCTCGACAAGTACTTTTCGAGCCGAGCATGAGTGTCATGTAAGGGCACACGCGACGCGCACGGCAACATTCTCGTAAAAGTTGTCTACCAATAATTTGCAAGTCCATAGCCGAGGCTACATCACACACGCATTCTTGTTCCCGACTTCCTCGCGCTAACGTCGGTTCTCGGCACCAGGTCAGCAAGGCACATGCGGCTCTTCGTCTCGTCTCACGTTGTCGAAGAGGCGGCACGGGCGTTTGGAACAACCGGGTGGAGACGCTGTACGCACGCGCCTACGTACGCACCCACGCATCCATCCATTGGTAATGCTTACCAGAAGGCTGGATGGGGTAGGGTATCCGGCTCGGTGTTTCTCCTCCGATCTTGTCGATGTCGGGGGTTTCGGGGGTTGGAATTGTGGATGGGGAGAACTTGAGGATTTGAGACGGGGGCATGAAGATGTGCGCTGGGAGGGCGTGGAGTGGAGACAGATGTTGGGTGATGGGTTTGTTTCTCTTTGTTGTTCATGTGTGTGTGTATGCACTGCTTCGCGCGAAAGAAACCCGGACGCTGTCGGACGGCGTGAGTGGGATGCTTATCGTCAGGCCATATGGTCGGATCGCGCTACATTGGTGGTCGGCTGCATGGTGAATCCTTCTATGCGCGTCAGATCAGCTTGTGCTTGTACGCGAGGTAGATACTTTCACATCAATACTGCAAGAATGGTCTTTCTTCTCACACACATCGCTTGAGTTGACTTCTACTTTACTGTAATACACTGAATTGACATGCCGGTGATCGACGTCCTCTTCGCAAGGCTTAATGTCGGTTCTCGGTGCTATCAAGCTTTGCCATGCAGCGGGAGGCGCAACGCCCACGCTAGCATGCCGGACGTTACATTGCGAAGTGGGGACGTGACGTCAACTTCAAGATGAAACCTCACATTGACCACAGTGGAGCTCTGGTGGAGAGAAAACTCTGGAATTGTGGGCAAAGATGGAGATTGGGGTATGGGGACTGGAGTGTGTGTGGAGGGTGGATGATGGGGAAATAGTGAGGGGAAGAGATAACGGGGACGATTGATACACATCGATTCAGTCAAACCACGGACAGAAGATGAGATGCTCACAACACACACCACCAGTCAATTGTCAGCAGACGGCATGATACGAGTGGATTATTACTCCGTTCCATTTCGCCTTTCCCGTTGCCCTCTCCCGACTCGTACACCAGCTTCGCGCTCCCGTCCATGCTAGTGCTTGTTTCCACCGCTCTCCATTTCCCACTTCACCAATCAGAACTTGAAATCATCGGAGACGATACCCAACCAGGCAGTCTATCAGCCACTTCCGCCATTGTCGCGTGCCCTGGAACAGTGAAGGGCCTGTTGCGGGGCTCCCACAATGCTCTCCTCATCTCCTGACCTGGTCACGCTGGGGATTGACCCGAGTGATCGGACATTGGGAACATACAAATACCCGTTTTCTCCCCAGATCGCTGTTTACCAGCTCAACAGTTCTTTGTACGACAGACAAGAGATTCGGCCAAGATGTATCAGATTGGCAACATCTACGGGATTACCGCTCTTGCGGTCGTCGGTGGAGGGTTGTTTGGTTTTGATATTAGTTCTATGAGCGCTATGTGGGTTTGATCACTCACAACCCCTCTGGACAACTACTGACATATTTTAGCCTGCCAACTCAGCAATATCGATGCTACTTCAACCAAGGACCCAATGGCCCGCCATACACACAAAACGAGTTATGCTCTGGTCCCTCAGCTAACGTACAAGGTGGAATCACAGCTGCCATGCCTGGTGGCTCCTTTCTTGGTTCTCTGGCATCCGGATACTTGACTGACAAGTTGGGTCGCAAACGAGCTATTCAGATCGGGTGTTTGATCTGGGTGATCGGTTCTATCATCTCCTGTGCCTCGCAAAACATTGGCATGCTCATTGCTGGCCGCTTCATCAACGGTGTCTCCGTCGGTATCTGCTCTGCTCAAGTCCCTGTATACGTCACAGAGCTGGCCCCTCCATCGAAGCGTGGTCGTGTTGTCGGTTCCCAACAGTGGGCTATCACTTGGGGTATTTTGGTGAGTATTCCTATTATCAAACCAATTCACATTGCCTCAAAATTGACTGGAAAAGATTATGTATTACATCTCTTACGGCTGCAGCTTCATGGACGGCGCAAAGGCCTTCCGCGTTCCATGGGCTCTGCAGATGCTCCCAGCAATCTTCCTCTTTTTCGCACTTTTCCTCCTACCTGAGTCGCCCCGATGGCTCGCCCGCCACGACCGCTGGGAGGAAGCCCACGCCGTTCTGACACTTGTCCACGGCAAAGGCGATGCCAACAGTCCTTTTGTTGCTCTGGAGATGGCCGAGATCAAGCAGATGATCGAATTCGAGAGGCTCAATGCCGATGTGTCTGTCACAGAACTCTTCAAGCCTGCCATGCTCAACCGCCTTCACATCGGCATATTCACACAGATCTGGTCGCAGCTGACTGGCATGAACGTGATGATGTACTATAGTAAGAATACGCCGTTGACACCGTCTGAGTATTTCACTAACACGTTCTTAGTTACCTACGTCTTCGGTATGGCTGGTCTCAACGGCAATATCAATTTGATCGCTTCGAGGTTAGTTACACCCTCTTCCACTCAAGTTCAGAAGTCTCTTCGAGTCCAGACGATGTGCACAAAGTTTGGTGGTCGTTGTCCAGCGATTACAAAACTTTACTGCGTACCCTCTATCTGGGGTTGAGTGAAATGCCAATCCCTAGCGCAAAAGCAAGATGACCACAAGAGTAAATGCTATATACAAGGCACTTCAGGCGTATACCTGTCGCACTCTAGCCATAAAAGTTTCATTAAAAAAAACTGTTGGTACTTGGTCAGCTGCGATTGGGTCTCGGCTTTTACACTCAACGTCGAGAACACTATCCACCCAAGACCACCACCACTAACAACAACTCAGTATTCAATACGTGATCAACGTGATCATGACAATCCCCGCACTCATCTACATGGATCGCTGGGGTCGCCGGCCCATGTTTGTCAGCGGCGGTATTCTGATGGCGATATGGATGTTCGCGAACGCTGGTCTGATGGCCACCTACGGCCATGCCGCTCCCCCAGGAGGTGTGAACAACATTGCAGAGGAATCGTGGGAGATCAGTGGTCGTCCCGCCTACGCCGTCATCGCCTGCACATACCTCTTTGTCGCCAGCTACGCCCCCACCTGGGGACCAGCATCATGGGTGTACCCTCCCGAGCTCTTCCCTCTCCGTGTCCGTGGAAAGGCCGTCGCACTCACAACATCGTCGAACTGGATCTTCAACTTCGCGCTGTCGTACTTCGTGCCCCCGGCGTTTGTCAGCATCAAGTGGAAGGTGTACATCATCTTCGGTGTGTTCTGCACGGCCATGGCAATTCACACGTTCTTCTGCTTCCCTGAGACGGCCGGAAAGACGCTCGAGGATATCGAGGAGATGTTCTTGGCTGGCGTGCCGGCGTGGAAGACAAAGACGGACTTTAGCAACTCGCGCCGTGCTGAGAGGGGCTTGGTCGATTCGGAGAAGGGCATGGCGTATAATGCTGAAAAGGTGGAGAACACGGACGTGCCTACGGCTGCATGAGAAAATCTACGATGGACATGAGACTGAGGTTGTGAACTGGAAAATAGCTGTCTTGTAAGTACTGTTTGAATATGCATAGGAGCTCGTTGAAAGAAACATCACCCGATGTATGCATTTTTTCATGATGAACATAACGTTTCTGGCTTTTCATAACTCGTACTGTGACAGTGGAATCATATCCTTGTGTCGATGTCCGCTTTGTAGCAGGACAACTACAAGGAAAGTTTAATTAAGCGTTTCTGTGCGTCAACTTTTGCTGGTACATGTCTTACCTAACACGTTCTTGTCAACGTTTTCTTATACACTTTACACGTTGTAGATTCAAGCGCCTCTATGAGTTTATCTTCGTATTTTTGTATTTCCGTCACGCTTCCGTTCCAAAGAGACAACACTCAATATATGGGCTTATCCACAATTTTCAACCTTTGTGAGGTTTTTATGATTTTCACTGATACAGCGGATTGGTGTTGTCGTCGCGTCGCTGCCCGTCTCGTGGACGGTGGCCTTGGCGTGTTGATTTACTTCGGTGGCACAACTCGTCCACTTCCTCACCAACACCACCAACTTCCCTCACCTCATTCACTTCTACGCGTGCCCCCACTCATATATGGCCTTGATCTACTATCTCGCTGTCGCACTTGTTTAGCTGTTGCGACTTCTCAACAGTTTCTTCGTCGTTGAGATTTTGCGCCTTCTCTGCGACACTAAACAATCCATCCCAGGTGATGAAAACATGGCAGCATGCGAGCTGAAGTTAACAAAGGAGGGAGCAAACTAAGATCCTCTGGTACGTTCACAGCCACAACGCCACTATGCATGTCAGCCTGCCCCGCAGCAACACCATACATCCTGCAGCTCATTTTGATGCCACTTAATTCACTTACCACGATTAATCATGAGGTTACTCAACGTTCACACCCTCAAATTACATACATTTTACGGTGATGCCATACCACCATACGCTATTCTCTCACACACGTGGCTTCAAGATGCTCAGGAAGTTACGTTTTCGCAGCTTCAAGCTGATCCCGTCAGCTGGCGCAATATCGAGGGCTCTCTTAAAATCGACTTCTTGTGTCAGCAGGCGATCAATGACGGCTACGACTACGCCTGGATGGACACCTGTTGCATCGACAAGACCAACAACTCCGAGCTTTCTGAGGCCATCAATTCCATGTTTCAATGGTACCAAAAGTCGAGAGTGTGCTATGCGTATATGGCAGACGTCGAGTATGGGTCGGAGGTTGATTTGATGAGCAGTCGGTGGTGGAGCCGGGCCTGGACTTTGCAGGAACTTCTCGCACCGAGGGACGTCAAGTTTTACGATACGCACTGGCGATTGATTGGCACAAAGAACGACCTGAGTGAGTCCATTTATAGCAATACTGGCATTAACCTGGAGACATTACGGGACCCGCAGTGCATATCTGAAAGCTGTGTTGCTCAAAGAATGTCTTGGGCAGCGCAACGTCAAGCTACCAGAACTGAAGATCTCGCATATTCACTTCTTGGCATCTTTGGAATCAACATGCCATTGCAATATGGAGAAGGCAAAGGCGCCTTCGTACGACTCCAACAAGAGATCCTCAAAACGAAAAACGATCAATCATTGTTCGCCTGGGGCTTGTCTGAACGTTCGTTTGAGGACGTGTTGCACGACTTTGGATCCGGAGAAATCGACAAAAGACAGATTGATAGCGGTCAAAACATCTTTACGCAGCACATCAAACGCAGCTTGAGTCGTCTGGATGGAGTAACCGTACACACGCAATCTGGCATGTTCGCATCCCATCCTCGCCTTTACGCGAACTGTCGTAACATCGAGTATCACAGTCATCATGTTCACAATGTTGATATCGACGAGCGTCATGGTTTCTTGACTGTAGTGGTTCCCGTCACTCCGGGCAGCTATTCTGTTTTTGGTTCCCGTGTCATCCACATCGCGTTGCTCCCATGTGGCGTGAAAGACAGGCCCCACGAGATCATAGCCATGGTCATAAGTCACGAAAGTCATGGACAGTTCCTACGCAGAGAGTTCCTGGACGGCACATCCACTTTCTTCGTAAACAGCCGTGTATCTGCCACAGCCGAGACTAAGAAGATTATGGTTCCTAGGCTATTCTCGATGTGTCATGTTTGTAGTGACTACGTGCCCCGAAGAAGAAACCGATCTCTGATCCTAGAGTTCCACACTCGCAATTCATATAGCCTAGATCTGCCCAGTTTATCGTCGGACTGGATATGGCTCCCAAAGGAGTCAACACTCCTGCAAGAAAATTCAGCAAAAAGCCACCAATTAGACCTAAAATTCCACAGTGTGCTACCTGCAACGATCCTGCAGGTCGTCATACATTTTGCTGTTGACGATAGCGCCGAGAAGCAGATGGTTATGATATCTACACAACCGTCGTCAACCACCAATGAGAAGACTACACCCTCTGCTCGAAAAAACACTGATGAGCACCCAGTGACCATCGGCTCGTTCCATCATAGCGACCCTCCGTACAAATATTTCCGTTGTGGTACATTGGACGCAAAAATCGGAACACACCTCATCTTCAACCAAGCAGTAACAACGCTTACCATCACCGACCACGACGAAGATACCATAGAAGAGACAGACTCGGAAAACACCATAGAAGAGACAGACTCCGAATCCACCATAGAGGAGAAAAACTACGAAGACGATAGCATTCAAGTTCACAAACACGAAGCAGATACTACAGAAAGCAAGGTGACACAGATTTTCAAGGTCCTGGCGGCATTCAATTGGTAGATGGTAGATAAGGACTCTCTTCACCCAGCAGATTCGCTCTAGTGTTCATATGCGGATCCCTCGTTCCATTTCTACTTCCTTCCAAAACCACCGACCATCCATCATCAAATCGATCTAGCATACGCCCCACTGCATTGCCTCGATCACTCAACAACCCCAAAATCACGCTCCATTCCCTTCCGCAAATATACCATGAGACTGCACAATCAACCGCTCCAAACAAGCCGGGCTGGAAATACACTGACACCGCCTACGTCGCACAACCCATACGCGAATCCACCCTGTCGATGTCGAACCGTGGTACGATCTCGCCGCATTCTAGTTCGCGTGTCCTCGCATTATAGACAGCCTACATCACCACCGCAGCCTATACGTAAACACAAACCTCTCCTACCCCACCTACTACCTGGCGTGCAAATCATACACATACCGACCTCCAAGCCCTATCCTCTATTTAACACGCACGTTTTCATTCTGAATCACGCTTGCATTGCATATCCCATCCCGTCGTTCCCTGAACTGCACTCTACCACTCCCGTCCACCCCCGAGAACCTCCCAACCGCTACTAGTCCGTTGGTTACTTAGTCGGACGAAAGACCCGGGAAAGAAACGGGAATGGTGTAAACACTGGACAGAAATGCGAGGCGAGGGGAGAAAGACAGCAAAGACAGTTCTGTGAAAGCGAGAAGGGTGATTGGCGACTTGAAAGGTATGAGGAAGCAGACGGATAACAACTGGAGAAAGAAACACCACGATGCCATGAAAGACAGAGAGACAGAACAGGACAAAGCAGTCGATAACATCAATTCTCCAGCCCAGAAATCCCTCCCCTCCCCTTCCTACCCTCCCCCACACCCACCAACAGCTAATATATATCCTCGCACCCCGCCTCCCTCCAACTCCCCCTCCCGCTAGCAACCCCCTCCCTAACCCTCCAATACTCATGATTAAACTCCCAAAACTCCTCCCCAGTCGTCTCACACACGCTCTTCCTAAACCACCTCGGTTCAAAATGCCCCCCACTAGCCTCCCTCTCCCGCCTAGTAGCGCGTTGTTTCTCCTCAACGCGATTCTTCTCCGTTGCCGCAAGATCATACGCGCCGTCTTCCATAGCGCGCTGATCAGGTCTTAGTCTAGTATCAGTCGGCGCTACCACCGGTCTAAGACGATCGGGAATATCGTTCAGTGTCACGACAAAGGGCGTGAGATTAAACGGTATACCCGTCGGTCTAGCATTAGCCTGCCAGACGAGGAACGCCTTACTTTCATCATGCTTAGCGTGCTTACTCCCGCCCTTATCAATCTCCGCATCTTCAAACCCCGGGGTAAGGCGCGCATAGATCTTATCGTTCCAGCGGCCGCCGACGGACCAGCGGACGCGGCCTGCGCTGTCGAGCACTTTGCCGACGACTTGAAACGCGGAGGAGGCTTTCCAGCCGCGCGCTTTGAAGTCCAGGTGGCAGATTTCGCCGGTTGTGTGGTTTTTGATCTCCATGAGGCCGTAGTTGTCGACGACGGGGTTGCCCGTGATGATGCCGATGACGGAGGAGGTCACTTTTTTCCACGTGTAGAGCTCGCTGTGTCCCGGGGAGGAGGTGGGGCGCAGGCGGAGGAACCAGGTCCCGAGGGGGTTGATGTCGAAGGATTTACCGTAGAATTTTGACTTTACGGCTGATTCGCCCTGGGGATGTTAGTTGTGTTTGAAAGAATGTGAGGGCAGTCTTACCCAATAATCCCACGTCTTCGACTCGGCGTATGCAGCGCCAATTGGGGGATGATGGCTGACCTGCTCAATGAAGAACCGGTAGCCCTTGTCGGGCCTGGCGTACTCGTACGTTTCCGCGAGAAGCGGGTTGAAGGGTTTTGCGACACGCCCAATGGTAGACGCATACTCGGAGGCAGCAAAGGCGGCAACATAGAGTAGGCGTTCTGTCGAGTCTGCGCGCGTGGCTGCGGTGTCGAGAAGATCGGTGTATTCCATGTCTTCGGCCACGCGCTGGAGCAGGGATGTGGGCTCGTTGAAAGAGACGGGAAGGGTCATTTTAGTCATATCCTTGCCGATCATAGACTTCAAGATACCCTAGCAAATTGTTAGCATCTTCATCGTTGGAAACGTTGTGGACTGCCATACCCAAAGCGAGATCTTGGGCCTGTCATCTGCATCCATGGCCAGCCTCTGTCGCGGCCCATCTTCATACCCTACGAATCCCGTCGCGATATCTGCATGCTTGCTCTCAAAGACGTCTGTGGGTGGGGCCGCTTCTGATTCTCTCACCACCGGAGCAGGGGCTGGCATCTCAACAACCTCGACCTCACCAGCACCAACGGCATCGAAGAACTCCTCGTCGCCTTCCGAGTCCGATTCCGAAAAGTCAGCGGCAAGATCCGCAAACGTGGCCTTCCTGCCCAAGCCTCGTTGCTTGGACGCCAAGTCGTGCTCTTGCTCCGGTGTTTCTGCAGCTTCAACAAAGTCGTCTTGGTGATCCCGCAGCGTTGGACCGGGTTCCATTCTCCCATAGTCCTCCAAAGCCTCGCGCAAAGCCTTTTTCGTTTTCCGCCTCTTCTCCTCCGACTGACCCATCCTTGTCTCCAAATCCTCCTGCTCCTTTGCGACCTTGGCCATGCTGTCTTCCCACATGCGCCGCACATTGGCCTCGCGATCCAACCGATACTGCCAATAAGCATCGCGATCCCTCGATATCCGCAACAGATCACCGATAAGCCCCTTGAGGTTGCCAATAGCCGATTCGTACGACGCAAAGGCTTGCAGCATCATGGGATCCGAGAGCTGCAAAGTAGGGTTCTGGTTCTTCTCCGCTTGTAGTGCTAGGGATACGGAGGTCATGAGGTCAAGTTGCAGCTTTGCAGACTGCGCTGTGATGTTGAATGCGTCTTTGCTGTGCGGTTTGATTTCGTGGCCGCTGTCATCATCATCGTAATCGTCGTCGTCGTCATCATCACCTGCGACAGTAGCCGTTCCCATGTGGCTGGTCATCCTGCCTAGGTCGTTTCCGACGTAGCTGGGCTCGTACGTACTCCCGGGACCTTCTACCACGCTGACTGCAGTTCGCGAGGATGTGTCTAGGGTTGAGAGAGGAACGCCGAGATTGGTGGCTTGTACACTGTCAGTATAGCAGGGTGGCAGCGAAGGTGACGACTTACCTGGTGTGAGATTCCTTGACATCCTGGAGCTGTTCACACTTGGGGTGTCACCTTGGCCTGTTAGTTGCTCGATCTTGGCCTGCTTGAGGGCTTCCTGGTTCTGGTTGGCGCGCTTCTCTTCGTCGCGTGCCTCGTCTTTGGCCCACTGGATGGCGTTGTTCAGGGCCCAGTACCATCGCTTTGCTTCGACCTGGTGATTTGCCTTGAGGTGGTACTTGACTGACGACTTGCCCTGGATCTCAAACCGTTGCTTGTCTTGGGGGTCCATGTAGAGCTTGCCTATCCGCATGTTGATTGCACCACGGCAGGCAGAGCCAGTGTCATCTGCTGAGGTTAGCTCGGTTATCATCCATTTCGATCTGTTGACCAACCTTGATGCTTATAATAGCTGAGCACACCATCCTCAAGCACGAACCACCTCAACTTGTAGCCGCTCGTATAGTTTGTCCACTTCTTGAGATAGCCCTTCATCTCACGAGACTCCTTTGCGCCCATGCCATTGTCGGCGGCGGCTCCACCCTGGGGTGCGCCTGCGAGGATTGTCTTTTCCTGGATGCCCCGCTGAGCTGCTGCCGCGGCAGGCGATCGCTTCAGAATAGCACGTGTGCGGTCGTCTTTGGTGTAGTCCTGGGGCAATTTGCCTACGCGGTCTCGACGGAAGGGATCGGCGCCGTTCAGCAGCAGAAGCTGTGCCAGCTTGACGTCCTTCTTCTTGGCTGCTTCGTGCAGGAGCGTGCCTCCAGCATCGATGACGACGGGGTCAGTCGCCAGTTCCCCGTTGTTGACGTCCAGCGTGCTCTTGATGCGGCTGTCTTGCAGCGTTGTCTCCAGCGCATCCAAATCTCCTGCGCTGACCAGCTGGTGGATCCTCTTGACGTTGGTGTCGATGAAGATGGATCGCGCGAGCTGCAGCTGCTGGAAGATGTCTGGCGTGCGCGCGAGATCTAGCGGCGTCTGGCCATTGTAATTTGTGATGGAGTCGTTGATGCCTGGACGGTCCAACAGCATGCGCACGACTGGTGTGCGGCCCAGCGTGGCAGCCAGGTGGAGCGGGGTATTCCCATCGCGGTCGCGGCCGTTGATGTCGATGGGCGAGTCGGGCGTGGCGGTCGCGTTGGACAAGACGAACTCGATGACGGGCAGCTCAGCGCACTGAATGGCCAGGTGCAGGATCGAGGTGCCCTCGGTGCGTGCGCTGGGCAGCTGCAGCGAGGCTCGGCTGTCTTCGCCGTCTGCGGGCCCCGACTGCTCGCGGATGGCCTTTGAAATGGCAGCCGTGTCGCCGTTGCGCAGCGACTCGAACACGCGGAACAGCTTGACAGACTGCTCGATGGACGAGCCCGTGGGCGTGGGGCCTGGGAGCGCCGGCGCAATACTCTGCGGCGAGGAGGGGTCCTGCGGGGGACCACCCAGGCTCGTCATGCTGGTGGACGTGTGTGGGCGGAGGGACGCCGTGGACAGAGCCGCGGGGGAGTCTGTGTTGGAACCGCTGTCGTCCGTCTTGGAATGGGTGCGCGTCAAGGCATTCTTCACCCTGCTCGACTTGGAGCGTTTGTGTCTGGGGGCAGTCAGCGCGTGTCGGATAACGGCATGTCTGCTGCAGCTTCTCACCCTTCCATCATGTGGTGATTGGGCACGTGGGCCCTGTGCACGAGGCGGGGTTTGCTGTGGAGAGACAAGAGACGAGGGGTCGCATAGATATCCAGGACGGGAGCTGCGACGTTACACAATCTGTATTCATGCCATCATCGCAGCGGGGCTCGCGGATACCCAGTCCCTCCAGCCAAGGTTCCTGCAGCTCGTTCGCAGCAACCCAGCGAATCACGATTGGACTTCGGCTTGTTGCAGTGGTAGTCGGGCCTAGACGGTAGACGGACTTTACTCCCACGCGCGGCACGGGTCAACGGAGCGCACGAGTGACAGCCTTTACGCTGTGTATACATGTGTTGTACAATCTCTATCTATACAATCATGACGAATCTCCGCCCACCAGAATGATGGCACTCCCCAGTTGTCGTCGCAGGTCCTCCTTCTCAACGTCGTGTGTATCCTCCACCTCCCCCCACTGTCCCGTCTGCCATCGCACCTCTAGAGTCGACGCCTCAGCCGCCTCCTCGATACCAAACCGACGCCCGTTGGAAGTCTTGCGCGTGTTTGCAAAAGCCTCGCCCCATTCGTGAATCAGGCGCACCCCGACTAACAGACTCTTCGATGCGAGCACCGCACGCTCCAGCCCAGCAAGTTCATACGCAGGGAGTCCCATACACCAGCCGTGGATCACCTCGGTTGTCATCTCGGGCTGCGACATGGGCACGATGCTGTCGTCGAGGGTGGGCTTGATTTGGACGCCTGGCCACACGTGCGTGGTCAGGTAGGCGATGATCTTCATGGCTGCCTCCTCCTGGAGATTGCGCAGTGTCTTGCCATCACGCAGAGACTCGTTCAGAACCTTCTCGGGCGCCCAGCACAGCATCGTGTCCGTGGCAAGGTATTCGAGCAGCATCTTGACAATGTCGTTGCGTATGCGCTCGTTCCCACTCGCATCTGCGGCCTCAATGTCGGTTGCACGGGCGGCAATGGACGTCATGGGTATGTAGTGCGTCTTGAGCGCCTGCTGTGCGCTCAGCAGGAGGTCCCACTCGAGGGCAATGGCTGTGGCGAGCTGAGGCTTCGAGAAGGGGACGGTGAGGATCTCTTTGTCGGGAGTGCGCACAGGTCTGCTGTCGAGATAGACATGGAAGCCGTCTAGGGCATTGTCAGCCAGATACATGGCCTAGTAACGTCCAAGCCATACCATCAGCCTCCTTCACCGTGACATCCTTCCAGAAGCGCTTCTTGAAGATGGTAGTAGTCTTGGACGATGTCCGCGCCTCCTGCGCCTGCTGCAGCATGCCCGCCTGCCTCCTCTTCCTGGCCACCCTGTCCAATGCATCCGTGGCGGCCGGCGTTGGCGTCTCGGGCGGCGGCCCAGGTACTGAAGGGTGCGGCAGAGGCGTGGCGCATCGAGCCGCCGTCGTGTGCAGACATTGGTAGAAGGGACGGTAGGCCTGTCGGGGTGCTGCCAGCCGCAGTGTCGCCAGCGCAGGGCGCATCGGTTCCATGGTTGATGGCTGATGTCGAGTGCGACGTAACGTGATGGCGTTGATGGAATCGACCTTTTTCGCCCGCCTTCGGATCGCCATCCCTGCATCGCATCCAAACTCCGCACCTCGACCCTCACGCGACGCCTCCGCCTGTCAACCTCACCCTGCACATGTACGACCCCGCGAATACCAGCCATCCATCCATCGCTTGTTCCCGGGACCATGCGCCTGTGCTCCCATAACCCTTCATGCCGTCCTGCGACTTATCCACAATACAATCCCATCTAGCCCGTACATGATACCCAAGCGTTGATTTCCCCGCACCAAGACGGCTAGGCACTACGCATTCCCCAATGCACACACCTCACAACGTCTTTCTATGAATCACGGAGCTCTATCTACGACACCCAATGCTGCTGCTCCTCAGCTCAAGCCCATTCGCTTCGTGACCAACAATGACGGCCCCTATGCCAAGCGGCGCAGGATCAACACGGCCTGTCTGACATGTCGCCGCAAGAAGACGCGTTGTTCTGGTCAGATAGATGGGACCAGTCTAGAAAGGCAAGAACACCAACTAATGCAATAGCAGGCGATCGCCCCAGTTGCGCAAGATGCCTACAGAACAATTTGGTATGCGCCGGCTATGGGGACGACAACACGTCGAGCGAGGCAAAGGCGGATGCAAAGGGTAGCAATAGCAATGTCGTGAGCAACGCGCCTTCCCGAGAAATGCACCAGCCAATCGACCCGCAACTCTCACGACCGCAAGAAGCGCACACCGTACCAATCGCGTCACGGAATGCTGGCCCGACCGTCAGCAGTCGATTTCCAAAGCGTGAGGCTAATGACGGTATGCTCAGTCTGAGCACTCGCAATCGCATGCCATATTTTCGATACTTCGGGCCAACAGCCATCATGCCTGGTTTCAAACAGATGGTCGTCAAGGTTAGGGGGAATCGACACGGAAGTGGACAAAAGTCTTCAGATCGTGCGTGGCTTCCACCTCAGCTGCAAGCCAACCAACTGATATCAACAGAAAACTCCGTAGACTTTTCGCCTGCGCAACCTCCATTAGTGGGCTCACCTCAATCACACGAGACTCACGCACCTTTGGACATCCCAGTCTATGACAACTCTGCAATGTTGCCTAGCCCGCTCATCACCCAACTTTGCAAGCTCTTCTTTACTCATCTGGGGTGCTGTTTCCCCTTCCTCCAGCGTGAGCGCTTCATGCGTGACCTCGAAGAGAAGCAAGTGGATGCGATACTCGTCGATGCAGTATGTGCGCTTGCAGCTCGCTTCTCGACAAAACCCGTCTCGAGCCATCAGCAGAAAGTTGGAGATGACGAGCAATCCAAAGTGCAGCCCTCCGAATATGGTCAAGCATTTGCCCACCGAGCAAAATCTGCAATACCAGACACATTTCCCTGTCCAAGTGTAGCTGTGGTCCAAGCAGCGCTACTTCTCGCGTATGATGAATTTGGAGCCAGTCGTGACAGTGGCCTCTGGATGTATCTGGGCATCGCAATCCGGATGGCGCAAGATCTGGGTATGCACACTCTTGAGGGATTGAAGTATGAGGGACACCACGGACCTACTCCTAAATCCGTCATGTTGGGTCCTGGTGACTGCAACGAAACGAGTGGACCAGCGGAGTTCCAGGAGCATCATGTTGAGAGCGTCACCCCTGAAGAGCGGGAACAAAGAGACGTTGAACGCGAAAGACTGGACACGTTCTGGAGCATCTTTTTCCTCGACCGCGTTATCTCATCCGGTACTGGACGGCCAGTCACGCTACGCGACCAAGAGATCGAAATCTCGTTCCCTTCACTTGATGCGTACGATGCTGGTTGTAGATGGCCGCTGCCATTTCCGGCCCTGATCAGGATCATCCACCTCTACGGTCGGGTCACTGACCTTCTCAATGGGATACGAAATGCAACAGACATCACAGAAGGCCTTCAGACGCAGCTCAATGCTTTGGAGAACCGCTTGACAGATATCTACCAGAACCTGTCGCCAAGACTGCACTTCAACGCTGTGAACTTTCAGCAATATGTCAAGATCAATCAGGGGACGAATTTTCTCCTTTTGCATTGCTGGTTCCACACTTTGATCGTTCTTTTGCACCAACCGACGATACTGAAGACGTTTGAAGACACTCCACAGTCGCTCTCCGCAAACAGCAGAGAACTGTCTATGTCGTCGGCCAAGACGGTCGCCGACATCCTAGCCTTCACGGAGCTCATTGATGCGAAGACCGGGGTGGGCAATCCGTTTACGAGGTAAATCATGTTCGATGGCTGCATTTCCACCGCTAATCGCTTTACAGCCAGCCGATATACATCGCCGCATGCGCATTTCTGAAGGAAACAGCAATCCACTCCGCCTCCTCCCAGCCCCAAACTCGACCGCCATCTCCGGGAGTCAAAAACGAACACGGGCGACAGCATACAGGAAACGACTTAGCCGAAGGTCCCAACACCTACGACAAAATCGCCGAACCTCCCGACGGGGATCGTTGTAATCTTCAACAAGACCGCGAGCAGAAACAAGCTGCTAAACACACCCTGCTCGCATCCGCCGCAAACCAAAACTACCAGCGCTGCTATCGCGCTCTGCATTCTCTTGAGACGTATTGGGCGGGCGTCAAGTACATACTGACAGTCTTGGACCAGAAAGCGAAAGGCGTCGGCGATCCTCTCCTGTACACAAGGGAGGAGATGGAAAGCGCGCTCGAGATGCCGCGCCCAGAACCGTCCTTCACTAGCCCGGGCTGGCGGAGGAAACTCAGCTGGGGCACGTATCTAACTGCGCAGAATCCAGATGGCGATACGGCGAGGATGCCTGCCGTGATCAGGAAGGGAGCGAGGACACCCATCCTCCCGGGCTCGCCAATGGCGCATCCAAGTCAAGGTACGCCGCATCCTCGACCTACTTCACACGCACAAAACTGACGATACCATGCAGCCATCGGCTGGTCCCTAACAGGCACAATGAACTCGCCCTCCACAAACGTCGCAGTAATGTACACTTCAGAAAACAACAGTAACACCCAACCCACAACAACAACAACCCTCACCCCCCACCACCACATCCCCTCCCCCCCAACATCAACATCAACATCAACATCCACCTTCCTCCCCCCTCCCTTCCCACACACCCCCTCCGCCCCCCTCCTCTCAGACGCAGACCTCCTCCTAAACCTACACTCCCCCTTCTCCGCATCTACACACAGCTCCTTCACCGCCCCACCCCAGCATCAGCATCAAATGGCCTACGCAACCTACCCCACACCTTCGGATAACTCGTTCGCGGACATGCTGATCGATACGCTGGATGTTGATATGGCGTTGCTGGGCGCGGAGGGTATGCCGTGGGATCTGGAGTTTTTGCCGGCGTGTGGGGGGGTGGGGTTTGAGGGGGGGTTTGGTGGGGGGTAGTTGTATATCAATGGAAAGGCAGGAGGGGTAAGGAGGGAGATGGTTATCATGGATGTGTGGGTGTGTAGTATATGATGGGTTCTAGCATATGTCTCGGTGCGAAAGTTTCATGGTGGTTTTGTGTCCGCGGTTCATGTCTACGCGTTTTTCTTGCGGGATATTTTGTGCGTTGGACACCTGCGGCTCGAATACGGATGTGCCTGGCACGCCTGTTTGGTCCGTGGGATATAGTGCGCGAGTCCTAGCGCGTTGTGGGTGCGCATCAAGCGCGTGGTTTACCGTGGGCGGAGGGCCGAAATTGGCGAGCGATAATCGGAGAAGACGAAGCTACCTCATCCATCCATCCGCACGCGCGCGCATGGGAGATTCTCTACATACCCCCCGAGCGGACAATAAACGGTTCGAATTCCTGGATACGCGTCACTGAAGGTAGATATACAGAAATCGACCCATCTCAACAACATCTCGATCCCACACCCATCCTCAGTTTTCAAACGCACCACCACTCAGCTCGCGCTCATACTCGAGCTCGGGCTGGAACTCGCAGTACAGCGTCTCGGGGTCGCTGCCCATTCTGAACGTGTACTCTGCTGCTTCGTCGTCGACGTACACTTTGGGGATGCCGTTGGCGGCTGCGGCTTCGACCATCAGCTGGATCTCGCAGGAGCGCTCCATGAGGGTGTAGAGGTAGGCTGCTTCGTCTACGGTGTGACCTACGGTCTGGGGGGTGTTAGTTTGGTGTACTGTCATAATGCTAGACTAGTAGATCTAGTGAAAACGTGTCGCAACGAATCTGACCAGCGTATTCTCCAAGATAGTTCACAGGAGTAAAAAGCACAAAGACTCACCAACAACCCATGATTCCTCAAAATCAAGCCCTTCCCCTTCTCCCCCAACGCCCTCGCCAACCGTCCCCCCTCCTCCTCACTAAACACCACCCCCCCAAACTCCCCATAAACCGCCTGCGCCTCCCCATAAAAATAACACACATCCTGATTAACCATCTCCAGCCTCCTCGCAAACGCACTCCACGCCTTCCCCGCCCTCCCATGACAATGACACGCCGCATTAACATCCGGCCTTGCCTTATGCACAGCAGCATGTATAAGAAACCCCGCCGCATTCGCCGGCCGACTCGTATTACCTCCCACCGCATTACCCTCATAGTCGACTAACACCATGTCCGAGGCTTTCAGCGTCGCGAAATGTTTGCCTAACGGGTTTGTCCAGAAGGTGTGCGGGTTCTCGGGGTCGCGCACGGAGATGTGCCCGCTCATTCCTTCGGTGAAGCCGTAGCGTGCGAAGACGCGGAATGCGCCTGCCATGTGTGAGAGGATCCATGCGCGGTGTTTGTCGTGGGTGGAGAAGAGTGGGATGCCGGGGAGGCAGATGCCTTGCGATATGGCTTGGAGGGGGGTCTTTTCTTTCGTTGGGTCGGATGCGGATCGTGGGATGAGTTGTTTTGACTGGGGGGTAGGAGGGGGCTCGGTGGTGACGGCGGAGGGTGCCATTGTGGGGTGTTTGATGGTCGCGAGAGATTAGATTGCGGTGAAAGAGTGGGGTGAGCTATGAACGATGGAAGTAGGCGCTTCAAGATACAGTGTAAGTGAAATAGAGAGTTGAATTTGGAGGTAAGCTAATCATTCAAGATACGGCTTGGTGTGGGTCGTTGAAGGTGGGATGGCTATTGTGGGGTAATTATGGGACGCTTGTTGCTCTAGTGTTGATAGGGATGAGTACTACGTTGACCATCTTACACGGTTTTCTCGACCTTAAAGGATCAATTTCAGAAATGCATTCTTGCCAAAATGGAAATATAGGTATTGATATTTTATTGTTATTTTGTTGATGCACCTTCCACCTCGAAACATGCAGTTAGCAGACTGCGTTGGCGCCTAACCTTGCTCAGCCTTCTCACTGCCACTCTGAACTGACCCAAACTCTCCCAACAGGACCCCCAGGACAGCAGCGCAAGGTTATACAACCAAGTGAATATTTGAGTTCCTTGAAAATAGTTCCAACCCTCATCTCGCTTTCTGTTTCATATCACGTACCAGCATTACTCACGATTGCAGCAACACGGCTCAGTAGATTTATTCAAAAACCATGGCTATCATCTTACACGATTTACCATATGAGATACTTGATTTTCTCATTGCGGCGTCCTTGGTCAGAAGATTGTGTGTTTTCCGATTATGTCACAGCATTACCATCATGGGTTCCCAATTTCAGCAATTCACATGCGTCGTATATCGGGGCATTGTTGCGTATCTACCACTACCCTCAATGTTTTGTGCCGCGTTTGGCCTGGAAATTGAGTAACAGATATGCTCAACAACCATCACTCCGATCGTTGATTTCCCGGATAGCTTCAAAGTTTTGGAGATCTTTGGCATCCTCATCGGTACAATGGAGTCAACCTCTTTGGATATATTGAGTGAAGTGAACCAAAGGCATGCTCAGCGGAAGGATAGGTCGGCACGATCAATAGACAACCTAAGGCAGAGCTATCACAATTTTGCGAAGCCAAGAGGCATGATTGCAGCTAGCCTTCTCGCAGTTCTCCTCTCAAACCATCTTGCCAAACCATCCGACATCGCAACTTTCGAAGCCTTCGTGGTCTTGCTTGACAATACTTCATCTAGTGCACCCAGTACCGCGCCAGAATTCAGACAAAACGAGATGTTTGGAGCAGAGGAGGATGCAAGGTACATACTACGACGCGACATCTGTAACAGGGCGTTGAACTGCGTTAACCTTGCCACAGATAAAAGTAATGTCTGTAAATCTTACCATCCTGATCCTGTGTAAGGTGTTTCACCTGGCGATCTTCTGGTTGGTCTCTTCGGCGTCAATATGCCCTTCATCCTGTGCCAAACAACCCGGAGGGACGTCTACGATGATCAACGTCGCCTATGTTGTTGGTCGTGAAATTGGTCATGACTTTTTCGGTGAACTGCATCAGACAGCTACCGGGAACTCCACGCTTAGGACCGTGAAGTCGTGGGAAGATTCGACATTGACGAAGTATTGCATCAAAGCACTCTATATCACCACACATAGGTAGATGTCTTCCAAGACTACAACATTCCATGTTCCAATCGTTTGATTGCCAAGTTTAACGCCCGTCTTTGTCCAGTGACCTTTACACGACGATCTATAAACAGGAAAGCCTCATTGCAGCGGGGTAGTGATATCAGAGAATGCAGTGATCGGCGCGTTGATGCAAGGACCGATTTGACCTATTGATTGTAAGAGGTTGCACGGAAATTCCCCGACTTTAAGCTGGCTCGCCGCATGCTCATAGACCAAGAGCAAAGACTTTGAAAACAATGGGAAACCCCTAAAGTACACCCCAACATATGTATGATTTTTGTCTAGATGTCCTGAAGTTTATTCGTAGATGATATCCTGCTGGCCGAGTAGATGCAGAGGTCAGGTCAGCTCTTGGTTGCATTCTAGGATACCATGAGGTCGGTAGTCTTGGACTGACTGCGAAGACTCCGATTCGATTTCAAGACGCGTGGGAACGTACTTGCCCTTTGTGGAGGCCGATCTCATCAAAATTTTATAATGCTAGTACTTTGAGTCGATAGTTATGCAGTTCATTCCTCAAGGGGTTGATCGACTCCTTGAGCACATTAAATCACGAGTGGACGGAGGAATCCCAGACACATTTTCTACGAATGATAGGCGAGCCTTCGCCTGAAAGTTGCCACCGTGTACCCTGCTTTGCTGTGTGAAACTCAGCTAGATCCCTCTCCGCAGATAATCTGACTTCGTGCCGGCTGGGTTCAGTTCTGCACTGCACAAAAGGCTCGTTGTTTTGCCAAACATGGACGACTCCCCAGTGAAACATGCAACTTACAACGCATGAACAGACGCCGCCTTCGAATTCATAAACGGCACACACGCATCACTTTGACAATGGTCGTTGCGGATATAGGCTTTCTGATGTATCAGCATACTACGGTAGATTTGTCTTCCCAGGTCATTGCAAGAATAATGTGTTCTCTAAGAAGGGTTGTAAAGGTCGATTCTTACCAGGACCAAAACATGCGTGTCTACACCGTCTTTCGGGGGGTACTTCGGACAGTATCTCGCAAGATCATTGTATGTTTTCCCATCACGCCATATGTAGCACCTATTCGCACTAAACTGGAAGGTAACGAAGAATCGGCCCTCATAACTACACGAAGACTTCTAGTTCGCCAGTGTTGGCATCAATTCAGCCAATGCGGAGAGTAACTTAGTGCGAAACATTCAGGGGATGCAGGAACAGCTTAGTCTAGACTCGATCACCTCACCGTTATGTGAAATGCCAAGGTGCTCTTGCCCTAAATTAGCACGTTTCGACCTGATTCGAGTAGTCACCGTTCAACGGCAGTCCCCGGTTTGCTCAGAACGATTCTAAGGGTTCAGACGTCCAGACTCGGCACAGGTGCCAAAACTGTCAAACAGGGTCTGCACATCATCGCGCAATAATCGTGCATCAAGACCCTGGGAGGAATCGTACCGCCGCAGAGCAACGCCGAATCGGACACTTGGCAAAGTACGACACTACAGCTTATGAGGAGACCTTTGATTGGCTGTCTATCGACTGACTAATCGTATCTGATCGCTAGGACGGAACGAGGCTTCCGTCGGCATTACTGGCAAGCCACCAACAGTTGGCATTACCAAGTAGTGCCGTGTATATCACCGAAGTCCCTTCCCATGTCCTGCGCATAATCCTCACGACACAAAGATCTACCGTGCAGAATTTTCAGAGTCACTATCATCTCATACAAAACATATTTCTCGAGGGGTTCAAATGGTACACAGGAGTATCCTCTAGCACAGGACAGCAAGGCCATGGACTTGCATCTGAGGTTACACGGAGATTGAACGACATGTGTGGTTGCTGAACAAGTGTCAAAATCTGCGGTAAGTCGGTGGTTAGACTATTGTTACTGAGGTACTAAGTTGGCAGTACTGCCAAATACTACCGACCTGCCGCCGTGTAGACCTCGTGTGTGCTGGGCAAGTTTCTGGCGTGAAACAAAGATCCTGATACTGGCAAGTGGTTTTGGTACACTTGACGTGTTTTCTATCGGCGTAGAGTAGCCAAGCGAGAGATACGTGTAATACGACAAGTACAAACTAGTGTAAAGTGGGGTTCCTTGCGGCTCGCTGACCTAGTTTCCTCGTTGGTCGCCCCTGGCGCGAAGGGAGGCCCGCGTAGATCCCCAGGTCTCTCCACAAGCATCCCAGACCCCGTAGCGTCTTGAAATGAATCTGTTTTGGGATCTGTATCGGATCATTCGACGGCATGTGCCACTAGAACATTCGATACTTATGAGTTCTAATCTCGAACCCCTTGTTGCCAAGATTTCGAGATCTCGTACAGACTGCTACTACACCGGTCTTGGCTTGTTTTCAGTCGTGAGAGTCAGTCTCAAGTGCACACCGACATTGATGCCACTAATTTCATGAACCACCGAGCCTCTGCAAGCCAACCGTACGATACTTTGAGAAGGGCCGTTGTAAGATCTCGAATCGCGGTGTACAACATGCGAAGGTCGTTTGAATTGATATAAAGAGGACGGGGTTCTCGCAGTTCAATTTTTATCTACCACAGTTCTTTACTTCTCATCTATCAAGCATCCTTCATCAACAACACACTTTCTAGATACAACTACTACATTCACTTCTTCCAACTAAATCATCAAGATGCAATACCTCGCTGTAGCTCTCTGCTTCGGTCTGTCTGCCGCTCAGACTCTGAACATCCCCACTCGTGTCGGCAATGTTGTGCCTTTGTCTTCCGCTTCTGTCATTCCCAGAGGTGTGACTAGGAACCTCGGAAACCAGGAGTTCGATCGTGGCATGAAGTGCGCCGAGGGAGATACTGGCAGCAAGAACGCTGTTTTCGTCCTTGAGGATGGTGCAACGCTTGAGAACGTCATTATCGGTGCTAATGCTCTGGAGGGCGTTCACTGCCTTGCAAGTTGCACTGTCAGGAACGTCTGGTTCCGGGACGTCTGCGAGGACGCCGTCTCCGCACTTGGAACTGTAAGTTTTGCCACCCTTGCTATCATGACTATGCTAACATAGTTTGAGGGATCGGTTTTGATCGAGGGTGGAGGTGCTCAGAACGCTGAAGATAAGGTCGTTCAGCACAATGGCAGCGGAAGGGTTACCATTCGTAACTACACCGTGGTCAATGCTGGCAAGCTTTACAGGGCTTGCGGTGATTGTAAGTCTTCGAGCTCTTATAACAACAACTACCGGGAATTTTCGCTTACATGCGCATTCTAGGCACCAACAACTCTTCCAGGGGAGCTCGCCATGTGACCATCGAAAACCTCCGTGCCAACAACGTCAGGACCAACTTGGCCGGTATCAACAAGAACTACGGCGATACTGCGACCATCAGCGGATCGTGCGGAACTGTCTCTGGTGAGATTTGCCAGCAGTTCAACGGTATCAACAAGGGCGAAGGCTCCGGCAGCCCTGAGATTGCAGGAAAGGAGAACTGCCTTGGTGCCCAGGGCAAACTTGCTCGCGGAGCTCTGCCCCGTTGCTAGAGAACTACATCTAGTAGTACAACAGATCGAGAAGGGGAAGATGTATCAAAATGTCAAATGTTGGAGAGGATGAGGAATTTGGAAGGAGGAAAAAGAAGAAAACAGAGAAAAGTAGCAACGGATCAAAAACCTGACATCTTAAAAGTTTTACGCTCATCTGTAGTAATTCAATCTGTTGAGCAAATTCTCATCATAGTGACTTGTGGTGGTGCTCGAATACACTCAACCAGTGTCTGCAACCCTTCCTTGTACCAACACTTCGCGGATCGTTTTGCGTCGTTCGGTGCAACAACCAGTAACAGACGATTTGTGTGCTCGTTGCGTCATACTAGCAGCGCTATCTTCTCAAGCTGTTTCAATACTGTCGCGGAGGTTTTATCGATTGTCAAAGGCGAAATCGGAGATTGTGAATTAACCTTAAAAGCTAGTGGACATAGCTGTACAGGTTGCTCTTGAAAGCATTATGACTCCGTAACAACCAAAAGTCCTTTGATCGAGACTAAGGTGATCATCACCTAGAATCTTACCAAGGGTGTAATCTTGCAATACTTTCTACGAAAGACCTGCCTTGCTTCTACGGTATCATAGTACCCAGCCGGAGCACCCCGATCAACTTTAGGCTGCTGATAACATTGTCTTGTATTCGACGGTCCCGAAGCAGCGCTCGGTCATATAGAACTTGCAGCATGGTTGATGGAATCTTAATACACAAAAACATGTAACTATACGTTGGAATCATCTTGATGGATACAGCAGGACGACTGATATCGTCGTTGGTGATGAGGAACACATGTATGTCGATCCCTCGTATCAATATGTAGATGTCGTGACACGAAATGTCGTAAGAGGGATCGCAGCATTGCCGCCAAACTCTCAAGAATCATAAGCTGTTTGCAAGAGTGTTCAAGTTCATTCGCGTGATAGTTTTGATCTGTGAGTTGAGCCTGGAGCCAAGATGTGGAGATATTCCTTGTGGAAGCAGCGTGGGACCCAGCCAATCATCGCGTGTGAGTGGACGTGGGCTCTGATCAATACCGCCACCCTACGTCACGATGGCCCCACAGATTTTGCTTCCTACTTTCCGAACAAAAGCGTCGCCACTAATCAATCAGAACTCCAACCCATTAACAAATCGAGATATGTCGAGCTTTCGCAATCTCATTCCACGGCTGTCATGCGTTGCAGACCCGACTCTAACAGAACGTTCACGAACGTCCAAAATTGCCCTCGCATGTGGACCTTGTCGGAAGAAACGTATTAAGGTCTCACGGCCCTGCACATGCTTCTCGACCCACATGCATCACCGCGGAAGCTAATGCAACCCGCAGTGCGATGGCGCCAAACCAGTCTGCGAAGCTTGTGTCCGGCGGTCGAAAGCGTGTGAATATGCGCCGCCGCGGGGACAACAACTTGCTCAGGAGCAGCAACACAAGATCCAAGAGCTCGAGAAAGACAAGAGCAGCATGTATGAAATCTTATGGTATTTGCAGACACAATCGCCCGAGAAGGCAACGGCTATGCTAGATTTCCTCCGGACTTCACAAGATGGAGACATGGGCGCTTGCCTGGGTCATTTCGAGCAACATCTCCGTCAGAATCCTGAATCTAGTATTCAGGCACAAAAGGCCCCAAGTCACATAACCCCACCACAGGACGTAGCCTGGGCTATACTGGCGATGCCTGAGGTGGCCGAGCACCCGCAGTTGATGAAAATCCAACATGGCGCCGTGAACCAGGTGGGCGTCGTCTTGCAACCCCCACTGCAGCAGGATATCAATGTCGGAGCGTTGACAGAGCCATTGCAAATGTTCTTTAACTGTGTTGGAGCATTGTTCTATATCATGAACGCGGAGGAAGTCCAAGCCACAATCGTTAAGATTCAGAACTCTGAATATGCTCATGTACCCATTGGCGATCTGGTCAGCAGGGGTAGCAATATTCACCTCAAGACACTTGCAGCGGAGATTGCAGGCATGGCTGCGATTGGAGTTGTACATTTCCAACTTGCTGACCCTGAGAATGCGCCACCAATCGAGCTTGCGGACTACCTTTACGCTGTTGCTAGACATGGACTTGACAACGCTATCGCTTACAATCCCCTCCGCGCTATGAAGACCTGCGCTTTATTGGTAATGTATAACATCGTTGTCAAGGCTAGTATAGCTCTGGCATTCAGTGGTTAGTCCCTTTCGTCTCCTATTTGCAATCAATACTCACTGTGTTCCAGAACTCGGGCTGAGTCTCGCTCGCAACCATGGCCTTGATGCCAATGAGTGTCCACTAAGCATGTCCGTAGCCGAATTTGCTGACCTGCGACGAACACGCAGAACTCTCATTCATCTGCAATGGTATGGCACTCTCGGTCTCAGTACGTATGACGTTTGGCTGACACGTTCTCGTAGTTGGCTCAGTGCTTCTCTGGACTACGTCCCGAACTCACTCAGCTACAGTATACAAACCGCTGTTGACGAGGTCGACGTTCCCCCTGAGGATTTGATTCGGCTCGAGTGTGTTAAGGTAACTATCATCAAAGCCACTACGCTTCATCGTCTACCAGCCACAGGTTACATTCAACAAGCAACCATCGCTGAACTGAGGGCTCAACTATCGACTTTTCATGCGCAACTACCGACATGGATGAGCCTGGGATCACTGCTCAGCCATACTGAGGGTGAATTGATGGCGCAGTTTCGTCCCGTCATCTTCTATGTCCACCTGTTTTATCTTTCCGCCATGATGTTGTTGTCGCGTCGCCTGATCCTTGCATACGTTGCACTGGACGCAAACGGCAAGGTGCCTTTAACCTCAGAGGCGCGTCAAGGTATTGAAGAAGGGTTTATGGCAGCGCAAACCAATGCTCGAGTTATGGAGTTGATGCTCTCTGAGGGCAAAGTGGTGCAGGTGTGCTGGCTCTGCATGTAAGAGATCTAATATCGAACGTGTCAGTCAGTACTAACGTCCTATCAGTTTCACGTCGTATACCGCTGGCATCATGATTGCGTACTACGCGACACAAAAAGCGCTGCATGGTCTCTCGTACGCAACCGATGTGGACCTCCTCAGCAAATGCATTAGTGTACTTGCGTATTGTGCCGAGAAGGACACTCTTGCCGCTAAATTTCGAGATATTCTGACAGCACATATCCGCGTCCTGAAAGAGGTGGAGTATGAGAGCGCCGCGGCTTATGTACCAATAGCCGACGTGCTTTTCACTATGCACTCTGGTGGGACACGGCTTCATCACGCAGCTCGGGATCTTTTATGCCTGACACACCGCCCGTTCAGTGGATTGAAGAATATCCCTGCGCGTGCGACATTGTCTAATCGTGCCGAGACAACTATGGGAACACATCTTGAGTGGGAGTGGGAGTTGAGGAGTAGTGAGGATGTGCAAGACCACGCTGCTTCGGGACATTTGAGATCTTGCGATGCAGGAACTGGAGGGGAGCAATCGTTTGGTCAGTTTCTACCGCAGGCACAAGCTGGTGCCTGGTCAATTTGGACAGAACCGGCAAAAATAGGTGCATAATGCACACTTCTGTATTTTCTTAAGAGCATGTTGATTTCAAGTAAGCTGATCATCAATAGGTTATGAGGCCTCGAGCGTATAAACAAATCGATGCTTGTATTTAAAGCAAATCATTCATTTTAACGACGACTTCAGCCACAGGTCGATTCGTGGCCGTCCTTTTCAATGGGCCAATAGAGCCTGGGGTCTTCACCAGGCTCAACGATCCATGGCTTTACCATGAAACACCCGTGCAATGCCTCCTAGGTTCGGCAAGGCGATGTTCAAGGCCAAGGATAGGGCAGCCGGGACTGAACCTAATCATACTCGAAGAGCGAGGGGATGAATCCGGAAGGATTGATTAAGAATTTCACATGGATGGGAAATATCAGTATATACCGTTGATGACAGACAGTTTCCAACTTTGAAGGGAGTGAAAAGGCCCCCCAAGTTTTTCGTGTATCTCTAAGACACATTCATGAATTGGTCCGGGGAGTTGCTTTCTAGTAAATGTAGACCCTAATGTCGTCAGTATCCCAATCTCGGTTTGGCCCGAGTATTCGGCCAAATCGAATGATTGAAGAGGACATGTTGGTTACCATTGTGACCCCTAGTTTGGATGCGCTCAACTCTTAGAGTGTAAAAATGTTTTCTGACCTGCTGAGTGAATTAATAGAGGGTAAAATATCCTAGTTCAAGCATCGGGATTTTCGGCAAGGGCTAGCTGAAAATAAACCAGACAATATGCTAACTTTTGTCCATCTTCTTTGCGCCAACAGCAACGCCGTGCGCCGAGAACGCTCTGTCGTTGCCAACTAACTTTGAAATTGTGCAACTACATCCGAGTACGGTGTAGTCATGCAATCTTGCTGTCCCCAAACGGTGCACGAGGCTGCGCTATCGTTAAGCGACCTCCACTTCAGCTACGTTCAGAACGCCATAACAATTGGGTGGCGGGAACCCCTTACGCCTAATACACTATAAATTCAAGCTGGTATGTGTTGCTTCCCAAGCGCACGTGCGCTAAACTTCCGGTGCACACCCGTAGAGATGCCTGAGTTCATCGCTCACACAGAACACATAAATCCGCTTGGTGCGCTCTTTGCGACGAACCAACACCGAATTTGACAACATACAAACTGAAGGCCTTTCCACGCTTTTTCCTGTACTTGTCGGTGCACGTTTGGGGGACGCAACAGACATTTGCGGTGCCTAACCCAAGTCTTGTGCCAGTCTTCCCCTGCGTTCAGCGAAAGCTTGTTCATCCACTAGATGTTCGTGCGGTATGTCCAAGACTGGTTTCAGTACTTACTCATATGTGTAGCCAAATCGAAAATCAACGTATTGACATGTTCTTTCCCTTCTTCTACTGTAACTCGGACTTCGACAGTCCAGCCATCGACCACCAAAACGATCACAGTGACGCAGACTGTTTCCTTGAGAAGGCCGACGTGAGTAAATATCCTGTTGCATATTTGAACCTTGCTTACATATCTCCCATAGCACCATACAGCGGAGTGTACAGAAAACCGTTACGAGCACATCTATTTCTCACACTCCACTCGTCCAGACAAACACGCAGACAGACCAGACGACAGTTATCTTACCTACAACCTTGACGATCACTGCAAGCGTCACATAGTAAAGTCATCAAACTTATCAATGCTGAATGTCTGTTAATATCCTCAGAACAATCGCGTCTAATTCGTTAATACCTTACCAACAAGAGACCTGCAATGTGCTTTCGAAACTAAAGAGAAACCGACGGAGCTACAATAGGCGAGATAGTATACCGCGTGACTGCTGTAAGGAACAGTTTTGATTCGGAGCAGATTACTAAACGGCTTACAGCACGCTTTCTTACAATGACAAAGACTTGCACCAAGGCCATTACAACGTGGACAACAGTTAACAAGCCTACGTCAACAGTCCTTGTCACGCAGTATAAGCTTACAACATCCGTCCAGTACGACACCAAAACTGTCGACACGCTACAGACCACGACGGCCAGAGATACTGCCGTCTCAACCGACATCTCTGTAACATCGGTGGTCACAACAATAACACAGTCAGCTACGTCCACAGCCACGGAGACAATCAGTAAACTCTCGCTGCCCCCACTACTATTCACCTCTCACTAATCCTTTATAGCTGCAACTGCAACCTCAACCTCTATTCAAAACATCCAGGCTGACCCTTGCGCTAATCCTGTTCTCTACCAGGCCATCCGACCCTTCTACCCTGCCGCTACGGTCGGCGTCTTGTCCGACTCCTACTCCCCTCAAGACTGCTGCCAAAGATGCTTCGGTACCAATGCTGGCTGCCTCTACTGGCGCTACTCAAATCAGGCTTGCTATTTATACGTCATTCCAAATGCTGTTGCTGCTTCGTCGTGCATCACAAGCTCATGTCGGAAAGGAAGGCCAGCGCTCGTTCCAGCGCCCGGAGATGGATCGACGTATGGAATTGGAATATGTGCACAATCAGATATCGATGGATGAAAATTTTAGGATGATACATACGATGAAGAGACCTCGTCGAAGTCTGGAGACTGCATTTAAAGATTTACCCATTGTAATTCGTTGTTACCTTAGATAATTTTGATATGAACTTGATCCCATTTCATTAAATACATACGCTTCTGATATCTCGAACAATAAAGTAGTCTCATGGAAGAGTTCTGAGTATCTGCTTGGTGCTACGCGTCATGTACTAATCCTGATGTTTTACGTATCGTTGATGGCACTACAACTTATAAGCTTCGATTTCCTGTAGACCAGTGGCTCCTTGTTGGTTCGAGAGAGATCTATCGTCGCGGACGGTCGGCAAAAACGTAAGCAACGCCCTCATTACTAGTATATTCCATAAGAGCCACCAGATCAGTAGCAGCTGGAACCTAAATCTCACCATGTCGCTTACAACGTTATAGAATGTGTGACAAGTGTCATGTTACTTAATGACGTTTTTCCATCACTGCGATAGTTCCTTTAAGACACCTCAGATTTCGTCGAGACGTTCGTCGAGTTTGGAGGCGCTTTTATCGAGAGAACTTACTTGAGCTCTCTATCCTTCATCGTCACGCTAACGCAGTTCTTGAAAAACGCAAAAGGCCATAATTAAGTGAGTTGGGTTTTCGAATGAATCTTATGCTGGCTCTTGATATAATCGACGCTACACTCTTCTGGCTTGTGTTTAGGAGGGGTATACATGGCTTGACTGTAACCGCAATGCCATAAGCATGACTATCAGAACGAAAGGTCAATAGCAGGCGGCGAGTCAGGGAACATAATGGCCGGAACCCATCCCCACAACTGACGCGTCTGGGCTTGTATAAGAGGAGAAACAATCGCGATGCAAAGGAGGGGAAATGACACATAAGTATAGCAGTACATTCACGGTTGTTTGATCAAGAAGAGGTTGGGGCCGTTCATAGGGAAAAGTTGCTTCAAAAGAAAGATTGCTACGACCTCGACTAGAACGTGAATACCCTTTTGAAAGCCAGAGATTGCCCAACAAAATCATCCCCACATCAACCTAAGATACCAGACCCCAGGACAGAGAACTTCGACGCCCTGACAACAGTGATGTTATGTCCGCTTAGTTTCCGATCTTGCTGATCAGGAAAGCCGGTGCCTCATTGCTTGCCTGAGGACCGTAGGACAAGTGTGCTGCGGTGATTGTAAGGGTTCCAGTGCAGACCAAATCGCCGACCGCGCAGAAGACCTTCAACCTGTCCGAAGGGTAGCTCGGAATGGCGCCACTGTTCTGCATGTTCTTCGTGTATCCGAAGAGCACTGTGCCCACAACCTGGTTGCGCACGGTAGCAGTGAGGTCGGTAATAGCGGCGGCTGCCAAAGCAGCACCCTGACTAAAGCCATTGTCAGTACGAATTGATAAAGTAAGGAAATAAAGGAGAAAGTAGAGAAGACTTACGAATAACCACCAGCAACAACCGGGGTGTTGGGGCATTTCGTGTTGGCCATGGTGATGAGACGAACCATCTCCGCGATAGCAGCCGGCGAGGACCCTCGAGGAAGAGCATTGTCGTAGAGAGTTGCGCCGTAGGGGCCACCCACACCTTGAACCCAGAAGTTCGCCGCGCCATACTTGCGCTCAAGGGCGTCGCCGAGCGGTGCACCCAAGGTACCCTACATATATAATCAACCCTATGCTTTCTTTATGGCGATGGTTTTCGAAGTGTAAAACTTCATGCCATTGGTAACACTGAGTCAATAACCAAGGACATGAAAAATGAGACGTACCAAATTGCCTGTTTCAGTGCTTCCACGAGCGAAGACCAGGATAGCCTTGGGGCAGGCACTAGCACTTCCACTTTCAAGTTCACTCTTAGATCCGCCGAATTGGCGAGCCTCGAGGTCGTTGGCGACGATATTGATGCTGGGCTCTGGCACTGCAATGGGAGAGGCAGCGGCCAAAGTAGCGAGAAGTGAGACAATGAGGAACTTCATGTTGAGTTTTTCGTGTTGCTGTTCCTTGAAGATAGTGTTGGTAGTGGGATTTGAGCGAAAGAAGTTGAACGAGAGAAAGTCAGTGAGTGTGTTAAGCAGACAAGTGATGCTGCGATTGAGATCTGTGGATATCGAAACTTATGATAGAAAATCAAGTGATACTTATACCTTGGTGTTTGCTTGAGTGTCGCATCTCTATCTGGTTCCGGTCGGGCACTAATTTTAGCGTGGAAGTTGGCCGAAACTCTAATTCATCCGAGCCCCTCTGCCCGCTCTAACGCATGGAAGGTCATGTAGATCACCACGTTCGTTTCTAGTCCGTTGTCTGACCAATCATGAGGGGTTTTATGCCATTTTCAGTGTGGCGTGCAAGCGTGGGCCATGCAACTCCGTTTCAGTGCCTTACATCGGACCATAAGCCTCCTGCAACGCCTTACGGTGAACGAACCTCATTGGTTCGTATCTTCTGCCGGACTTATTCCCTCGGCAGCTAGTTAGTACACTGTTTGGCCTGCAGAGTAGTGTGTTGACTCGTGGGTGAGGTTACCAAGGCAGAGTCGATCCAGTGTTGCAGGTGAAGGAGACCTTGTAAATTCGGCGCAGTTAGTTGCTTCACCTCCACATCTTTCCTTCCACTCCCTCGGCAACAGTTTGGTCCTGCATGCTGTCATTGGGCTCACACATATCAAACAATATAAAATCTACGTCGCATGGCAGCTCCATCCCTTGGCCTACGACCTGAAGCCTCGGCTGTAAGAGATATCAGATTAATTTACAAGAAGTGCTGTACTGATTTTAGCATTTTACGGCTTGTTCCTTGTCCCATATCACGCAGATTTGCTGCTGGCTTAGAGACTTAGTCTATGCGCCAATGTTTCGTCGTATCAGCCGCGGCACACTGCTTCCGATGTAGGCCGTTAACACCTCGTAGAATGCCGTCTTGGCAATGTAATCCGCTCCTACCTCTGATGAGTATATTGCATCAGGTAGTCCTACTTAAGGTTCGACTTAGACGTGCTAGCTTCGGTCACTCCCGGCGTATGAGGACTAGTGCTGGGCATCTTTCTCCACTGGTATTATCGCGCAGGCCATTCTCCTATGCCGTAGTCTCCCCGAAGCATAAACCATTCTCCACCTCAAGTACTGATCTTCAATTTGTTCAGACTGCTGATCAAAAGAATTTTCACTGATCTGGAAACACAATAGAAGTAGGCTACGACACGCGAATAACTTTTACTTCGTGGAGGGTGGAAAGACCATAGTGCGGCTTTCCGATTAGCTATAATGAAATGTCCATATTCGAGAGAATTCTTCAGCGAAAGAGCTTTTCAAGCTTACAGACATCTATCGCTGATGGAGGATCTAACGAAACAATGCTCAGCCAAGTCTCACCCATTGTGAACGTTGAAATCGGTAAAAACGCGCGATAGAGGCTGGTAATTTGACACAAGTTCTTGATTTTCAAAGAGATGACACACCAACTTGAGACATTGAGTGTGATGTGATGGAACTACTATAAGATTATTGCGTATCGCTCCCTATCCCTGCGGTACTCTTACCTGACCTCGGCAATATTTCAACGTTACGAACGATCGCTTCCTTGTCTCTATAGTTTGAGATGTACATCGTGTAATTGTGGATGTTGCTCGTCAGGAGTAATGCAGGCATCGTATGAAGATCCGGAGCTTAGTCTACAAGCTTACCAGGTTTTGCGAGGTGATCCTCCGGTACTAAGGTCGGATGTGTTCTCAAAAACAGTAGTCTATTCCATGAGGTCTATCTCAACCCCGCTTTCTCATATTATCCAGCGTGAGATCGACGGCTAATGTGACTTGGCCCCTTACAACTCGATTAGGGCAATTCAGCTATCAAATGCAGGGTGAAATGCGTAGGTTGTTTTTCTGGTCGATGTCGCAACCTCGGCAAGAGGTGCATGGTCGCCCGACATCTGTCAAGGATGTCATGTAAGGCGGGCTAGCAGTAACGCCAACGCTAGCGTTCCACAAAACTAGCCTACAGAAGAGGCTGATCATTCTGACACATTTAAGACGCTAACTCCTCAAACACCGAGAAACTTTCGGATTAGTTGCCGAATAAGTCTTGGCAGCTAAGTATTCTTGGACTCGACCCTTGGCATGTTTGCTTGCTGGTTATTAATCTAACCCGAAAAGCAGCGTCCTTACTGGCATCTGAAATCTTAGTCGCGGCAGCTTTACACTCACAGTATCCTCCTTCTAGTTTAATCCGCAACTTGCCATAGTTGTATCTCTTATGCTAGTACATCCTACTGTCTCCACACGTGATGCATCTCAGCTCGACAGAGAGCTATAACCAAGACCTGAGTCATAACTTAGCTTGGACCTTTTCTTGATTAGAATCAGAGGGCTTACGATAGCAGGATCTATACCACCAGCAATTCGAACCTTCCAGGAACTCCGATCAACTTGACGGAGATCAGAGATATCGTTCGACTCCTGGAGCTGCAACTCAGCAATGCAGGCGTTTTCGAAAAAGACCTGAGTTGTGATCGCGCTCTGGTCCTTTTGTCGAATTTGCAACATTACATCGTCTTCTTTTCCTTTTTCATTGGCAACAACCATGTCAAGGTCCGATCGACGTCCAGCGGAGATATGCTTCAAGTTCGCTATGAGATGACCATCTGGACTTTCCACTGTCCAAAGGTTCTTCATCGCCGACCCGTGATGGCGTAAGTCGAAGATCGGTACCCCTGAGGTGTCTTTCACCTGTCGGCGCCATGACCACGACTTCATCAACCCAGGTCCTCCTCCAACGAAGAGCTCTCGATCTTTCTCATCCACTACGGTGACGTTCACGAATAACCGGTCGTGGCATTTGACAAAGATGCTGATCTCTTCATTCGCGATTGGGACACTGGAGATTTTGAACGGGAGCGAACAAAACTCAAGGACTGCCGCCATGTTGACTGCCGGCCGAATGTAGTGATCCTCGAAAATGTTTAGAAGTCTACCAGCTGTGAGTATAGATGCTTGCAGAAGTTGAGAAGCGATGTAGGACGATTAGTTCGGTTTCATAAACCTCTTGTTGAGGAAAGCGAGCGGGACAGTTCGTGATTCGAGTAAGTATCGAAAACCACGCCCCAAACTTGCAGCTCTTGGCTGCATATCTATGACATACTATAATCGAGCAGGATTCGAAGAGCGCGACCAAAGCGTAAATTTAGGCATTAGTCTTAGCACTGTGGTCGACGCAAACCTGGTCGAGATTTATCCGCCTCAAGCTCGTCGACTTCTGTACCAGTAGCAACAGGATCTTCGTCAAATGCACAAGCTACGAGAGAGGCAGAAGTTGCGTGAACTGAAGCCGCTACCGAGACTGAACTCGTGACAGACGCACAAGCCGCTGTAGAAGAAGGATTGCCTCTGTCAGTCCGAACGCCGCCCGTCGTCCCCATCGGCAAAGGTACGAACCTTCGCCTTACCCCACTGTACGAGCTCAGCCCGGAAGAGGCTGTAGTAGATATTATCTTTATACACAGGTTAACTGGAAATGCATACGAAACATAGCTTTACAAGAGAAGAGGGACCGGGGTCTACTAGCTGTATAAGTAACTATATATAAATTACAAGAACTCTTATACTCTAATATAAAGAGCTATAACGCGAGTATTACTAAGTTCTAGAGTCTAGTATTATTAGATACCTTTGCTAATTATATAGAGAATCTACCTAGTAATATTTAATACCTTATAGTAAGAACTAGAATAGTGTACTAAAATAACTAATATAATAGCCTTTCTAAATTTTTAAATACTTAATAGTAAGGTATATTTATTATACTATACTTTTATAATCTTATAGTTTAAAGTTTATAGTATATCTAAATATATAGTATAGGTAAATAAATAAAGTATATTAATAATTTTAAATAATTACTTAGTATAAAACTAAATACCTAGCTTTTTTTTTATAGTAAATATAAGTTAAAGTAAAAAGTAAAAGTAATAAGATACTATTAAGCTATATTTTAATTAGTTACTAATTAATAAATTAGTATTTAAATTCTTTTTAGTACCTAAGTTACTCTATTAACTTAAATCCTTTTAGTAATAGCTTCTAATCTATTATTAAGCAAAAAAAAACTTCTAAATTTACTAGTTATATTTAGTATTAGAATAGCTAATTATAGGTTTTTAAAATAATCTAGTATCTTAATAGTTTTATACTTTAATATTTATTATAAACTAGCTATAGAGTTAAGCTTTAATAAGTATTAATAATATTATTATATTCTTTAAGAAGTAGAAAAGAATTTTATATATATATATATATTTCTCTAGTTCTACTAAGCTAAGACTATAGTATAGGTAAAGCCTAAGCCTATTATATACCTCTTTACTTTACCTTTATTTTTTTTTTTTTTTTAACTATACCTATTAGGTATACTTATTATTTTTGTATAATTCTTTTTATACTATACTAAGCCTTATAACTACTAGTAGCTTACTATATATTAGTACTATAGCTACTTATACTTATTTTTATTTTTATATTAACTTTATAAATTTTTTTTATTATAACTATTATACTTATAAAGTACTACCTTAACTTCTTTACTATATTCTTTTTTACCTTTCTTTATTATACTTCTTTTATTTCTTTATATAACTAATTACCTTTTATTATAGCTAATATTACTTTTAATAGTATCTTTAGTATAATAAGTACTAAAGCTTCTAGTAAAAAGCTACTTAATAATTACTAGAGTAGTTCTTTAGGCTATAATAATTCTATATATCTAGTTATTATTTCTTTATATATTTACTAATTATTAAGTAAAAGAAGCTTTACTATTATACTAGTAATTTTTATAATAGGCTAGGCCTAGTAGAACCTAAGTAAGTAAAGCCTTAAAGCTTAGTAGCTCTAACTACTAATACTTACTCTTAGTTAGCTTACTAGAAATACTTAGTATACTACTAGAAGAACTATAAGTAAAGAAAAGCTAGTACTATAAATTCTTAGTAAATTTATCTAATTTATACTAGTAACTACTCTTAGAGTTAGCTTCTTATATTTAAATTTATTTATAAAAACCTCTCTAGAAATTAAAAGAATTCTAGAAAACTACTAATAGTATATTTATTATAAAAGAAACTATAGTTACTAAGCTAAAAGCAAAAGCTTTATAGCTAATAGAAATAGGCTTTATATAGAAAGTAGTTAAAATATACCTCTAAACTATAGCTAAATAGTATAAGACTTAGTTATAGTAGTAATATAGTATAGTAAAGATAGAATAATTATATTTAATATATAATAAGATAAATTACTAAAGAACCTATATCCCTTTATAAGGTACTTTTATCTATATATATAAGCTAAGAGGCTAAAGCTAGTATAATAGTATATAAACTACCTATTACTTTATATTTACCTAATAATATTCTCCTTCTTAGATATAATTATCCTAATCTAGTAGACTATATCTTCTATTACTTATATTTAGTAATATTAAGCGTATTATAAGCGTATTAGGGTAACTATTTAGGTAGATTACTAGATTAAGCTAATTTAGCCTAATTAAGATACTTTTAAAGTATATTATAACTAAAATTTTAGTTTAGAGTAAAAGAAATAAGTACCTATTCTTACTTCTTTTATTATTTACCTACTTAGAAGGTAGCCTAAGCTCTAAGGGCCCTACCTAAGTATATAATAAAGGCTTTCTTCTAGTTCTTTATACTTTACCTTCTTTTTACTCTTAATTTTTAGAAGTTTCTAAGCTTTAGGTATATTTTTAGTTAAAAGGTAGAAGGTATTAATTAGCTTTAATTAGTACTAATTAGTAGAATTTAGGTCTAATAGTCTTAGTAGGTATTAGATATTAGCTAACTATCTTAGTAGAACTCTTTTAATAACTACTTAACCTACTCTACTTCTAATATAATTAAGATAGTTACTTTAATAAAAGCTTAGTACCTTAAGAACTATAAAGGTACTAGTTACTATACTAAGGTTCTTTATATATACTACTTAGACCTTTTAGCTAATAGTAACTTTACTATAAATAATTTAATCTACTTCTTTAGTACTAATATTAATTTATAAAGTAAGTTTTATAATAGTAATTATTAAGGTATATAGTACTATTATTATACCTAACTTAGCTAGAACTATTTTAGGGTATATCTATTAGCTTTAATTAGTATAAGTTATAGCTAATTAACTCTTTTAGCTTTTTAATACTTACTATAAGTACTTTATTAAGCTTAAAAAGTAACTTACTTACTACTTATCTAGTAAAGATATTATTATAGAAGCTATAGAAGAAGGTAAGCCTATATAGTATAATTATATTCTATATATACTCTTTTTTTATATTATAATTAAGGTAAGGGTTATTAATATTACTAATAAGATTATTAGCTTAATTTATAAGTAAGTAGTTAGAATTAGTAGTAATTAGCTCTAATAGTATCTAATTATTTATAATAGTAAGTACTCTCTTTATTATAAGTCTTTTATAGTCTATATAGCTATAACTAAGATTAATAAGTTTACTAAGTCTACTATCTATATTAAAAGTTATAATTAGTCTAAAGCTAGCTTTTAGAAGAAGGCTATAGCTAAGAAGTAAGCTCTTAAGGCCTTTAATAATAAAAACCTAGATTTTACTCTTTATAAGAAGGTAAGTAGCTACTTATAGGCTCTATTAGTATAAATTAGTACTAACTATCTAGAATTAGTTTAGTATATATAGTTTTAGTAAAACTTTAGCTAAAGTAGCTACTAAAGAGAAGAAAAAGGCTACTATAATTACTATTACTTTTTAAACTACTAAGGTAGATCTTACTACTACTAATAAGTACTTTATATCTACTAAGAGAGCTACTAAGACCTATAAAAAGAATAAAAATAAGAATAAGTATACTTAGGTACTAATTAGCGTAGATTAGCTTAAATTAGTAGTAGTAGGGCTAAGATATAGCTATATATATATTTCTAGTATTATATACTAAAAGAGTTACTTTCTAGCCTTATATAAGCTTTATAAATAATAATTATAGTTAACTTATACTAATTTATTCTAATTCTTTACCTATATTCTAATATTATATAGTAACTTAGAGTATTTTAATTAACTTAGTAATTTCTTATATTTACTTCTAGAGTTATTTTTTTAGACTCTTTTCTATAAATTCTAATTACTAGGTATAGCACTATTAAACCTTATAAAAATCCTACTAAGTAGGTAAAAATAAAGAAAGGTAGCTATATAGTTATTTTTTAATAGTTTTATTCTTCTTCTTTTAGAAAGTTTATCTTAAAATTATACTTATAGTAGCTTATTTTTCTTTTTAATATATCTTAAGACTGCTTTAACTCTGTTCTAGAATACTATAAGTATTTTCTTACTTAGATTTATTCTAGGTTTTTAAGAGTTTTTATTTTCTAGATAGCTATTCTACTTTACTAGATATTCTTATATACCTACACTATTTTATCTTTTATTAACTACTTTCTCTATATTATAAATATTATTTTCTATTTTATAGAGTATATCTATAAGTAGGAGTTTATTATATAGGATTATTTTTCTTCTTATATAGGGTTTTAATAGAAATGCGTAGTATACTAGATAGGTATTATTTACTTCTAAGAAATTAACTTTAAATATAGTAGAGCTAATTTAGCCTATAATCTTTCTAGGTTCTAATATCTTCTAATTAAGCTTCTTTTTTAGTCTAGTAGACCTTATATACTAATTAGATATAAAAACTTTATTCTCTACCTTAAATTTATAGTAGAGTCTTTTTTTATTAGTATATTTCTTTTAGTATTTATTTAAAACTAGAATTTTTCTCTTATACTCTACTTATAGTACTATTAACCTTACTACTAATTTATTTTTTAGGAGGGCTTTACCTTTTCTAAGAAGTTAATTAGGCTAATTAGGA